CGGAATTTCTTGACATGGTTGTGTGAACATGAACACTCAATAAACACATCCGACAAACTTAAGACATGAAAGTTATCTCAAACTGTCTACGTAGTCAAACATTTGAACAAAGGGTATTAATTGCACAACAGGGATTAACATTGCAACAGAATTGACAACAGTTCTGGAGCAATCGTATGGTACTGGTCGTCTATAATGGTTGACAACATATGCTGAACTATCCAGTTAGGGAAACTGTCCACACTGAAAACAAACATTGAGGAACAAATCTTCACTCAGTAGTAGATGCCAATAACAGACATTCACACCCTCCCAGGCAACCAAGGTCCTGTGGAGAGTCAATGCAGAAGATGACAGTTATTGCTATGGCAACAAAACAGAACAGGTTAAGATGGTGTCCAGACAACTGTAAACACTTCCACTGACTTCACCCCAATATCAACAAACTAAAGGGTAAAGTTAGAGAGCATACAGACGCATACAAAGAGACATGGTTGGTCAGTCTTCAAGCCCTGCGAATGCACTATGTCTTGAAAACGCTTTGAGGTTCAAGATGAAATGAATTAAAATGAGAATTAAACACAAGTTGGAGCAAAGGAGGAGCAATGGATGAGATGAACATAAGGAAGACAAGAAAGTACTCTGAGATCAAGGGATGGTTGTTCTTCCATACTGTTTACATGTCAACATAAATGGTCGTCTGTAACTAACAAAACAGATTTTTTTTGCATTGTACTATTTCCCCACAGAGTTGTTCCAATACAACTTCAACCCAATCACTTACACTACGGGTCTTGCATAAAGTGGTGTAATGTGTTAAAAGAATGGATGTCCACGTTCTCAAAAATCTACATGCCAAGGCTTTGTAAGGTTGACTGACACTCCTTGTAGCAGAGTTCCAACCAGTTTTAACAACTGTCTCATGTATCCATGTGGCTAAAAACTAACCTTCACCTTCATACTCTTCAAGTCATAGTAGTATGAACACATACAGAATGTAACATCCGACTTTTCAGCACAGGTTCATTGGATTCAGTCAGTAATATAATCATTTCTGTGTATAAACTATATAAATACTAAATATATTCAGACACCACTCTTATTGATATATGTTGCAAAAACACAAGGAATATTAACACTGGATACCACTGAATATTGTTCTAACTGACTGCATTGAAATCAGAACTATCTCCGCACTTCCTTATCATTTATTGTCACCAAAGTGGATCATTATTAACAAAATAGTATGTACACTTATCTGAAAAATACAAATGTCATGAATAATCATGTATCAAAGATTTCTATCTCACTGTTAAAGTATGTTATTTCACAGCAACTATGTAGTCCGGTTTGTACTCTGTGAGATGATGCACCATATTGTAGTTATCAAAAGCCCGAGCAACCTTGTCAACAGATTCAGACAGTTCTTCATGTCCTGGTGCCAACATTCCATAAGATGACTGAGATCATGCCTTACAAAGATGTCTGTTTATACTTCACTTTAATAATAAAATTATCAAAGCAATTATTTGAGTGAGCGGGATGGATTTTATGCAACACTTTTAGCAACATTCCAGCAATATAACGGCGGGGCACACCAGAAATGGGCTTCACACATTGTAGCCATGTAGGGGATCGAACCTAGGTCTGTGTGACGAGCAAACGTTTTAACCACTAGGCTACCCCACCTCCCCGTACCTATGTTGGAAACAGAACATGACAATGAGCGAAACTTCAACCACTAAGCTGCCACAACCCTTGATTACATGGGGATTAAAGAAAATATTTTATTGAAGGAAACAAGGAAAAAATACAAATACAGATTTTCATCTAAAATGGAAAAATATTTCATGACAATTTGAAAAATTTCAATAAATGCACTCTGATTTAATCAAGAAAAGTGTTCTTGATAGTTAGAAACATTTGTTTTCTTGAGTGAACTTGGCTCCATTAAGCTGCATAATCAAGTGACATAGCTTTAACTGCTGGACTTTAACTGACAAATGACACTCCAAAGTAGCCACCTTGCAGCGTTCAGCAAGATTCAAGTGATGATAACGGACAACATGGCTATGAGACAGAATAGCTATGAAAGTAATTCATCACACACTTACATCAAGAACTACAGTTTGAATCTGAAGACAGAGGTGGTCAGGCTTTTGTTGGACAATGACAACTTTCAAACAAGTGTTCATGATGGTACAACTGTACAATTCTTGTATGCATGAAATGATTTCTTTGAAAGAACACTGGTGCACGCAAGTCACAACTTCATGGTATATGTTGCAGCTACAACTCAAAAGCTACAATTTAACTCTCATCAGTGTGAAAAGTGTCCTGCCGATTTATTTGTGTCAATCATAAATTCTTGTCCAGTACGTTCTGTCTTCAACTTTAGTTCATATTCCTGTGATCTGTTCTAAGATGCCTTTACATACCTTTCATTTTATTGTATAAATTTAACTTTCCGATTGCAAGAAATTAACTTTTCAACTTACATAAGGCCAGACCAATTTTATTTCTTGTTTTACAGATCCGCCGGTCGTATTTTTTCAAGAATAAGAAAAACAAACAAACATTAATTTTGCCCGCTCAAAAAATAAAATCCTCATGTTTTTATTGGCCAAAAATGTAAACTTACAAAAAGATTTTTTTTGATTGTTTATTGCCCATATAAACTTCATAAATTGCCAAAAAGAAAATACTTTTAGTATTTACAAGGAAAATCATTTTGACTAGTGATTTTTATTTGTTCCCTACCGCCTTTAGGTTTTCTGAGGATAAAAATCTGTAAAACAAGAAATAGAATTGGTCTGGCCTAATTTAATTGTAAAATAGTCAAAAACAACATTGCATTGAAAATACATACAGTCTCTTTGCTATTTTGAAGACCTACATCATTCTGAATGTTATATCTGACATAAGAGATTGGTATTTGCAGGCAACACGCTATCACTTAAAGTGAGTCAGGCATGTGTCTTCTGCAATACTCTAGCCATGTGATGGGAGGCACCCAAAACAGCAGCAACATACTGTACTATGTTGGGAATTGAACTTGGTTTGTGACATGAAAAACCGACACTGTGTCCATTTGGTACCCACAGCCCATTATCAGGTGCCTCACAACAGATGGATCAGCGGAATACTTCACACACTGATGACACAGGCAGGCAACTGCTAAGCAGTAGACAATCATCTAATTCTTATACATAGTTTTAGGGTGAACATTATTTGACAATTCCGGGAACAATGATCACTAAGTCTCCTTGGAAGCATACCATTGTTGAAGGTATGAAGCACTGTTTTCCAAAATATTAAGTCTGTCCACCTTTACTGACACAATTATAAATACTAGTACATAAATAACACTCTGTATAAATCTTCTGTCAGTGATCTGAATGTTTCAAGGCCTTTTCATTTTATCTTTATCACATAATAAAGTTAAACATGTATCAAACTGAAGCTAAACTAATAAAATGCTGGAGAAACTGCTGAACTGTATTGTACTAATAACAGACAAATTTTATAGCACTGTTTATAACAAACATATCCAACAATATCAGATTCTTGCCGTACAAAGCTCACTAAGAGAATGATTGCATTGATGAATAAAGATATCTAAAAACTTCATGATCTGTAACAGTGAACTTGGATGGATTGCAAGATACATGGCGTCAGACCTGACCAGGGTTGGAACTCAGAAACACAGGGATTTTCATCGACACACCTAATGTTTCATACATTACAAGCTTGTGGCACAATACAGACTTATGAAATAAAAATATCTCTGCAAATCTCAATCCTTAAATTCCCAAACTGCTCAGAAACACGTAGTTCCAAAATGGTGGTGCAAAATCCAATAATCATAACCAGTTTTACCTAATGTTTACATCGGAGATTGAGAATGGTGATTGAGCTGGGTGGTTAATACAGCGGCTATTCCAACCAAATTATGGCAAGGAATGCTATAAATGGGTTTGAAACCATGTACCCACCTGGAGATCCTTCTGGTAACAAGCCACCATGTAAAAAACCCTGGCTACATCACTACCTCTAGTAACATGGACCCCATTATCCAATTTTTCTATAAAAAAGCCGCCAGTGCATCAAGTTCAGATTAAGAGCTCTGATCTATGAATATCTGACAATGAGATACCCTGAAAATGTGTAAAATGTAGTAATATGTCTGCCAAAGTCATGTAAATACAGACAGTATTACGCAATGCTGTACAAGAATGCAGAGATAAGCATGTTTAATGCCACTCAAGTATTGGAAGTTATCCCACATCAACTTGCAAGAATCTTGTTGCAGAATGACATCATTATCGTTACGGTCTACTTAACAATGTTTCCCGACATACAGCTGGAATATGTGCGGGCGTAAAACTAAACTTACTCACTAAACTAACAATGTTTCCTTATTTGGCAGTCCTTGACAGATATTAAGGTAGCTTAGAAGGACAGCTAGGATGGCTCATGTTCTATATCTATTCTGCTGAGATACGAGAATCTACGTCACCACTGATCAGGTCTGTCCATGAATTGATGTTTACAGTGTCGGCTCAGAGTTGATGATGCTTGGCAACGCTATCTGCTTAATTATGACATAAAACATATCAGCTCATCTATAGTATATATAATATGACAAAGTAATCGGGGAAAGTATGTACAAAAGATAAAATATAATGCAAGTGATAAAATATTATCTCCAACTGTACCTGACAAACATCAACACAAACCAAAGACAGTACCACACACAGATCGAGAGAAGGCCTCAACGCTCAACTCTCACTCAACTCATTGTGTCTCAGACCAAGAAACAATGTTGGATTTTCAACTAACTTCGAGAGCAAATATAGTACTCAAAAGATGATAAAAATTATTCTTTTATATTACTGCAGTTAATCTGCGATGACAGATTAACCGCAGACACATAAATGAATAGGGTGTTCATCAACTTTTTTTTTAGAGTAGTACAAATAAATATTGCAATTATTTGGTATTTTAAAGATGTATATTTTACAGAAAACTAAAATTTTCTACCACAGTGAGGTAGAGACTTTCTTCTAAAAGGCATATAAAATGTCTGTCCCTAATTTCGTGTAAAAGCTTTTCAAAACATTTCAACCTTCTCATCTAGTTAAGCACAGCATTAATATCACAAATCTGACATTTCCCCTGAAAAACAACTTTGTTAACAACGATTTTCCGTGAGCGAGTGACCTTCTGGCAGTTTGTGTGCGGACATGGTGACTTCACTCCAGTAATACCCATAGTAACCATAGCAACAGTGCTCCACACATCACATCTAACCTGAACTCAGTGCATTGCTGCTACCCAGTGAAATAAACTGTACAGCATATTTAACATCCACAAATAATTTCATAATCAGCTTGAACAACTGGCAGTCGCTGAATTGTAATCGTCTTCAGCAAGGTTTCAACCAGTGGTCGGTAAAACGAAAATATGACATTGTAAGACCAATCAACTACAAAGTGGCCTTTTCCGTGTTCAGGTGATTGTGGGGTTTCATTTAGTGGCCATTTGATTTTAGCAACTACATGTCTAGTACTACTGTTTGGTCAGTTGGTTGGTTTGATATAAAATGATACAAAACATATCAATATTTACTGTAGGTAAACTGCCAAAATAGTCCCTTAGTGTTAAGATGAGGGCTATTTAACCGAAAGTGCAAATTCGACTACTTTTCATAAGCATACCCTTCAAGGTAATCTTTCTCTTATACCTATTAAAACAGTATTTTCCAGTGACCATTTTCTCTAAACTCACAAAATGTTCTCTTCAGAACAACAAAACAGGAAAATGCATATTGTCTATTAATCGAAGAAAAAGACAAATGCGACTGAGACAAATGTATAGTCAACTAGTTTGAATTCAGAGTAGTCAGTACTCTGCATTGAAAACATCTGGGTAGCAGACAACAGCACCGGAACAAACTAAGGGAGATAACTGTTGTGTCCTGAAGGACAAGAAAACCCAAGACACCATGAACTGACAATCTGTCACCATTAGGAACAACTCTGCTAGCTACCTGCTTCCGTATTCTGCTACAGTTGGTAGATACGTATCAAAATGTCTACTGTACACAAATATCATACACAGCTTATAGAAGGCCTTGGTCATACTGGTGTGCTCCGTCCCGATTCACTTGTGTTACCTGAAATAAGAAGAAAACCAAAGACTGAAGGTTTAGAAGCACAAAACACATTCCAGCCATTTCCACTTAACACATGCCACTTATTCTACTGAACAGATCACAGTCATTTCCATTTAACACACTTAAGTCATTTTCACTTAACACACTTGAGCCACTTCTACTAAACACATTCCTGTCACATGTACAAAACACATCTAAGTCATTTCCACTAACACACTTAAGACATTCTACTGAACAAATTCCTGTCATTTCACTGAACACATTCAAGTCATTCTACTGAACACATTCCAGTCCTTTTACTGAACAGATTCCAATCATTTCTACTTAACACACTTGTCATTCTAATTTACACATTCCAGTCAAAAATACTGAACATATTCCAGTCATTTCCACTTAAAACATAAAAGTCATTCTAATGGACAAAATCCTTCCACATGTACAAAACACATTCCAGCCATATCTACTGAACACGTTCCAGTCATGTCTACTGAACACATTCCAGTCATATCTACTGAACACGTTCCAGTCATATCTCCTGAACACGTTCCAGCCATATCTCCTGAACACGTTCCAGTCATATCTACTGAACACGTTCCAGTCATATCTACTGAACACATTCCAGTCATATCTACTGAACACATTCCAGTCATATCTACTGAACACATTCCAGTCATATCTCTGAACACATTCCAGTCATATCTCCTGAACATATCTCCTGAACACATTCCAGTCATATCTACTGACTGAACACTGTTCCAGTCATATCTACTGAACACATTTCCAGATATCTACTATCTACTGAACACATTCCAGTCATATCTACTGAACACATTCCAGTCATATCTACTGAACACATTCCAGTCATATCTACTGAACATATTCCAGCCATATCTACTGAACACATTCCAGCCATATCTACTGAACACATTCCAGTCATATCTACTGAACACATTCTGAACCGTTTCAGTCATATCTACTGAACATGTTCCAGTCGTATCTAACATATTCCAGTCATATCTACTGAACACATTCCAGTCATATCTTCCAGCCATATCTACTGAACACATTTCCAGCCATATCTACTGAACACATTCCAGCCATATCTACTGAACACAGCCATTCCTGAACACGTTCCAGCCATAACACGTTCCAGCCATATCTACTGAACACATTCCAGCCATATCTACTGAACACGTTCCAGCCATATCTACTGAACACTTTCCAGTCATATCTCCTGAACACGTTCCAGTCAGTTACGTGTACTGATCACATTCCTCTGGTCCAATAAAGTAATCGTACCTATTCTAATTCTGTCGAGAGGTCCCCATATCCGGACAGTGCCGTCATCGGAAGCACTCGCCACCATCCCTGGAAGTCGGGGGTTCCAATGAACACAATTAACTGTCCTCGCGTGACCCTCCAGCACGGCAATTGGTGACTCTCGCCGGATGTGCCACACGTAAACTTTATGATCTACAGGCACAAAACAGCAAGGAAATATGAGAAATTATATTCACATCTCCAAAGTACCTTTATTTACTTAGCATTTCACAGAAAGGAATTAAAACATAAGGGACAATTACATAATATTATGAAAATAGAACCAAACAAAATCAACAGACTAATGGATGTAATATTTGGCTTGTTGTCAAAAGAAACAATTAACAACACATATTAAGAAGATCCGAATTATTTTCTAAAGGTCACTGTGTTAATACTTTCAATTGCATTTTGATTTTCACCAGCAACCATACATCACAGTTACAGTTATGATAATTTTCAAAATAAGTGACAAGAGAGATGTTTAAGTGCCATAGAAAGAAAAAACGTAATTCAAACAAAACCCTTCATTTGTTCTCATCTATTTCTCACAGATAAAATAGTGGCACTGCAACTCCAATGAATAAGAAGTTAACCGGTTTAAAATATCAACAAACGACAGCCACTTTATAAAGGTGACCAATTTATGACCACTTTATAAATATATATGTAAAATTCCATAATGGTTCAAAACTGCAAGAATGTACGATTGTGCGACAATAGTGCACAACACTATTTACCAAACATAAACATTCAACCTGTAGCCATATAATAGACACTACCTTTATTAAGAATTTGTTTCAAAATTAACTAAAAAAGTCCAGTAGGTCAAATCAAGGTCTCATGAAACATAGAACATGTTGAGCTACATACACATGTTAACACCTACATACATTATTACATTTAGACTGAAAATGGTAATGTCCATACACAGATTTTTAAATATGACCACCACAGTGGCTAAAATCCAAATGCAGCCTCTTGGGCAATTTAGGTGTCATCAATGTTGGGCACCAATCCTGACAGAGTCAGGAGAAGTTATAAGAGTGAACCCTGCTGTACTCACCTTCACTGCCACTGGCTACAAAATCTTGATTCAAGCCACCAAAACATGAGAATATTGTGTAGAAACCCTGACTGATACCTTGAAATTTGCGCAGTAATATTTTGTCTTTTAAGTCCCATAAATGGACTCCCTGAAATGGATAAACATGAAAAGTTTGAATGGCAAAATTCCAATAGTACAGATAATGAATTTAATCTTGAATTATTCAATCAACATCCAATTATGTGAAAAGATTTCATAAATGTTTTCTTAAAATCTTGCTGTGATAGGTTTTATCCGATAAATGTAAAACCATTCAATACAATGCCAAGTCCTGTTCACACTGTGCTTCCACCTCTAATGTTCAAATAGTCATTTCAGTGTACGCCCCTTTAAAATTAGTACGAAACAAGCATGACAGAAAGGCATCCAGTAAATGCATGAAGATCAATCCTCGTTTAGTGGGGTGACGACATACCTGAGTGGCTACATTGAGTAATGCTAATCTGCCTGTTTCATTGATTGCGAAAGACATTATGGGATGGTCTTCTTGAATACTGAAACATAAGACATACAAAGAATTATAAAAAACATACTGTGCATGATAGACTATCAAAACACAGGAATATTTGCAGTAGGTTTGATATCTATCTCATAAAACTGGAGCAGTAGCAGTTGACTCCATCAACTATCAGCGGTGTTTCAGTTAGGGACCATTCATAATTGATGGCTTTGGGGGATGATGATGATTTTAAGAGATGGGAAGGGAGCCATCAATTTTGCACATGTGTACTAGTCGGGGTCAGCAATTTTGTACATTATAAATATTGCAAAAATATGCCTAGAAATTATGGGGAGGGGGACACTGAATTTGTACGACACATGGGTGGGGGTGGGCTGGGTGTGTGTGTGTGTCAGCTGTTGGTCTGTAGTCAGAGCATTGAAGAAAGATGCGATCTGTGTCAAATACATAATTACATTTCAACATCATCCAAATAACATTGTAACCTAGCAACCAGTCTTGTGCCAAGTATTACAAACCAGGATCTCTTCACAAGGCATGAGTGTTCACACTCAATCAAACCCTAGCATCCATGCTTACCATTTCACACATACTTTTGTCTTAAAGTGTTTGAGGACAATAGATACTGAACACAAAGAATGCTTCACAAAATCCACATCATGGTTCCAAACAAGTGGTTGCTGCTAATGGACACAGCTATCGCTTGTAAAATTTGCAATGAAATAGTCCATAATTAAGCAAAAACAAATATTTTTAAAAGTGGTTTATAGTTTTTCAATCAAACCACGCAAGTACTTTTTACTGATCTGAGTGCAAACTGATTGAATTTGTTTGCTGGAACATATGGACAGTAATTGCGGTGACTGAGATATGCTGCTAGATTTATACGACTTCAGCTATTTCATGTACTAGCAATGTTAACACTTCGTACAGTGTTGTTGCTGTGTTTGTTGGTGTAAAGATCGTAAATCATCAGTAGTTAACACCCTTACTGTGGTTATCTATCATTTTGCATGTCTGTCAGCAACCAAATCATAAGTGTTTCATTATCTGTTAAACTAGGCTGTCTGTTACGATAGTAACCTTTGTGACATTGGAGACAATAACAGTGATCTACGATAGTAACCTTTGTGACATTGGAGACAATAACAGTGATCTACAATAGTAACCTTTGTGACATTGGAGACAATAACAGTGATCTGATTGGACAGAGTCATTGCAAGGGACACAATTTGGAGAGGCAACACAATCTAGCCAAGAAAAGTAGGCTTGAATTGGCAATAACATGCCCAGATATCAGCCAGTTGACTGTTTTGCCTTGGGAAGATGATTTGAACTTGGCTACAGACGAAAATACGAAAGAGTACAATTAATGAAAGCAGCACTCAGTGATGTAGAGATAAATATGAAGAAAAGTAAACCACAGACTCACAACTTAAAGTGTATCAGATTATAACAGACTCACATATTGAAGTCTGTCAGATTATAACAGACTCACATATTGAAGTCTGTCAGATTATAACAGACTCACATATTGAAGTCTGTCAGATTATAACAGACTCACATATTGAAGTCTGTCAGATTATAACAGACTCACATATTGAAGTCTGTCAGATCATCAAAGTTGTATCCCCTGATTCGATGGTGTGTATCTGCTGCCAACACTGTTTTGCCGTCTCCTTGGCAACCCAGACACTGGACCCGAACACCCTCCCAGTTGTCCAGCACAGTGCCATCAATATCCTGCAACACAGAACATACATGCTGATGGTCAAACACCAATTGAGGACAACAGTAAGCCTAGTCCATACAGTCAGGGTTTTACTGGATGTAGAATCATTATAATGCTAAGAATGGAGTCTAAGATAAGCTTTTGTGAATGAAAGTATTTGCATATTTCTGGCACCAAATATTGTGCTGAAAAGGTGTAAATATTGAATCATGGTCACAATGATAACGTGTGAAAAAGCTGAGCGATGTATGCAGACATCCAAAAATAAGGAGTAATCCCTAGTGATGTAATGAATGAGGAATTACTGGTGATGCTGTCACTTAAAAGTACCAGTATAAAAATGGTTTTTTTTAGATTAAAAGCATTGTTTTAACAAGCTTACATTCAGACGTACTTATACGTACCTGTTAAGCTACCTACCGTAAGTCGAGTGGAAGCGAGGTGTCAACACAAAACAACCACACCTGTGCAACTACCTCCCCTTCCCTGTCACCAATCTTTCCGGAGCCTAAGGCCAAAAAGCCGGAGAAAAGCGACAAACAGGCCAAAGTCCAGAGGGGTGGATGGGTGGGACTTAACCATACGTCTGAATGTAAGCTTGTGAAAACAATGTTTTTAATCTAGAAAACCCATGTTTTAGCTAACATTAAGCCATACTTATGCTTATCCGTCGGCAGGCGGTGGGGGACAAGGCCCAACCACATAATTGCCTATGTGAATCCGACACCCCCTGGTGACATGTAGTATTGACAGACTTCACAAGGAGGGTTGTTTATACCCAAGACATAAAGAAAAAACAATAACTACATAATCGCTACAATCCACAAGAGTTTGATGGGTATTCTAGAAGTTGGTGACTCAAGTCAAAAATGAAACCCAAGACATAAAGAAAAAACAATAACTACATAATCGCTACAATCCACAAGAGTTTGATGGGCATTCTAGAAGTTGGTGACTCAAGTCAAAAATGAAACATACAACTTTATGGATGACAACTTCTTTTTTATTGCATAGAGCGACGTTTCGATTCTTACAACTGTTAGCTAGATCAACTTTTAGCTTGATAACGATGTAAGAATCTACATCAAAACGGCGCTCTATGCAATAAATAAGAAGTTGTCATCCATAAAGTTGTATGTTTCATTTTTAATCCACAAGAGCATAAGGCTCAATGGCTCATCCATTTCGCTCATATGACGACGTGCATGCGTGTGTATTTATTGCAGAAAGTACACAAAGTCGAGATGCCAAAGGCAAGAATCACTGACGACGGGCGGAGGGAAGTTGTTGCGCGACAACTAGGGGCCCGAATTGCTGGATGCCTGCAACATCTGCTGTCGAGATATCCCGCAAATAGTGAGAGGCAAAAAATGAAGCAGATTTCCAAAAACAGCCTTCCATAATAGCCTGGAGGGAACAATACTATGAAGAGACAATGTTGACGCAAGCGCCCGAACTTCGTGAGGGTGGGTAGAGGACGGCAGGTCCATATTCTGCGCAGCATATGCCCGGAGAATCACAGCCCGTAACCATTAAGAAAGAGTATTTCTGGTGATCTCTGACTTGGAGGTTGGAGACAACGGACCGAATAAATGGCGAAAATACTTTCGACGTGATTCAGAACGTTGAAGGTAAATGCATAAAGCACGCACCGGACAAAGGGACAAGTCTGCATGCTTCTGAGAACACAGGATGGCGGAAAGTGGAGGAATGTGAAACATTCGGGCCTCTTGCCCAGGAAGCTGAATTTGGGCGAGAATATCCCACTGTAGACCAAGATGGACATCGCCAAGGACACATTGGTCAAACTGTACCCGACCATAATCAATAGCATGAAGCTCAGACACCCTAGCCGCCGTAGCCAAAGTAAGGAGAAACGTTGTCTTTTGAGTCAGAAGGTCAAAAGAGACTGTATCCAGAGGTTCATAGGAGTCGCTAGTAAGATCACGCAGAACGACGTTAAGATCCCAAGCAGGAGGAAGGAATTAACAAACTTGATCCTCCACAGAAAAAGCCCGAAGGAGTTTTTGAAGGGAAGGAACTTTCGTGAGCTTGTCACCCAAATCGAAAGAGACAACTGAACTGATGGCAGCCACATAAGTCGAGATGGTTCAACCCTTGAGATGGCGTGAGGACCGAAAGTGAACGAAGAAATTGGCCACCTGTGGAGGTGTAGCAGAAGACGGAACAAACCCCGGTTTCTCAGCAAAAGTGGAGAAGGAAACCCACTTATCATCATACAGTTTACGAGTCGTGACACGATGAGCTGATGAAATAAGTGCGGCAGCCCGAGTAACCCTTCAAGGAAGCTTTGAGCAATCCCACACGTGAAGTTGGCAGTTGTGCAAACCCCTGTGCAGGGTGTTGCTGTGTGGATGCAACAGAAGATCCTCCTGGAATGGAAGAGTGAGTGGAGGCCGATTTACGACGCGTAACAAATCTGGGAACCACGTCGTGGCCAAAAGCAGACGAAGTCGATTGGTCTGTCGAATCTTCTCCAACATCAAAGGCAACAGAACGGTTGGAGGGAACGCGTAAATGTCCCAAGCCAGCCGATCCAGGACAGGAGACACGAAGCGGGGAAGACGATTGTTGTGCCGTGTCACAAACAGATCCACCTGTGGAGTCCAGAAAGACTCCGTCAGAAGACGAAAAGTGCTGGGATTGAGCATCCACTCCATGGGAGTGGGACGAGATGACGTAAGCAATCACGTTTCTGGCCCAGAGAATGTGACGCACCCAGACCTCCATGTGTAAGGGGTCGCTGAGGGCGAAGAACTCAAACGTGAGGCTGAAGAGAGCAGATGACTGGGTCAATCCCAGTCGGTTGACGTTGTGGACGACCGTCGCATTATCCGACTGTATCATCAACTGACTGACTGTGATGTTCCCAACGTCGAATGGCCCGAATGACTGTGTCGAATTCGAGACAATTGATGTGATGAACCTGTTCACCTGGTAACCACCATCCGGCTACCTGATTGTCTTCGAAATGAGCTCCCCAAGCTTCCAGCGAAGCGTTGATGAAGAGATGAGACTTCGCAACCGTTCGACGGCAGGATGCCGACGCAGATGGACTGGCAAGTGAAGCAGACGATCAGGAAACAGCAGATGGGGGTAAAGAAACCGCTGCAGGACACAAAGGTGGAGTCGACCACAGGAAGTGAGATCCTGTGCTGACATCAACAGTCCCAGAACCTCCTGCCAACGGTGCACCGTCGCTGACGCATGCAGAAGGGCGGGAAAGCAGGCGACAATCTTGTCCCATTGATCTTGAGGAAACACAGATTGAGCGCCGTCTTGAAACGAATGCCCACGTATGTCAAATTCTGGGTGGGTGATAACTCGGACTTCTGGAGGTTGACGATCCACCCTAGGTGAGCTAGAAGATAGAGGGTGGTAATCATCTCCAGATGTAGATCCGACAGAATTTGATGCCCTTGCAGACCATCGTCTAGGTAGAAGGCGACCCTGATAGCTTGGCGATGAAGAAAATCCACGACCGGTTTCATAATGCGAGTGAAAATTGAACAGGGCCGTAGAAATTCCAAATGGTAGGGCTGCCCATTGGTAATGAAAGCCTTGATAGATGAAACGGAGATATTTCTGGAACCCTAGGTGAATCAGAACATGTAGATAGGCATCCTGCAGGTCTATCTATATGATCTATTGAGATATGTTTGGCAGAACCATCCGATGAAGAGAACTGAGAGAGATCATGGTGAACTTGTCCGGCAGATGGAGATACATGGCATGGAAATGCTTCAGATTGAAGATGAGGCACGTTTTGGACAAGTTCTTCTTCGGAACGAGGAAGATAGGGGAGTAAAAGCCGGGTGATGTCCTCGAGGGTCCCAGGCGTAACATGGCTGCCTTCTCTACCTACGTGTTGATGGCCTCCAACAACCGGGCCGACGACGTTTACAGTAGAATCTCGTCTTGTCGGGGGGCGTAACCCCTTGTCAAGTTGTTGAACATACGGGTCGTCTAAAACGGCCCATCTCTGAGAAAAGAACCAAAGCCTCCCCACAACTGGTAACGTTTCTAATGGTTGAGCCACTGGAGGAGAAATCAACCTCTCTCTCTGGGGAGAATGTAAAGTCATTTCCTCCCACGTGTGCCGCCTTTGCCTCCGCATTGAGGCGTGGAAAAGGACACCCGTATTCTTTCTCCAACAGATCATCGGCTGTGACTGGTCGAACGGTTGGCTTGAAAAACCTTCTAAACATGACGATGTCGGTATCATTGTTCGGGAACATTGTGGACCGGCTGGTTACATACAGGTCGCTGGTTTGACAATATAATCAATTGTTTCTTGCTCTCCGGCGCATACTTCTAAAACTGAAGGAATGGCTCCATTGAATAATTGAGAGGAAGTCCATTTTTCCCGTAAAAGCGCCCTAGTGTGTCGTTTCGGGAGCTTAGACATTGTAAGAAAACCTTGTCTGTGAAGTTGAGTGACCTGCCCTGAGATATAACGAGTATGTGCTAGCGCATCCAAGTCCACTTATGTATGCAAGACAGTGTAGCCATCGCCATCCGATCATCATCCTTCTCCTCGAAGTATTTATTGAGACAATCCATCGCAGTGGACACCATGGCTAATGGTAACAGTTGATGCCGTGCTGCAGCGTCTACAGATTCTAACGGCTTGTCGTCAGTCATGTATAAAGTAGTGGTGGGAAACAATAACGCCCAGTCAAGATCTCTAGAGACAGGAGCAGTATGTGGGACACTTATGGCGCATTCCCAGTTTAGCGAATGGTTGAGATGGCAACGCCAATGCAAAAGATTCGTTCATTGAAGTAGGAAGTTTTGTTAAAGCTGAAGGCGGCGGAAACCTGAGAGAGTCTGGGGTGTTTCCAAGTTGAAAAAACCCAGCAGTGGGGTTTGATGCATCATAAGCATCCATAAAGTTGGACATCTATGCCAACACTTCATTGCTCTGTGGGGGTCGAGGAGGACTATCATCCCCTTTATCCAGAACCAAAGTACTGGTTGAGTCAACCTTCATGGGTGAAGACTGAGGCGCAGGAGGCACTGTAGAGATAGACGCAGTCGGCTGAATGACGGGGTCGACAGACGGAAAAAGCACAGCACGCAATTGAGTCAAGATGTCGGTTGGTAAAGAAAGAGAGGGAGGAGCGGACGCTGAACCAGACGTCGAGATATCAGGGTACACACTGGACGAAGTGGTAGTCGCTGTAGGTGGTCGTTGTCGGGAAGAACGAGCACGTAAAGATAAGGAGAACGACAACGTGGAGACGAGTAATCCTCCTCCTAAGAACGCCCCTGGCCATAACGGGAAGGAGTAGCTGACCTTGACCTGTCATAATCATAACGAGGAGGGCGATCACACTGAGATGGACGAAAATCATCAAACTGCCGAGACGACTCAGTATCCGTTCTATCATAGTCATCATAATGTGAATCCATATAGTGTTCAGGGACTCGATCCATGGATTGCTCAAAACTGTCCCATCCATCCGGGGAGTTGTAACGATCCGGTCAACCGCGTCGATCCTTCTGTACAGATCGACCAGAACGCTCCAACAAAGTATCCCGCTGGCGTGACGAATGACTGCTCGCACGAGAACGATAAACTTCAAGTCAACGGAATATGGAACATAGCTGTCCTTCGCAATGCAAGACGGACAACTACTGTTGGGCTCAGCTTCAGTCCAACCACACGTGTTCCAAATATTGTGCAAAACAAAAGTGTTCAAATTGTTCAAATTCACAGAAAAAAGTCACCGAAGCAAACAAGACGGTTACACCAAGAAATAAGGTAAGTAAAACTTTACTACACAACTCAAACAACACTTCCAACAAAGGAAACATAGAGAGCTCTATTCCACACGTCCTACTGGTATGGAGCGCAGGAAAGATTGGTGACAGGGAAGGGGAGGTAACTGCACAGGTGGGGTTGTTTTGTGTTTACACCTCTTTTCCACTGACTTACGGTAGGTAGCTTAACAGGTACGTATAAGCATAAGTACGGCTGAATGTAAGCTAAAACATTAATTCTCTATAGCACATCTCTGAGGTATGGACAAGAGTTTTCTGTTAGATATACACAAATATCGAGTTGGATTTTAATTAATTTTTTGTCAATACAACAGCAACTGTTTTTTAAATCCCCAAACAGCTATATTCCACATGAATGATAGGGGTCTGTCAATAAGCCTTGACCAGACAACTGATACTGTGTGTACATTGACAATCAATCTACCCAGTCAGTAAGTCTGACCACTAAACACATTTGGTTGCCTACAACAGAGTAGCTTAGTGGCGATACATTAAAGCTGAGATACAAATTAAGAAAGATGCAAAAATACAAGATGTTTCCATTAGAAATATTGCATAACCATGGCAACTGTTCCACTCACACAAATATAGAACTGGCCTCTTGTGCCTCCTGTGACGAACTTCTTGCCGTCTACATGCCAGGACGCACTCGTCAGACTGTCCTCTGGGGATTGACTCAGCTTCTGACGTAGATCTCCTGTCTGAAACATGGACCGGGCAAATCCCATTAAGTAGCAGTTACACGTAGAACACGACAGTGCTATTGAGCTCTACTGAATATGTCTGCTGTCACTGAAAGCTTAAGGGGATGTGGACATATTCTGACTAGGCATCCTGTTTTCAGAGGCATTTAGAAGTTCGAGAAAGGAGTGAGTGAGTGAGTTCAGTTTACGCTGCTTTTAGCAATATTCCAGCAACATCACAGCAGGGGACAGCAGAAATGGGCTTCACACTCTGTACCCATGTGGGGAATCAAACCTGGGTCTTCGGCGTGACAAGCGAAACATTTAACTACTAGGCTACTTGAGAAAGGAAGGAAGGATAACAATGGACTGAGAGGCATAAATAAAAGTGTGATGAAATGTTTATACAGTTGATTATATCGAGTTACTATAGCATGTGGAAGCCTGGGAAGTACACAAAGGGTCTGCCTCTACACTATGTTCATGATGTTAGAAGCTACACTAAACCACTGCTCCCACTGTAATAAAGAGGTTCTTCATCGATATTCTACCAAGTGGGTGTATCTGGAGGCGACGTATTTGTTCTGAGCAGCATCCCCCCTTCAGGAGATGTCCCTTTTCGGTCTCTATTCCTACTTGGAGGAGTGTCTATTCTCTCCAGAACTACCTACAGGAGTGGTAAAGGAGGACTCACCTCAACATTCCAGATCCACAGCTCGGAGCAGTCGTCTGGGCCACATGCAACAATGTGTGAGCTGTCAGGACTCCATGCTATGTAGGCAACTCCATATGGATGGCTGTCATATGTCTTTCTGTGTCGTAATTCATGAGTTTCCTATGTACAACATTGAGGAATCCCATTACAGTTACTTGCCCTGCCTTGTGAGTGAGTGGGATAGTTGGGTTAAATGACACTTTGAGCAGTAGTGCAATTATACCACAGCTGCTTAATTCGGGAGGAAAGGTCTAAGACATTTACCATTTTTGGCGAAACCTATGAGCACGGCTATAGACATATCTGAGACAAACTGGAAATCCAACCTACATTCAAAGGATCCTAGCATTTTCTGGCTTGAAATTAGAGAAGTGGGACCAGAAAAGACCAGGGCCACGTTTCACAAAGCTCACGTAAGCCAAAGATCTCGTAACTTTTCACGTAGCATTCGTACCTCCTGTGTTATAGCATAGGAGATACGAATGCTACGAGAAAAGTTATGAGATCTTAGGCTTACGAGAGCTTTGTAACAAGGCCCTGGGCTCCATGTGGACGCCCATGCTGATATGCCATCATGTATCTAAATTAAAACTGTGCATTGAATTAGTTAACATGGTAAAGAAAAGACTCCATGTTCGACTCATGGTAAAGTCAATAAATAACACCATCAGGGATGTATCCAAACCTGCTCAGAAGCCAATACTCAGGCTCAAGGCTACAGCAACTATGAGTAAATATTCCTAAATTAGAAATACAAAGATTACAACATGTTATTTTGTGACATTTTGGTTCTGTAGAAGTCACTTCAATATGATGATTTTCTCCCCAACTGCCGGACAAGGTCATTTGGTTTGGAAGCCTGGCTATATCTACGATCATAGACAGGGAAAAGTTGAAAATGAGACTGCTAGTCAACTTACAAGATCTACATCCCACACAATCATTGTGCAATCCTTTGAGCCGGTGGCGAGTTTGGTGCCATCTGGTGAGAAGCGACAGAACCACACTTCGTCACAGTGGTCATTGAGAATCTGTATTGTGTTGCATGGAAACTGGTCCCTATGAAAGAATATTAAGTTACCAATGTGGTCAGATGTGGCAATGGCAAAGTTTGTTTCACAACTTCATAATAATAATTCCTAAGTCACAAATGTCAACAGAATTAATCTTGTTGAGTCACAATTCAAGTGCTTGTAATATAATTGAAGTTTGTATATTATAATTAGATCACATATTTCTCGGGATTTCAAACCTTAACCAAGTCTTTGGGTATATATATACTGAACTTCATGCAACTTTCAAAATTGTCAATAATTTTAACATGGTTAATGTTCAGGATTATATAAATAAAACCATGAACATGTTCTGAAATGTCCTGTACCATTCAAGGTTTAACATCACTGACTGTATTTCACTGTTTTTCAACTTTGGTGAAAATGTCCGATTAAATTGAGATAATATCAAAATGCCCTTTGTCAGTGCGATATCTCTGGTAATTGGTGACCTTTTCTCAATTCCCCAGTTGTGACACTGGGTGAGCAGCCTGGACTTACTTGGTGCAGACGTGGTCCAGGAGTAGTGAGACTGCATCCAGCCCACTGTCCAGACGGGTATTGTGGTAGGGACACTTCTCCTTCTGCAGCTCCACTGCCTGTGTGAGTAGTGTCAGCAGACGGCGAGGTGGCAACATTACTGTGGGGGGCAGAAAGGCTGCAGACAGATGGCATATTCCTTAGACATATTCTATTTGGTCTACCCTCTTACAGTCACCAGGGCAGGCCGAATATTCCTGAGACATATTCCACTTGATCTACGGCCTAATAGTCACCTGAGGCAGACGGCACATTCCTTAGACATTTTCTACTCGGGCTACATTCTTTCAGTCCTGAGGCAGACGGCATATTCCTTAGAAATTTTCTATTAGGGCTACATTCTTTCAGTCCTGAGGCAGATGGCACATTCCTTAGACATTTTATACTTGGGCTACATTCTTCCAATCATGAGGCAGATGGCATCATCTTCCCTCACTGTACACTCCATCAGTGTGGACACAATGCTAAATAGCCAGTACAGACACTGAGGCCAAAAATAATTCTACAGGGCATCAGGCTACAATCATCAGACATTGCCTATATTCAGCCAAAAATCATAATTCTTTATTGAAATTATCTGCTCAATTACCTGATTCTTTTACTATTTTAAAGCCCAATCTTTAATTTTATCAGTGATTTTGTTTTATCTCTATATCAAATCAAGCTTGCGAGTAGACAAAATAAAATTCGAGAAGGTTACATTTAAATGAAACTATATTCTTTAATTACCTTATTGTTCTATTGGAAATGAAAAATTAAGTACAGATTTAAGCCTCTTTTAGGCTAGTTGTAAGTGTCACAAGCTACAATAGGTGGACTGAATACAATGCCACAATGACATTATTTCGAACTAGAAAAAGACCATGTCATATTATGCTTGAGCATTATTCCATACTGCCAAACCCAGTCACAGACTTGGATTTTGGCCAACAGGTAAATATGGATGTGCAGGTATCTATCAACGAATGTATCTGGGATACATCAAGGGGTAGTGTGACTTCCACTTGTGCTGCTACTTACACTGTAGTTTCTCCACCAGCCTCTGTCTCGACTCAGGGCCCTTGCCCTGCCAGTCGGCCATGTCGCGCAAATCCTCTGGGGTGCTGCACATCATGTACCTGAAACAGGAAGACTCAATAATCCTCTACACCTCCCAGCACACAGTGAGTCTCAGCATCAGAGGAAGACCTAATGGCACACATGTTGAGAACAACAAACCAAGGGATTGGGTAAATACAGGATTAAAACCAATCATCAGTTGATCTTGGAATGTTGCTTGTGGATTGGTTGGTTTGTTGTATAACGCTGCACCAGCTATATTCCAGCTACATGACGGCAGTCTGCAAATAATTGAGTCTGGACCAGACAATCCAATGATCAACAGTATGAGCATTGTTCTACGCAATTGTGAAATATTGGAATGACTGCATGGTGACGTGAACTAGGACCCCTATGCCTACTGAAGTTGCTATGTTCTTGTACTGTTGTCATCTGTGACAGGTAGGCACAGATCCCACAGTATACCCACAAACAGGGACAATACCCAGAAGCATAGATATATATCACTTCCACCACAAACATATCACAACCGACATGCTCCCACTGCGACAGACTGAGCCAGGAACCACAGCTGGTCCCTATACAAATATACCACTGAGGCCTTCTCTCCACCATAGTTTGTTTGTTTGTTTGTTGTTTAACACCACAATTAGCAATATTCCAGCAATATGGCAGCAGACTGTAAGTAACTGAGTCTGGACCAGACAATCCAGGGATCAGCACCATGAGCACTGATCTACGCAATTGGGATATACAGTCTACTACATTGAGGATCATTTTACGCCGCTTTTAGCAATATTCCAGCAACATCACGACGGGCGACACCAGAAATGGCCTTCACACAATGTACCCATGTGGGGAATCAAACCTGGGCCTTCGGCATGACAAGCGAACGCTTTAACCATTAGGCTACCCTTAAGCCTACTACAGACTGAGACAGGACCAACAGTTGGTCCCAAAGCAAACATACCACCATTGACGCACTTCTATTTCTATATTTAGAATCCAGTAGCTCACCACATACTATTTCCCTGAAAAAAATTAAGTGATGAAATCATGTGTGGTAGTTTCAGTAATGTCTATGTTTGAAGGAAACACTCACGAGCTGAGAATGTGCACCCTCTCAGTGTTGTACTTGAGGGGGGTGAGCTCATGGCGTAGACAGCTGAGGGCCTCCAGGACTCGTCCATCCTCGAGCTGCTCTAGGTACTTCTGTTCCAGCAGCAGGAACTTCATCTTCTGAAATACAACCAAACACATGTATCTTAATCATAATAATCACAACGACAATAATATATTTGACTAATATTTTGCTGACCTTCATACACATTCATATTCTGAATACAACCCATTCTGATGTACAGCATTACAAATTCATGATATGTAATACAACCATAGAACTTCAGCACCAGGGGTGGAAATAACTTTAAAAAAAATTCTAGTGTACTCCGGTACAATGGCACATGCAAAATCACTTGCCCTGATAATTTTTCCACTATACCAGCCGTTTTCTTGTTGATTTTTTAAATAAACAACATAATTAACATTGGAAAGTCAACTGGACACCAGTACAGTGTGATATACAAATTTGCTCGCCTGACAGAAAAAACACTGGACTCAGACGTCGGGCAATGGGTTATTTCCACCCCTGAGCAAATTCTTTATAACTTATGAGTGAGTGAGTTTTAGTTTTACCCTGCTTTTACCAATATTCCAGCAATATCATGGCCGGGGACACCAGAAATGGGCTTCACATATTGTACCCATGTGGGGAAACAAACCCGGGTCTTTGGCGTGACGAGCCAACGCTTTAACCACCAGGCTACCCCACCACCCCTTTTCTAACTTGTATTTGTTGACTGCAACATGTACAACACACAATCAGTGTACAGCAGATCACCTTGACATATGTGACTTACTAGAAGGCCTTGGGCACATTCTACTAGGGACTTCAGTTCATTCAGGGCTGTCTCTGCCTATAACACAACAATGGATGTCATCATGTAGACCATGGTAAAAATCTGAGCAGGTTATTACCAAGATTGAATGTCAATAACCTTCACATACATTCCACATGAAAAGGTGACTTCAATAATTTTCACAAAATGTGAAGATAAAACAAAAACATCAAAGTTAAGAACTGAATGGAATGACAAAAAACTCTTTTAAAAATCCCAATTTTGAACACAAGCTTTTTTTCCTAACTGTTCTCTATGGACACAAGGTTTAAAACCCCAACACCTCAGGGTGTATTCAAACCAGGAGGGAAATAATCAGTGCAAATGAGGGGCTGAACACATAATCAGTGGATCCTGACAAAGGTAAGGGAGGAAACTCTTCACAACAGAGCCTCAAATGTATTGAGGCACCGGTGCTCATGCTCATAACATCATAGCAAGTTACAAGGGGTGAATATGAAACAGCTTAAAACACTATGATAAATACAAAATGAGCATAAGGCCTAAAAAAAAAAGCTTATGGTTCCGATTTCCCGACCAACCCTAAAAATTCCCGCTGAGCCTAACAATTTTACTCACCACATAATAAATTAAATTTATTTTCTGACACATGAGTAATGTAAAATATTTTGAAAAAAACCCCAAAAACCTACCTACCTACCCTAGTTCTGAAATGTAGGAAATCGGAACCACAACATTTATTTTTTTTGGCCTAAGCAGCTATTTCAGCTATGCAATGTTATTGGTGCCAAAACATGTTTTGTGGCATTGCTTGTTACTCCTGCAAATATATTTTTGTTGTTATAACACTGTTTTACACTAATACGAAGTATTATATTAATAATAGTCACTTCTTTCGACAAGCATGGGTTGCTGAAGACCGATTCCAACCCGGATCTTCACAGGTATGGTATCATAGTGTATCAGTTGATCAGTAAATTTATTCCCATCTTATACCACGCACCAACTAATGGCCATCCTATAAGTATCATGACAAAGGGCTTACTATGTTTTCTTATACAATGGGTATACTGGGATGATATATCATCACAACTGGAGCTACTGTTCATGTTAGACAAGTTGATTTACTGAACCAGTAACCATGGTAACTTGTTTTTATCAAATAGACCCCTCATCACATGTTTGAATATATTACGCCAGACATAAAATGATATGGCAGTAATACATTATTTAATATCCAGTCACACCCACTGAACTTTAAAACACAGTACATTATTCTGTTCCCAAGGACCTACAGAGTAAGATAAGTGCTATGTCATGTATGAATCGTAGATGTTGGAATACACAATATACTAGCCATGCTAAATCCTCCCTAACATTTATTTCAATCATATGGACACCAACGGACAGACATTATGCCTTAACATAATCTGTTTTAAAAAGATATTTAAACATAAAACCATATGCCTACTCCAGTGCCACACTTGACAATACTTAGAACATGCATAAAACATAAATAATTGAGTCCTTATTAATATTACCTACTTCATTCACATAATCCATTACATTTACCTCATTAAACAAACACAAACCATTGTAGGCTTAAAGATCAAAAAGCATTAAATAGTAATTACCCATGAACGATATTATGTCTTGTCTTAAATCAACAGAAACATCATATAGTCTTTTCAAAATTGTATCAACATCTTGTTTGTATAACAATAAGCATTTCTGTAATTGAAAAACTGACAGAAAAAATTAAGTGTTTACATACAATACATCAAATGTTTATGTATTAGTATACATTAGCATTATAACCTTTGACCCCACTTCATGACAATACCAGAATACCATATCTATAAATTAAACAGTATTTTTAGTCTGTTAAAGTGTCTTCTAAATCACTTAATCAAACAAGGTCTGAAGTTCAGCTATTGTGTCTCAATCTTATGCAAAACTCCACACTAAAATGGGCACTATCTTCATATAGATGTGGTTTGTTTTGGTCTCGCTATGATCATGAGGTCATGTGATATGCAAATGATCAGCTGTTGCTATTTATAGCTCTGAATGTCAGCAATAACATGCTTGTCTCCTAGGCTGGCCTTAGATTGTGGTCAGTGAAGCTTTTATATAGGCTACAGACATAATTCCTTCTTCAAATATGTGTTATAACAGCATGAACAGACTATATACATGTGTCACTAACCAGAAATAGTACTTCACCAACGAAGGGCCATTAGTAAAAACTAAAGTATACTACACAAACACAAATGCTTAACACAAAACTTAAATTAATGATTAGTAAAATATTTGAAAACATATCAGTGTCTGGAATTATTACATAATTTCTTTAGTGTAGTTTACATGAATTTCTAAACTACAACATGTACAATATATATCCAAATATGTAAAACATAATTTTCTGAATTTAGGTAAAAAACAGTTTTGCACATTACCTCTTTCCAATCCCCATCCATAACATAGGACCTGAATTTGGCAGCAGCTGGGTGCTCTAGCATACATCCCGACTCTGCAATCAGCTGTTCAGCTGTGCGACTGAAAAGTTAACAAACCTTTGATGCAAGCAACCCTCTGTATGTGTGCAAGCTTAATCAATACAATTTGTCAACATGTAGGGGATTGTATGCCATTGCACTGCATGTTCTAAAAAGTGCACTGAGATACTCAAATATGCAAAAGGTTATGGTATATAGTTGCAAATTCTGAGTCGATTTTCTGTTGTGGTATGATCAGCTGATTGCTAATGAGGATGAAAACACCATATGTGCCAAGGCTTACTACCCTTGTCACAAGTTGCGGGCACCTGCTTCAGGTGACTAGTGGTCAGGAATGCTACACGTAAATCCAATGTATCCATATGAGAAAGTGAATAGGAATGAAGGAAATATACAAAGGCTGAAATAAACATCCTTTCCATATCACAACTGACTAGCAATTCGCTGTCAACACTGATGCTTACTTCAGTCCGAGTCCCCTCAAGTGCTGACCGATTAATCGGACAATGTCTTGGTCAGTCCTCGACATAGATTTCATAGACGTTTCTCTCTCTGTCTCAGATGACAATATGCCATTAGTAGCAGAACAGGCCCCATTTTGCTGCGAAGTCGAAGCGATTTCTTCAGTCGTATCTCCATTGTGCTGTTGGCAGCCATTAAAATTTGCCTGCATGTTTGAGGCTGACAATCGCTGCTTTTTAGGCGGTGGGGGCGACACACCACCGTCTTCCGAGTCTGACGACGATGCCAGTATTGCTTTACAAGTTCTTATGGTTTGTATTATTTATCGAATACAAACCATTGGACTAGGAACTTAAGACAAAAAAGACCTAAAGGTGAGGCTGTACTACCCGTCTCCCGTGGCCAAATTTGTTTTGCTTCGTGACGTCACCAGAAGTAGCATGAATGCTGGGAAATACCACCGCGCGACTATTCAACTTTTAGTAAACTATTATGTTCATAAAATCTTTATTTTAACCGCAATAATTATAATAATTATACCAAAATGTTATTTAATATTGTGCCGTACGCATCATATAATATATTTACAGAAGGCACGATAAATGTATTATATAATAATTTGTTTGTGTTAAGATAACACACATAGGGAAATATATATATATTTGCTGCTAAACATCAGGTTGAAAGTCTCACATGTACATTTACCTACAACGGGTACCCCCGAAATGCCAACAGGCGAAGGCGACCTCCAAAGCACACGGGTACCTGAAATAATACTTTGCAAATTGAGCATTCAAGAGAAGTAGAATGACGTGGTGTGTAAAAGTAATATAAGATGCGGAAACTCTCTCATGCTATATGTAAATGTACGCTAAGGAGGAAGTTAAATATTACTCCTTTTGTTTGAGTTATGTTCTTTCTTCAATCTCTTTTTCAGGTTTGTATAATAGCTAAATCGTGTTTGTGAACTTTGGTAGATTTATATTTGGATGAAATAAAACTGTTATTGCCTTTTAGTGTTTTAAATCTAGTCACTATTACGTCATGGGACAGTGGTATGACGTCATTAAACAAAGGTAACATGAGCCAAAAGTAGATTCTATTGTGTCTTCAACAATCAACTATTTTTGCATGTCAATGTGTTCACATAAAACCACTCTATTATCAGGGGAACAACATTTCCTCAAACATTATCTTGGAAAAATATTACCCGTGATACCAACAGTACATTTTTTCATAAAAAATCTTCCTATGTTTGCAGCGATTCTCGGTCAGAATAAGTCCCGTTTGTACCTCCTGCTTGTCACGAGAACCGACTAGCATTGAGAATCAACTGAAATGAAGATTAGGTGGTCTCGGCCAGGGACTTGGCTAACATCCCACGTACCCAAAAGGTGTTCTCCGTTGCTCATCCTTGTATGTCTGGCTGAGTTCAAGGTCTGTCCAACCTCACTCAATAACAATAGTACCCGTTAAGGTCCGGGTTAGAATATTGATCTTCAGTAACCCATGCTTGTCGAAAGAGGCGACTAACGGGATCGGGTGGTCAGGCTTGCTGACGTGGTTGACACATGTCATCGGTTCCCAATTGCGCAGACCGATGCTCATGTTGTTGATCACTGGATTGTCTGGTCCAGACTCGATTATTTACAGACCCCCGGCACATAGCTGGAATATTGCTGAGTGCGACGTAAAACTAAACTCACTCACTCACTCACTAACAATAGCGATCTTTGAGTACACAAATCCTCGGTGGCTGAGCGGGTTTGGCGACTGACCCTGTGTGCTCGCGATTAGATGCCTGACTCTGAGTGTGGGTTCGAATCCCGGATGGGAGTCAACCCAACAAAAGTAGTAGAATCTGTACTTTACTAAGAAATACAACAAGAAAAGTAGTAGAAGCTGTACTCTACTAAGAAATTGCAAACCCAAATATAACATATGTTCTATATGTTACTATATAGCGATATGTAAGAATGGCCCATACGTCGCGCTGTCTAGACGATTTCACGAACGCTTCAAGGAGATAAGATTGTTCACCCGGAGAAGCTGTGTTTGTTGTACACCGGATATTCAAGCAATGTGACGTCGGTCTGTAAATAACCGAGTCTGGACCAGACAATACAGTGATCAACATCATGAGCATCGATCTACGCAGACAGTGTGAAAAACACTGCAGGTCACACATTTTGCTAGCCAGTCGGGCTAGCTATGCCCGAGAGTTACTAGCCCCAAAAAATAATTAACTAGCTCAATTAAACGAACAATCTGTGGAACACCTGAAAACAATTAATTCATGAAAAGATAAGCACAGTTCCAATAGCGATTCAGTCGCAAACGCAGCATGGTTTTAAACGATCAGTCGAGATAACATTGTTCGAGTAACGAGGTTATACACAATGGCGTTTTGGAAGATTGTATATACGTAGGCAACGTGGTGAACTGATATGGTCAGCATAGCGTGTTATTATTTAAAGATTCATTAGAATACCTATAGTCAAGTGGCCCGAGTCGGACCTAAATGATAGGTCCATTACCAGAAATATACACCCAGGACCCATATTCCTCAGGAAGGAAGGATAATTATTGTCTTGGTCCCCGAAACAAACATGGGACAGCCCTGGTAAAGGGAAGCTGTAGCTACTTTGTTTTGTGGTTATTATTGTTTGTTTGACCCTATCAGAGAGGCTGGTTTGAATTGGGTCATTACCTCGGTGTAAGGAGCTACTTACTTTTGAGAGTGGTAGTGTTATTGTGGCTGTATAATTGTGTTATGTGTGTATGTTTGGTTAACGCTGCTTCATCCAGATGGGTTAAACGTTATGTTTTTCTAGACATTTTCAGAACCTTAATAAATACACATGTATGAAAGTTAGCCATATACGTTTCAAAGTAGAATACTTTACGACAGTGTGAGCGATTGGAAGTTTTGAAAAAGAAAACACAAGAAGAGTGAGTGGGTATGGTTTTAGTACTATCCCAGCAATGTCATGGCGGGGACACCAGAAATGGGCTTCACACATCGTACCCATGTGGGGAATCGAACCTGACCAGCTAAGGGGCCGTGCATAATTTATGGCTATGGGGGGTGATGATGATTTTTATGGAGCAGCATGTACAATGTGAATGACCCCCCCCTAAAATTTATGTAGAAAATAAGTGACCCCCCTGCATGTCATGTACAAAATCAATTACCCCCTTCCCCTTCCCATAATTTCTAAGCATAATTTTAAGCATATTCGTATGTACAAAATTGCTGAAACATCCCCCGTACGTGTGTACAATATTGCTGACCGTCCCTTGCTCCCCAGAACAAAATGGGTGATCCCCACTTAAAATCATCATTTCTTCACCCCCACCCCACCCCCACACCCCATAAATTAGGAACGGTTCCTAACGCTTATACTACTAGGCTCCCCCACCGCCCCAAACCCAACAAGAGGCTAGCTGCATCCCTGTGGCCTGTCAATAACCAAAGTTTGGCGAGGCAAACCAGTGGTCAAAATAAAGAGCAACGTTCCAGGCCGTAGCGAAACACACCCACTGCAGGTCACACATTGTAACCAACCGATGCCCATTTAGTCTACCTTTACACCCGCTGAGACAGCCACTGATCTATTGTGTCACCCTGGATATCTACCTGAAGAGCAGGGAGGTTTGTAATGGATGAAAGTTACAATATTAATTCTAATGCGATGCGATGTGCAGTTAACGAAGACTGATATACTACGGTAAGACGAAAGAATCAAGTGTTCTTTAACTTGTTGTCAGCAAGTACATCAGGAGGAGAAATCTCCAAATATACCGGTTGGAGTATGGATCAACCAGTTACGCCCTTAGTCCTGCCAGAAAAGATTGATCGCTTGTTTGAAAAGCCCCAATCGCCCTGATATTGATTGTTGGTCGTTTAGCCTCATATACCCGTGTACAGGGTTGCGTCCCTTGCCGAAAGATTCACCCTGATAATGAACCTTTTTCTGTCAACATTATGCGGATGCTCTTGGGTTTCGCGGTGTAGAGTTACGTCCCTTGGCCCTGCCGGTATCCGCTTTAGATAAGGATAATTATTATTATTATATGATACTTATATAGCGCAATGATCCTGTTTATAATGATCCTGTTTCTGTCAAGATATTCGCACCCTTCGGTATTCCAAATATACACACATCCTGTCCCTGTGTCTCTGGTTTATCTCATAAACTACCCGGAAAAGAAAGCATATATCCCACCATCCATAGATATGTATGCTATCTTCTGTCCGGCAGTCTTCTTGGTGGGGGGTGAGGCGTGTTTTCAGTGATATAGGAATCTCAGTGAAGATTAATAAAAACCTATTAAACGTTGGGTTTGTTTTGCATTAGATTTGTATTTTCATTAAATACAGTATATGTACAATAAGAATACATCAGATTAAACCTCTTCATAACTTGAGTGTGGTCTCCCATGTACAATATAACATGTACGGCATCACCACTATGTTGTTGTTGTTGGTTTGTTGTTTAACATCTCGCCAGTATTCCAGCTACATGGCGGCGGTCTGTATATAATCGAGTCTGGACCAAACAATCCAGTGATCAACAGCATGAGCATTGACATAAGAGGGAGAAATCTCCAAATATACCGGTCACAAGTTGGAGTATGGATCATTCAGTTCCGCCCTTTGTCCTACCAGAAAAGATTGATCGCTTGTTTGAAAAGCCCCATTCGCCCTGATATTGATTGTTGGTCGTTTAGCCTCATATACCTGCGTTCCAGTGTACAGAGTTGCGTCCCTTGTCGAAAGATCCACCCTGATAATGAACCTTGTTCTGTCAACATTATACTGATACTCTTGGTGATCAACAGCATGAGCATCGATCTACGATCGGGATACGATGACATGTGTCAACCAAGTCAGTGAGCCTGACCACCCGATCCCGTTTGTCGCCTCTCACGACAAGTATGGGTTACTGAAGACCAATTCAAACCCGGATCGTCATTGAATCTCAGCTAGGAACTCCATACGTACTCCTTGATGGCTTCACGTACTCAAGGAACTGGACCGGGGGCCAGACCACACACAGGAGATGTTTCATGAAGACCTGCCGAGGAAAATGTTCTCGAGTTGGGCACTTCCTGAATAATGAATCGGACTACTGCCATCAACCTCCATATTCACCTCCTGTCAAGTGTATCAGTAGTTTCAGGAAACGGGCCAGAGAAGACGCAGTACATGTCCATGATATTTATAGTGTAGACGTATGCCGCCATGCTCCAGAAGACGCCATCTCCTTCCGTCCCCACCTTGAACATCGCCGAACAACAATTCCTGTTCTGCCTGCCACCGCCCAGAGCTGATGTTCACCTTGAGGGTCAGTGGACTACTATCAAGGATGGCAGAAGGTTCCTTCTCTGAGCAGACGGCGAAGCAAACAAGATCGTGATTTCTTCCTCTGATGAGCAGTTGGTTTGTCTCACTCAAGCTGATATGGTGTATATGGATGGTATGGTTTCCTACTGTCCTCGCCTGTGGAACCAGTTGTACACTGTATGTTGTGTATATAGCGACTTTTTCAATAATGTCATGAAATATATCCTGTAATGTATCCTTTAATGAAAGGCAACTATTGCTTGACTAACCAACCTTCACTAATCTAGGTAGAAGCTATCTGACAAGTGTGGAGTCTGGGGGGTTACCACGTCAACCCAACATCACTCACTCACATATATGTCACGTTATCGATGCATGCGTGACTAGTACTCAATCACGTCTATTCACTGTGACTGACAACACACCGCGTGGATTTATTGCAATTACGTCACTCGAGTTTAGAAAAAACTTCAGCGATGACAACTCATAACGTCTATTTGGAAGAATTTTACTGAGAGAGGGAAAAAACTGTAACAACAACAACAACAACAACAACAAACAACAAACACCCAGCGTTATATTTTCCTTTGCAGTATTTTTATATTGTTTTTCGAAAAGTTATACTGCGTATTTTGGTCTCCGACCACTAACATCACGTCTTTCGACAGTCGAACAACAATTGCCTCTGTAACGACATATTGGTGCTCGGGACAGGTCAATCATTGAAAGGAGGGTCGAGGTAGACGCCCTAAGTGTGCCTTACCACTACTCCCCCACCCCTACAAATAAACAAAACCAAAGCCCCCCCCAAAAAAAACAAAACAAAACAAAACAAAACAACAAAACAAAACAAAACAAAAATCAAAACATAAAAACAAATAACAAAACAAAACAAACCAAACAAACATAACACCAACCCCAAAACAAAACAAACAAACACCACCACCCCAAAACAACAAACATAACACCACCACCCCAAAACCAACAAACATAACACCACCACCCCCCAAAACAACAAACATAACACCACCACCCCAAAAACAACAAACATAACACCACCACCCCAAAACCAACAAACATAACACCACCACCCCAAAAACAACAAACATAACACCACCACCCCAAAACCAACAAACATAACACCACCACCCCAAAACCAACAAACATAACACCACCACCCCAAAAACAACAAACATAACACCACCACCCCAAAAACAACAAACATAACACCACCACCCCAAAAACAACAAACATAACACCACCACCCCAAAAACAACAAACATAACACCACCACCCCAAAAACAACAAACAAAACAAAACAAACCCAAGAAACAAAGAGAAAGCAAATAAAAGAAAGAAACAATAACAAATCTAACAAAAGCAAAATATCTTCAACATACGCACACATCCGATCTAACCTTTCCCGCTAAAACGTCAAGTAGTTGAGAATTACCAATTAGATTGACGTACCTAACAAAGTTTCAGAAAGATGACAAATTTAACTTAGATTTCATGCTTTGAATCAAACGTGCTGGGCCTGCCAGCTGGGCGGTGCCGAGCTCTTCTTTAAGCGGAAGAAACAAGAAGTGAACATCGCATAGTATGATGTAACTCGTATGACCCAGTTGATTTTGCGAACGAAATAAGGCCAAGGTCACGATGAGACGGATGTCACTCCATTGAAGCAAAGCACAATTGCGTCGTTGACAACACCCAGTCGTGTACATGTATATACTGCAACTGGGGCTGGGAAATACGCGAGAGGCGCGTTTTAATGTACACTCATATTGGTCTATTAACATTCATTATAGCCCTTCGTTTTCACCTAAAAGGGTAATGGACTATCATTTTGAGCATGCCATGCAATAATGTCATTTTCATTCCAATCGACCTGAGCCAGATGGTTTATCGTGCATGAAGGTGGCATATTTGACACATTCTACCAGTGTGGACACACTTTCTAACACCTGCTGTCCCCCATCACAGGAACACGATCTCTGTCATGAAATTACATGAAAACAACAAGCAAAGGGAAATCTTCAATTTTGGATGACTAACTCTAAAACTGATTCTTCTAGCAAGCACAAAGGATACACTTGACCTATATCTAATTTCCACCACATACAAACATATTCAGGCTAATTAGAACTGGGTGACAAAACTAAGGTTGACGGACAATAGGCGTGGGATTACTGAACATTCTCTATTCATATTCCATTCAACAGCTGTGCCTATGAAAACATATGCTATATAATATTGATATATTCATCCATGAATGGAAGTGTTAATTGTATATTGAAAAAAAATATCATTTTTCTTGTTGCGTTTCCTATGCAACACCGCTCATGAATATATTTATTCTGCATTTGGTGATGCTGTTTTTATCCGACAGAATGAAGTAAGTACCTTTAGTCTGCATTGACGGCACGTGTTTTCAGATCAACGTCAGTAGTACATACCAGACACACGTGTTCTGTTGAAGGTTCACACAAGTAACATCACGAGGTTTCACACACGTGACGTGATAAAGTTTCACACACGTGACCTGTTTAAGATTGACACACATCAGCTGTTTTAAATCCCGTGAATATCCAGATTAGAATTGGTCTTCAGCAACCCATGCTTGTCAGAAGAAGCGACTAACGGGATCGGGTGGTCAGGCTCGCTGACTTGGTTACAGGATGTCATCGTATCCAAGTTGCGTAGATCGATGCTCATGCTGTTGATCACTGAATTGTCTGGCCCAGACTCGATTATTTTGCTGAATGTGGCATTAAACAACAAACAAACGACATCCTGTCGAAGCTCCACATCCTTGTTTTGATGAAGTTCCACATCCTACACACTTGACTTGATGAAGTTTCCAATATCTTCACCCGCTGAAGTTTCAGTCCCGGGATCTGATGACGTTTTACACGTAAAACTCAGGACCTGATTTCCGTTGTACAAAGCGATCTTAGCGCTAAGGTGGCCGTAACTCTCATTCCTTAACATAGTCTTACGACAGACTTAACGCTAAGGTCGTTTTGTATAACGGCACCCTGATCAAGTCTGGGACTATTAGCCTCATAATGTTTCGCATAAAATACCTGAAGCGATCTGACACACGTGGCCTGGAGATGATACCCGAGACCAGATAAAGATTCACACGCGAGAACCGATAAAGTTTCACACACCCCAACCACTCTGATGCATTAATTGACTGCATTAATTCGGCAAGAATTGACTCAGCATGATGGATAAATGCTGCTGTTGTATGTGGTGTTTCCTAGCGACAAACGTGGACTTCATCTCCAAAATATACCAAAGTTTATGCGACTTGCCAAAGTTGCAGTTTTGCAGGTAGGAAAACAAAATCCCTATCCGTGCCTGTTAATTCAAAACAGTGTTTCACCCAATACGTATGTATTCAAGGTTTATTACAGTGACGATTCAGTGACAACCTACTCGAACCAAGACGACTTGTGTGCTTGCTGAGGGCCGGGGAACAGGTCGTCTTGTTGCCAGCTCCAACCAGTTGGCCATTACTTAAACTGTAACCTGCCCATGACAGGGGCTTTAAACCTGAGCGGAGACAGTTTTTAATGACATTCGCCGGATCCTATTGTGTTTCTAACTCTCAGCGGAACGGCTTGACCTGACATAACATACACATAGTTTTGTGAACCATGAATATTGTGACTTGCAGCTCTCGTCGGTAGAATCTGATGCCTTTAACAGTATTACACTGCCATGGGGATCGGTTGGGCAACATGACTGCTTGTTATGGATAGCGTTATATTCCTGTTTCCCCACTGACCACAGCAGGTCACCATGACATATACGTGTCAATATGTCACTATAGCGTATACACCACTGCAGTGTTTTGACACACTTACTGCAGACTGGTGAATTACACAGAGACGTGGGTGGCCCAGTGGTCTCAGCCGCTTCAATTCGCCGTGCAGAGATGTGTCCCTCGCCATTCGTTGGTTTGTTTAGTAGCCTTTGCTTGTTAGCACCAAACACATTCTCGTAATGTTCACCCAAAACTTGCGTTATCTGTATTTTCTCTCATATGAAGCTGCGTTCCACTCTGCTTTAAACAAGGGTAAAAGTGTAGACATGATTTATATCACGTGTGACTGGCTGCAGGTTTGATACTATCTGCAGGGGAGGCGGGGTAGCCTAGTGGTTAAAGCGGTCGCTCGTCACGCGGAATACACGGGTTTGATTCCCCACATGTGTTCAATGGGTGAAGCCTATTTTTGGTGTCCCTGGCCATGATTGCTAAGAGAGGAGTTAAACTAAACTCACTCACTATCTGCATGTTTGATATCACATGCGAGTAGGCTACCTGTATGTTTGATATCACGTGTCTATCGGCATGTTTGATAGCTCTATCTGCATGTTTGATAGCTCTATCGGCATGTTTGATAGCTCTATCTGCATGTTTGACTCTTATATGACTCTCACCATCTTTACCACCAGACTTTCATGATAAACGTCACATGTGAGAGTGGGGTGCGACATGTGACAATTTGACACCCCCTGTGTCGACCTGATATGTGACAATTTGACACCCCCTCTGAGAACCTGATATGTGACCTGATATGTAACGTTTGATGAGAAAGATATATGCATATCTGTATGTGTGACATATCGAGTCTCAAGGCCTTCCGTGTAACAACCAGTGTAGCATGTTACCCTGTGTGACATATATCAAGGCCTTCTGTGTGACACTCTGGGTAGCATGTTACCCTGTTACTCTGTGTGATGCATATGACATTCCGTGTGACAACCAATGTAGTATGTTAACCTGTGTGACACATATAAAGGCTTCCGTGTGATAACCTGTGTAGCATGTTACCCTGTGTGACACATATCAAGGCCTTCCGTGTGACCGGTGTAGCATGTCACCCTGTGTGACACATATCAAGGCCTTCCGTGTGACCGGTGTAGCATGTCACCCTGTGTGACACATATCAAGGCCTTCCGTGTGACCGGTGTAGCATGTCACCCTGTGTGACACATATCAAGGCCTTCCGTGTGACCGGTGTAGCATGTCACCCTGTGTGACACATATCAAGGCCTTCCGTGTGACCGGTGTAGCATGTCACCCTGTGTGACACATATCAAAGGCCTTCCGTGTGACCGGTGTAGCATGTCACCCTGTGTGACACATATCAAGGCCTTCCGTGTGACCGGTGTAGCATGTCACCCTGTGTGACACATATCAAGGCCTTCCGTGTGACCGGTGTAGCATGTTACCCTGTGTGACACATATCAAGGCCTTCCGTGTGACCGGTGTAGCATGTCACCCTGTGTGACACATATCAAGGCCTTCCGTGTGACCGGTGTAGCATGTCACCCTGTGTGACACATATCAAGGCCTTCCGTGTGACCGGTGTAGCATGTCACCCTGTGTGACACATATCAAGGCCTTCCGTGTGACCGGTGTAGCATGTTACCCTGTGTGACACATATCAAGGCCTTCCGTGTGACCGGTGTAGCATGTTACCCTGTGTGACACATATCAAGGCCTTCCGTGTGACCGGTGTAGCATGTCACCCTGTGTGACACATATCAAGGCCTTCCGTGTGACCGGTGTAGCATGTCACCCTGTGTGACACATATCAAGGCCTTCCGTGTGACCGGTGTAGCATGTTACCCTGTGTGACACATATCAAGGCCTTCCGTGTGACCGGTGTAGCATGTTACCCTGTGTGACACATATCAAGGCCTTCTCTGCGACAATCTGGGTAGCATATTCCCCTTTGTGACACATATCAAGGTATTCCGTGCGAAAAAAACTGCAGTTATTTTATCCTGTGTGACAACCAGCATTGTATGTTATCCTGTGTGACAACTATCATCGTATGTTATCGTGTGTGACAACTATCATCGTATGTTATCGTGTGTGACAACTATCATCGTATGTTATCCTGTGTGACAACTATCATTGTATGTTTCGCTGTGTGGGAAACAGATTTGTATGTTACATTGTGTGACAACCAGCATCGTGTGTTATCCTGAGTGACAACCTCAATTGTATGTTACCCTGTGTGACACCCAGCACTGTAGGTTATCCTGTATGACAACCAGCATTGTATGTGATCCTGTGTGACAACCAGAACTGTGTTATCCCATGTGACAACCAGCGTTGCATGCTATGCTCTGACAACCAGCATTGTATGTTATCCTGTGTGACAACCAGCATTGTATGTTATCTTGTGTGACAAGCAGCATTGTATGTTATCTTGTGTGACACCCAGCATTATATGTTATCCTGTGTGACAAGCAGCTTTGTATGTTATCATGTGTGACAAGCAGCTTTGTATGTTATCCTGTGTGACAAGCAGCTTTGTATGTTGTGCTGTGTGACAACCAGCATTATGTTATCTTGTGTGACACACAGCATTATATGTTATCTTGTGTGACAACCAGCACTGTATGTTATACTGTGTGAGAACCAGCATTGTATGTTATCCTGTGTGACACCCAGCATTATGTTATCATGTGTGACAAGCAGCTTTGTATGTTGTCCTGTGTGACAAGCAGCTTTGTATGTTGTGCTGTGTGACAACCAGCATTATGTTATCTTGTGTGACACACAGCATTATATGTTATCTTGTGTGACAACCAGCACTGTATGTTATACTGTGTGAGAACCAGCATTGTATGTTATCTTGTGTGACAACCAGCACTGTATGTTATCCTGTGTGACAAGCAGCATTGTATGTTATCCTGTGTGACAAGCAGCATCGTATGTTATCCTGTGTGACAACCAGCACTGTATGTTATCCTGTGTAACAAGCAGCTTTGTATGTTATCCTGTGTGACACCCAGCATTCTGTTATCCTGTGTGACACCCAGCATTATGTTATCTTGTGTGACACCCAGCATTATGTTATCTTGTGTGACAAGCAGCTTTGTATGTTATCCTGTGTGACAACCAGCATTATGTTATCTTGTGTGACACCCAGCATTATGTTATCTTGTGTGACAAGCAGCTTTGTATGTTATCCTGTGTGACACCCAGCATTCTGTTATCCTGTGTGACACCCAGCATTATGTTATCTTGTGTGACACCCATCATTATGTTATCTTGTGTGACAAGCAGCTTTGTATGTTATCCTGTGTGACACCCAGCATTCTGTTATCCTGTGTGACACCCAGCATTATGTTATCTTGTGTGACACCCAGCATTATGTTATCTTGTGTGACACCCAGCATTATGTTATCTTGTGTGACAAGCAGCTTTGTATGTTATCCTGTGTGACAACCAGCATTCTGTTATCCTGTGTGACACCCAGCATTATGTTATCTTGTGTGACACCCAGCATTATGTTATCTTGTGTGACAAGCAGCTTTGTATGTTATCCTGTGTGACAACCAGCATTATGTTATCTTGTGTGACAAGCAGCTTTGTATGTTATACTGTGTGAGAACCAGCATTGTACGTTATCTTGTGTGACAACCAGCACTGTATGTTATCCTGTGTGACAACCAGCATTGTATGTTATCCTGTGTGACACCCAGCATTATGTTATCTTGTGTGACACCCAGCATTATGTTATCCTGTGTGACAAGCAGCTTTGTATGTTATCCTGTGTGACACCCAGCATTATGTTATCTTGTGTGACAAGCAGCTTTGTATGTTATACTGTGTGAGAACCAGCATTGTACGTTATCTTGTGTGACAACCAGCACTGTATGTTATCCTGTGTGACAACCAGCATTGTATGTTATCCTGTGTGACAACCAGCATTGTATGTTATCTTGTGTGACATCTAGCATTGTATGTTATCTTGTGTGACAACCAGCATTGTATGTTATCCTGTGTGACAACCAGCATTGTATGTTATCCTGTGTGACAACCAGCATTGTATGTTATCTTGTGTGACATCCAGCATTGTATGTTATCTTGTGTGACATCCAGCATTGTATGTTATCCTGTGTGACAACCAGCATTGTATGTTATCTTGTGTGACATCCAGCATTGTATGTTATCCTGTGTGACAACCAGCATTGTATGTTATGTGTGACAACCAGCACTGTATGTTATGTGTGACAACCAGCACTGTATGTTATCATGTGTGACATCCAGCATTGTATGTTATCCTGTGTGACAACCAGCATTGTATGTTATGTGTGACAACCAGCATTGTATGTTATCATGTGTGACAACCTGCATTGTATGTTATGTGTGACAACCAGCACTGTATGTTATCATGTGTGACATCCAGCACTGTATGTTATCCTGTGTGAGAACCAGCATGGTATGTTATCCTGTGTGAGAACCAGCATGGTATGTTATACTGTGTGACAACTATTATTGTATGTTATCCTGTGTGACAAGCAGCTTTGTATGTTATCATGTGACAACCAGCACTGTATGTCATCCTGTGTGGCAAACAGCATTGTATGTTTTGCTGTGTGACAACCAGCATTGTATGTTGTCCTGTGAGACAAGCAGCTTTGTATGTTGTCCTGTGACAACCAGTATTGTATGTTATCATGTGTGACAACCTGCATTGTATGTTTTGTGTGACAACCAGCACTGTATGTCATCCTGTGAGGCAAACAGCATTGTATGTTTTGCTGTGTGACAACCAGCATTGTATGTTGTCCTGTGAGACAAGCAGCTTTGTATGTTGTCCTGTGACAACCAGTATTGTATGTTATCATGTGTGACAACCAGTATTGTATGTTATCATGTGACAACCAGCACTGTATGTCATCCTGTGTGGCAAACAGCATTGTATGTTTTGCTGTGTGACAACCAGCATGGTATGTTATACTGTGTGACAACCTGCATTGTATGTTATGTGTGACAACCAGCACTGTATGTTATCATGTGTGACATCCAGCACTGTATGTTATCCTGTGTGACAACCAGCATTGTATGTTATGTGTGACAACCAGCACTGTATGTTATCATGTGTGACATCCAGCACTGTATGTTATCATGTGTGACAACCTGCATTGTATGTAATGTGTGACAACCAGCACTGTATGTTATCATGTGTGACATCCAGCACTGTATGTTATCCTGTGTGAGAACCAGCATGGTATGTTATACTGTGTGACAACTATTATTGTATGTTATCCTGTGTGACAAGCAGCTTTGTATGTTATCATGTGACAACCAGCACTGTATGTCATCCTGTGTGAGAACCAGCATGGTATGTTATACTGTGTGACAACTACTATTGTATGTTATCCTGTGTGGCAAACAGCATTGTATGTTTTGCTGTGTGACAACCAGCATTGTATGTTGTCCTGTGAGACAAGCAGCTTTGTAGATTATCCTGTGACAACCAGTATTGTATGTTGTCCTGTGAGACAAGCAGCTTTGTAGATTATCCTGTGACAAACAGTATTGTATGTTGTCCTGTGAGACAAGCAGCTTTGTAGATTATCCTGTGACAAACAGTATTGTATGTTGTCCTGTGAGACAAGCAGCTTTGTAGATTATCCTGTGACAACCAGTATTGTATGTTATGTGTGAAGGTTAGAATTGATCTTCATTTACCCATGCTCGCCTTAAGAGGCGACTAACGGGATTGGGTGGTCAGGCTCACTGACTGGGTTGACACATGTCATTGTATTCAATTTGCATAGATCGATGTTCATGCTGTTGATCCCTGGATTGTCTGGTCCAGATCTGTTTATTTACAGACTGCCACCATATAGCTGGAATATTGCTGAGCGCAGCGTAAAACTAAACTCACACTGTGTGACAACCAACATGTGTTATACTTCATCATCAGTTTGCCTGTGAGTGTCTGTATACAGGAAGCCATTCGAACTTAGCCACGTCAAGTTCTGCAACCACTGCAGACAGACACACACGTCTGAAAAGCAGCATTTGAGTTCTGCTTCCTTTAACACATTTAACACCCGACATGAAGAGCTGTTGACTTTACATGAGCTCTTGTAACTAAATTTGGTGAAAAATGTATGTGTCAGGACAGGACAAGGACAACATGGGATGGACACGGACAATATGACTACCATGTTGAGATGGGACAATCTTACCCATTCCTAAACAGTTCCAAGTCAACTTATCACTTGCTTGATAACGGTGTTAGTACCTACACCGAAACGTCACTCTCACAGCAATAATGTTGTTCATCCATATATTGTTATCCTTCCTTAGTTCCAAATCATACCAAACACGCACCCTGCCTCAAAAGCAACCACTCAATGTATTCTGAAAGCTTTAATGTCTTATGCAAAAAAAAAAGCTTTAAAAAAAGAGGAAAAAATCTGGTGGTATTCCTCTAAGCTGACATATATTGCAGAAACCTCCATGTACATAATGCTGTAGATATAAACAGTACAAAGCATGAAATGTAGAACATGACATGATATAAGTTAGATGCTATATACAAAGCATGAAAGTGAACCTCTAGTGACAGGTCCTCAACAGTATGCACTTTTATTCTGCTGCCTTGAAACTGATGCCAACAATATATACATGTACATAGTATTCTTCATCTCATATACACAAGTTATTCACACATTATCAGTCAGTCACTAACATACATCCCATCAGGGTATGTTGTTGTATTATCATCTGTACCACTTGGGTTCAGCCAATGAGCACTGGTGTACTGCTGAAGGCCATGGCTTATATAATGGGGAATCAGGGCTTGACCTTGACAAAGGGAAGCTACTCTTCACAGTGGTGTGGTGAATACACCTTCAGCCACATCCCACAGCTGAGATAATGAAGTGAGTGATTGGCATAGACTTTCGAGCCATGATGTAAAAACAAAGATTATGTTGATTATTTAAACAAGAACAAAACAAAATTGAAGAACTGAAGAAATAAACATTTGAAATGAGCAATGGAGTAACAAATAATGTATTGAAATAATGGATTTCAAACCAACAATAATATTCAACCATGGATGCTAAAGGAAGTGTTACATTATAGCAATGAAGCTATGTGAAAGAATCTGTAGATTCTTTAGTGAAGTAGATCAACTTGTACCAATGAAGGAGGAGAGGTGAACTGGGGTTTTAATGTTGCATTAAAGATTATTGCACTAGTCCATTGATGGGCAAGCATATATGTGCCTGCTTGTTCTAGTGTGGACACCGGATGTCATATCCCCTACTCGTGAAGGTCCGGGTTAGAATTGGTCTTCAGTATACCAGGCTTGTCGTAAGAGGCGACTAATGGGATCGGGTGGTCAGACTCGCTGACTTGGTTGACACGTCATCGTATCCCAATGGCGTAGATCGATGCTCATGTTGTTGATCACTGGATTGTCTGGTCCAGACTTGATTATTTACAGAGTGCCGACATATAGCTGGAATATTGCTGAGAGCGGTGTTAAACAACCAACCAACCAACCAATGATGTCATACCCCACTCAAGTACAAGACACTGACCCCTAGCTCGTCAAACATCAGGTAGGCCAACAGGAAGTACCACATAAATACATCTATGAACGTCACATGTCAAGGTGATACAACCATACCTCATGGATCATCCCAGTTCTAATATTCTCATTACGTTGCTCATTATCTTCGTCGGAGTCAAATATGAAAATTACAAGTATGGCTCAATTACAAAACAGGACAGATCGACCAGCAAAACACAAATATTTCAATACTTTACAGTAACAATATCAGTACTCATGATCTCAATACTGTTTTAAACAGAGAATATCTTGAATACTGAAGTGTTGCACCAGGGTAATTCTGGTGGAACAGCCTCACCATGATGAAGACGTTTAGTAGGAGTCATTATGGTTGTCCACTTCACTGGATGACCCAACAGAAACTGGATCCATGCACAACCTTTGTTTGGACATTGAATCAACTCTAGTTAAAAGTGCACTTTCAAATTACATTGTTCTTTTATGACTGAATTCATCGAACATGATGTCTTAGTCTTGTAATCTAGGAATGTCTGATACCTAGGGCTTATCCACATGTCATGTTAATACTTAAATTGGATCAAATGTTTAGAGGCATTTGTTTGTATGAGGCCACAAATATGAAATTTAATCTATTCACAACTATCTCTGAGGGCTTATTCTGTTTGGTTTCATGTTCATCTTCATGAAAAGAGAAACTCTGTGCTAAGTTGGTAATATGACAGTCAGAGATGGTGACGCCATGCTAGTAAATGGATCCCAGGTGTATATAACAAATTGGAAGCAAATACACTTGATAACAGAGGATGCTGGTACCGCTAATCATACCATTTCACCTTAGTGTTGCTGTGCACGTAAATGTGAGTTTCACTGACTGTTGTCATGGACATTTAACATAAACTGTAGAGCTTGGAGCACTACAGTTGCACATCAACACTCCCCTGTCATCCCCTAACACATCCCTAGAGACCCATGTCGATAAAAATGCATATATCACAGATATTGAGCCAGATAAAATCACAATTGTCACCATTCTACCCTCCATGTACCCATTTGAGCTCCTGTTTGAGTAATACTTCGTAGTATTGTTCTCAATACTTCAACAAAGGTTTTGAATACTTCATTGTATTGCGCTCAATACTAAGAAGCACCTTTTTTCCCACGTACGGATTCAATACTTTCAGGTTCTACTTCCAATACATCCAAGAACTACTTTTAGTACTTCTAGGTACTTTTCACCATGGACTACAGTTTGGCGTTGACAGTGACGGTCTTGGCATCCACGTTGATGCTGACGGAAGGCAGTGGTGGAACATCAACAAATTTGGCTGAAACAGATGATACAATTATAGCATTTATCTGGTACAAAAGCTGCATCTCTAGGGTTACACTAAAGGAGGTCTATCATTTGTTGCATCCCCATGCTAAAAATATTAACCTGATGTATTAAGGGACCCTTCATAATTTATGGCTTGGGGGTGTGGGTGTGTGTGTGTGTGTGTGTGTGTGTGTGTGTGTGTGTGTGTGTGTGTGTGTTTGTGATGATGATTTTCTGGGGAGGTGTGTGGTGGGGTGTCAGCAATTTTGGACACACCAATATAGTACGGTACATATAAATATTAAAACATCATTGGGGGGATGGGGGGTCACTTACTTTGTACATAAATTTTAGGAGGGGGGTAGTCATTCACATTGTAATGCTTTTCCATAAAAATCATCATCACCCAAGCTAGCTGGTCTGGAGACAAAACAGTTGGAACAAATCGCGTAAATGCACCATGCTTCACGGCAAACCGAGGTGCATGACTTTTCATGTGCAGTCAGACTACGTGCTCTTGACCAGGTGGTAAAATTGAATTGGTCACTTTTGGTTGGGATATGCTTGGGTTAAGGTCTGACTTGAGTTTAGACTTTAGTTGAGTTCAGGTTTCACTTGAGTTCGGTTGTTTCTTGAGTTGGGTGACAGCTCGTCAAAATAGGATTTAGATAGACTGATATAAAGAATGTATTAGTGCATCGAAATCGAAGTTCCATATAGCTGGTTGCTATAGAACTAGATACTGTACATAATAGACTTTACGCGGCAATAGAGCTAGATAGTGTAGATAATATAACTTAAGGTATCACATTAAGTTTCTTGCCTCATTAGCCTTTGTTATAAGAGATTCACGTTTAGTTCCCCATTTGTATTGTTTGAATTATTTCATCAGTTAAATCAAGAGAGTCACGTTTAGTTCCCCAAATAACATATTTTGACACTTCATATTTTAGTTAGTTTAGTTTTCAATTCCACTGCGTAACACTAGCTATAATTATGAACAGTCACTAAGTAGCCTCTTGTGTGGGTAAACAGGAAACCCCCACTTTGGGCAAGTTCGAACAAACTTAAGTCAGGATATTCTAGTTTTATTCTAGTTCTATGGGGACCTATAAATAATCCAATCTAGACCAGGTAGGGAGTGAAAAAAAGTCTGGCTAAAAGATCCCCATTTTCAATGCCAGCATGAGGACCGAGACTCCAAAAGGAATCCCCACAGGGTGGGCATAGAAGAGGTCAACAGAGTCAGCACTAATAATGACAGGTTCTTCACTCACCAATTTCATCTGTGATTTTGGACAATGGAACCATGTTAGGGAAACTGTACGTCACACCATCCCTGGAGATGAGAAGATTAGGGAGAATGTAGGACATTTGAAAGAGAATGTTTCCAAAATCAGCAGTCAAATATACATTGAGGCAACCATGAGGATTTCTGGAACAATGCAACTCTGGGATATAATGTCCAAGAGCACTCACACTGTCACACACAAAACTTGTGACAGTCAAATGTTGAGATAGTTTCGTTGGAAAATGTATCCATCAATCAATGAACTGAATTACAGCTTTTGTTACCATGCTTCAGTCAAAATTTACAGAATTGGCCCAAGCAATTCTGGTGAGTTTGTTAGGAAGATCAAACACATATAGTGAAGCTTTGCATGTACCTCTTCTCTCTGCGGACTGCTCCCATGATGTAGAGGGAATGGAGAGCATTGGTCATCATGTCTAGGGACAGAATTTCATGATGTTTGATTGTCCCATCACGGAGCAGACGGGCACACAACAGCTGGGCTTCTCGTGTCATGACCTTTGGTGGTCGAGCCAGTGGTTTTCCATTGACTCCAGGGGTCATGGACAACAGGTAGCGGCACATGATCTGGTAGGTAACATCAAACACACATGAGGTGAGGTGAGGTGAGGTGAGGTGAGGTGAGGTGAGGTGAGGTGAGGTGAGGTGAGGTGAGGTGGGGTTTACCGTCATGTTCAAGAATATTTCAATTAAGTGTGTTTTCCTAGTGTTAGTCTACTGAGATTTCTGCAATTTAGCAGGGATGTGGCCCACTTAGATCCTGGTTCTATGAAAGATTTACACATGTTTTCAATTGAAAAGTATATAATTTGAACCATATTTTGAGAATGGTAATTTAATAGGTAATATGTTAAAAATGGCTGGTAACATAAAATATCCACAACATACATAGTGTGGCAATAATGACATTTGGAACTGACTGTTCATGTTCGTTTGTGACTAACAGAAGTCACATCTGAGACAACAGCAGTTATTGGCTGAAATAAAAACACAGCTCACCAAACCAAATACAGAGAGGTTGTCAAATCATGCAGAGAGGTATTGCTACAAAGCAAAACATCTGATTTTGAGATTTGTAAACACATCAGTTCCAAGTGACACTGTGTAGTCTTCCAAATTTACCAATAAAAGAATCAGGTCTACAAATCACGTTCTTTTAAAGATAGATGAAAGCTAATGTCAATAAGTTGTCCTTTACGGACGTTCAAGAACTAACATGGGGCTACATTCTCCTGACACAGATCATACATACCCAGTAGCCGAGGAGGAAGGGTTCGAACATCTGGCTGTAGAAGGTGGTGCATTTGTTGGTGGATCTCTTCACCTGGACCTCACCATCCTCCACAATCACCCCACTTGTGTGGATCAGAGTGGCCAGTGCATGGTCGAAGTCCTGTAGAATACCAGGGTTAGTGTTAGACACTGTCACTAGGTTAGTCTCTTACAAGGGAGGGACTAAAATGAGGTGAAATAACCTGGGTCAGTGCAAAAACTCTGAAAACATTCCATGCTTGACTTGGTCATTGGAAGCGGATCAGTCATCCTTGACCACATACAGATAAGTGTCTCACCTGTCTAGATCTGTCCAACATACAGATCACTGTCTCACTTGTCTGGATCAGTCCAACATACAAATCAGTGTCTCACCTGTCTGGATCAGTCCAACGTACGAATCAGTGTCCTACCTGTCTGGATCAGTCCAACATATAAATCAGTGTCCTACCTGTCTGGATCAGTCCAACATACAGATCAGTGTCTCACCTGTCTGGATCAGTCCAACATACAGATCAGTGTCTCACCTGTCTGGATCAGTCCAATATACAGATCAGTGTGTCACCTGTCTGGATCAGTCCAACATACAGATCAGTGTCTCACCTGTCTGGATCAGTCCAACATATAAATCAGTGTCTCACCTGTCTGGATCAGTCCAACATACAAATCAGTGTCCTACCTGTCTGGATCAGTCCAACATATAAATCAGTGTCTCACCTGTCTGGATCAGTCCAACATATAAATCAGTGTCTCACCTGTCTGGATCAGTCCAACATATAAATCAGTGTCCTCCCTGTCTGGATCAGTCCAACATACAGATCAGTGTCTCACCTGTCTGGATCAGTCCAATATACAGATCAGTGTGCCACCTGTCTGGATCAGTCCAACATACAGATCAGTGTCTCACCTGTCTGGATCAGTCCAACATATAAATCAGTGTCTCACCTGTCTGGATCAGTCCAACATACAAATCAGTGTCCTACCTGTCTGGATCAGTCCAACATATAAATCAGTGTCTCACCTGTCTGGATCAGTCCAACATATAAATCAGTGTCTCACCTGTCTGGATCAGTCCAACATATAAATCAGTGTCCTCCCTGTCTGGATCAGTCCAACATACAGATCAGTGTCTCACCTGTCTGGATCAGTCCAATATACAGATCAGTGTGTCACCTGTCTGGATCAGTCCAACATACAAATCAGTGTCTCACCTGTCTGGATCAGTCCAACATACAGATCACTGTCTCACCTGTCTGGATCAGTCCAACATACAAATCAGTGTCTCCCCTGTCTGGATCAGTCCAATGTACAGATCAGTGTCTCACCTGTCTGGATCAGTCCAACATACAAATCAGTGTCTCACCTGTCTGGATCAGTCCAACATACAGATCACTGTCTCACCTGTCTGGATCAGTCCAACATACAAATCAGTGTGTCACCTGTCTGGATCAGTCCAACATACAAATCAGTGTCTCACCTGTCTGGATCAGTCCAACATACAGATCACTGTCTCACCTGTCTGGATCAGTCCAACATACAAATCAGTGTCTCACCTGTCTGGATCAGTCCAACATACAAATCAGTGTCCTACCTGTCTGGACCAGTCCAGTGTACAGATCAGTGTGTCACCTGTCTGGATCAGTCCAACATACAGATTAGTGTCTCACCTGTCTGGATCAGTCCAACATACAAATCAGTGTCTCACCTGTCTGGGTCAGTCCAACATACAGATCAGTGTCTCACCTGTTTAGTTTCTCCAGGCAGGAAGATGAAATCTTTGCTCAACAGTCTCTCCAGGAAGGAGTACCTCTCAAACATGGTCTCTGTGAAACAAAAGAACCAACTTATACATAATTTATGCCACCAAAATCTTCCACTAGTCTCCATTTGGTTGCCTCTTATGACCATCAAAGATCATTGGTCACCTATTCTAACCTGGATGCCCATGAGGAAGTCACATGCTGAGGGTACTGGATACATACTGCCCTTCCATCCCAACAGGTGGCACCTGGCTAGCGAGGGAGCAGCTAGAGTATTCTAAAGCTTTTGGCACAGGTAACAAAGAATGGGGTTAAATCAACTTTCCCATTCAAAGAGTGAACACTGCATAAGCCACAAAATTGCAGCCAAGAGCAGTGATCAAACTTAAGTATAGATGTCAAGGGGTATTTGTCACAATTCTAATGTTAAAAGGTGAAAATTTAGGGTGTCCTGATACATATACTAAATCAGCAAATCTTCGGTGTATCTCAGGATCAGCCTCATTGTTTGATTGGCATTCTAAGTTGGCGAGTCAATAGCAAAGCATACAAATTCATTTATTTATTTTCGCGGCTGAAGTCAATCCCTACTATATCAGCTTGTTTACAATCTAGTCCTTGTACAATGGCTTGTTTACAATCTCATCCTTGTACAATGGCTTGTTTACAATCTAGTCCTTGTACAATGGCTTGTTTACAATCTAGTCCTTGTATAATGGCTTGTTTACAATCTAGTCCTTGTATAATGGCTTGTGTACAATCTAGTCCTTGTATAATGGCTTGTTTACAATCTAGTCCTTGTATAATGCCATTAATGGCTTGTTTACAATCTAGTCTTTGTATAATGCCATTAATGGCTTGTTTACAATTTAGTCCTTGTATAATGGCTTGTTTACAATCTAGTCCTTGTATAATGGCTTGTTTACAATCTAGTCCTTGTATAATGGCTTGTTTACAATCTAGTCCTAGTATGATGGCTTAATGTGTACAATCTAGTCCTTGTATAATGGCTTGTTTACAATCTAGTCCTTGTATAATGCCATTAATGGCTTGTTTACAATCTAGTCCTTGTATAATGCCATTAATGGCTTGTTTACAATCTAGTCCTTGTATAATGCCATTAATGGCTTGTTTACAATCTAGTCCTTGTATAATGCTTGTTTACATTAATGGCTTGTTTACAATCTAGTCCTTGTATAATGCCATTAATGGCTTGTTTACAATCTAGTCCTTGTATAATGGCTTGTTTACAATCTAGTCCTTGTATAATGGCTCTCTTGTGTTATTTGTTCTTCTGGTTCTCTACCTGGCTTCATTTGTCATTAATTACCTTTTGTTGATATTGTTCATCTGCTGCTTGTCACAACATGCAATGCACATGTACTTCTCAATAGACACTTGTAGTTTGAAAACAGTGTAAGAATCTACATTGAAAGGTTGAACTATGCAATAAACAAGAAGTTGCAATCCATCAAGTTGTATGCTTTGTTACAGGATCACCTAAGAGATAACCCACTAAGTGAGAAAGATCAGCAATATGAGACATATATACTTACCAACAGAGAGAGTAGGTTCCTCACAGGAGTTGATACACACGGCTATCAAGGCCACCCGGACGAACACATGCATCAGCTGGTTCCTATACAGAGACAGCATCAGGTGCTGGGCAGCTGTCATCATCAACTCGTCTTGGCGTCGGACAGTGGGTGGGAAGGTGACAGCCATCAGCTCCACCACATCCTCAGAAGTCACCCACACTATGTTCTTGTGCAGAACAATGTTGGCACGGATGATATTTTCTGCATTCTCATTGGCTGAAGAGAGGATGGAAATATTGCACCTGTATTACATGAGACAAGCACTTCATTCAAGTTTATTACAACCTCATCAACATCTTGATTAAATAAACCTTGAAGGAAAACCAAATTCTATGGATAGTCAACTTCTTTATTGCAATGAGTGTGACGTTTTTGTGTAGGTACTAACACCGTTATCAAGCACTGTTAACATCACTTGCTTGATAACGGTGTTAGTACCTACACCGAACGTCGCACTCATTGCAATATAGAAGTTGACTATCCATAGAACTTGGTTTTCCTTCACCTATACAACTTCTAAAAATGCCTCCCAAAGAAGTTAAATAAACCTTGATAACAACGACTTGTGGTTTTCTGTTTGAATCACTTGGAATAGTGTCCTACCTTTCCAACTTATGGTTAGACAACCTAAACAATAACACACTAATTAAGTAGTGCTTCTTCCTCTGCCAATATTGCTGATATTGCCTGACTGACCAAGTTTGGTTTTATGCCGCTTTTAGCAATATTCCAGCAACATCATGGCAGGGGGACACCAGAAATGGGCTTCACACATTGTACCCATGTGGGGATTTGAACCCGGGTCTTCAGCGTGACGAGCCAACGCTTTAACCACCAGGCTACCCCACCGCCTGATACTAACTAAGTCTACACTTGCATAGTGTGATGTACATGGCCAGGTATTGGCCTCACATGTATAGAGATTATTCCACAAGCAAGTGTGTCATACGACTTATACGAAATGAGTGTGAAATTTTGTATTACATAATTTTGCAAGAGTTTCGCATAAGTCATATGACACACTTGCTCAAGTGTAATTTCTTTTTTTTATCCATTTTATTCAAGTACATTTGTGCAGTGAAACACGGTAGGCAAGAGTGACGACCCTCTTCACTGACGTCATGTTTAAATGTTTAACAATGAAACACAGAAACTATGGTTGCTTGGCAAAAGTCATATGTGCACGTATAATGTATATGACACTGGTTATGTTCCACAATATTGATCATATAGACTATATTAACATCATATGACATACATGGCCAGTCGATATATGCTCCCAGGTTGGAGGCCTGTCTCTTCAGCCACTCCACTTCCCTGACCAGCTGTCTCACCGACACACCATTGGGACTCTGCATCAACACTGCAGAGATCAGGGACCAAGGGGAGATAACCATGTGCTTCTGGTGCCGTAACACAATGCTATGCCCAAACCTCTGCAGAAGTCTCTGCTCCTCGGTTGTCAAACTTGCAATGTACCTGTGTATAGAGATATGGAGTAGCCATTATATCAGACTAAGAAAGAGCCAACAACAACCAAAGCTATGACGGTTCAACTACACTATGAAGCGGGTCAGGGTTTACAGTTGGGACTGAGGATGTTTATTGGTATATGTTTGTGCCCACTGTGCAACTCAGTTGAGTAAAGACTTACAATGTCAGTGCAAAGGTTTACTCTCGCAAAGATAGATTATTCCTGCTGGTACTTGAGCATTGTCAGGCACAGGTATCCATTGTGACAACTGTCCTAAAAGAACAGTTATTAGGGGCATGGTGGGCCAGCTGGCTAAGATGCCAGGCTGGTGATCCAGTTGCGGGTACAGCAACATGCAGTGAGCTTGGACAGAGTACTGTGACTATGTGTCCCAGTCCACCCAGCTGTGACTGGGTACCTTGTAAGGATGAGAAAGCCACAATAACTTGGTGTGCCTAGTGGCTGCAAGAGTTGTATACTCCCCAGGGAGTTGAGATTGATAATACGATGTGCCGCTGAGATTGACATACAATGATCGAAGGAAAAAATACCAGCGCCTTGAGCATGCACTAGTTAATATAACAACAGTTACAAGCCAATGTGTAATATCTGCTGCCTCACCTTGGAGCCAAATTGTGGCTACTTCTGTCTATCTTCCCATCTGCAAATTTCCGTATGGAGACTGGCTCACCAAAGAAGATATGTACATTGCCAAAATCTTCATTCAAAACACTTCTAGCTTTCAAGAGACCCTGGAAATAAAGTCAGCAGACAGATGTCGATAAAGCCTAACAGTTTGCTTAGTATATTTTCTGTCCAAACCTACTGTAAATTTTTAATCCAATGCATCTCCAAATTAATGTGAATGCCGACCACGAGCCATAAATGTGACACAACATTATTGCGACTTCCCCTTAGACCAAGTGGAACTATATACAATGAAACAATAGTTGACCGATTGGTATGTAGAGGTGTCTGCAAACTTGAAGGCAGACAACCAGACAAAGTGTGCAGATCTGAGGATAAGTGAAATAGAGCCTGTCCATGCGCTTGGTGAAGTCGGCCATTAATGCAGTCACCAAAACAAAGAAACTGTGTAGCGTGTGTTAATCTGGCTGGACTCGAGTACTCGGTGATGCCTAGCATGACACGACGGAGTAATAACTCTGCGATGTCCATTATACAATGTCTGGTCTTTCAAATGGCATGTTTTTATTATTAAGTTTGTATTTCCACCTTCCAAGTTAAGAAACAGAAAATAACCAAAATATTTTAGAATTTGCGAAGTTTAAATAAATGTTATCACAGACAACTCACATTTTTCCCATTCAGGATTTAATCCTAATACTGTTAAAGCTAAAGAAATTATATTGCCTCATAAAAGAATAGAAGAGAATGGTGATTGAAAGTATATCTGCAGACTTACAGAGGTAGACTCTTTAGGTTTGGGGACTCCCAGCAACTCATAGGCATAGAGTGACTCCTCTAGGATGCGGTCATAGCTGATACTGACCGGTATTACCATGATGTCGGGTATGTGTGACTTGAAGTACGGCTCCAGCTCCGCTGATAACATACCTGGGGACAAAACAAGCAGGTGTAAATCCATCCGTTCAGCGACAGCAGACTCTTATAAGCAGACTCAGAATCAGGAAACTTGATAACAAGTTACTAATGAGTCTGATAACTCATGTTTGATAACTTAAGCATTGATTAATTATTACAGGTAAGTAGGTTGTTTTGCATTTGTAAATGAAACAACTAAACGAGTCGATAGTGTGTATGATAGTGGAATAAATCTTTGGATAGGTATACTTTATAAAATATACACTTGCATAATACTTACCTGAAAAATGATATCCAAATTAAACTTATTTATCATATTCATCTCACAGGCTTTCAATGCAATATGAAGACAACAGCTTATCAGGCAATGAGAGACAGCATACATAATTCGACTCTTACATCTGATTCTCACATTGTTGCTTGTTGTCAATGCCTGAATCAGCAATATTCTAGCAGTATGATGTTTGGGCAAGTGGTTGATATTGTAAGCATCAGCCCATATTGTAGAGTACTATGAGGCACAATCAACCAGTGACAATTCACTGAGACTGACGACCAGATTAATTAAATTACTTCTTACAAGAAGCAATCAGGTCTAATATCATAAACATGGTTAAGTAGACATAATATCTCACCAAACTTGGGAGGATATGACTTGGAGGTCCTGCTCCTTGTCCCCTCGACGTAGAACTCAATTGGGTGGTCTCCATTGCAGATCTGAGTCTGTACATATTCCGTGAATATCGCCCAGTACAGCTGGTCGTCGCCGACCGAAGCTGCGGCGTAGGATGTAGAAGGCTCCAGAGTTTCGCAACAATAATCCCACAAACTTCATACCCATGAAATCTGTAAACGGAAACATAACCTTGAGTACAGTAAGACAAAACAGTATGACTGCAAGGTATCAGTGTGTGTCTGTCCCACACAGTCATATCTCCTGTATCCGTGACTACCACATGGCAGCAACTGATCATGCTGAGCAAAATTAAATCTAGTAATACAAAATAGTATCTGTATGTGCAGTCAGTGTCAAGTACTGTCAATACTCAGCTCCCATATATCACAATACATATTGGGAAACAGGTATCTGTATTGTCATATACTGCTCGGGTGGTGGGATAGCCTATTGGTTAAGGTGTTCGCTCGTCACGCCAAAGACTGGGTTTGATTCCCCACATGGGTACAATGTGTGAAACCCATTTCTGGTGTCCCAGCCGTGATATTGCTGGAGTATTGCTAAAAGCGGTGTAAGACTAAACTCACTTACTCATATACTGCAACAGAACCATTGTGCAATACACAGCGGTACAAAATAATCATGATAATAGGTCAAATATATAAAACTGAGGAGACTGTAGAGTAATTAATGTAGCTACAGTCTTGTTTAGATAGGAAATTCCTATAGGTCAAACCCCAAACATAATCAAAGATTTCCCAATGGAAAAGAGATGACTGCACTTTAAATGTTGTGAATATTTTCAAACACTGTGGTGTAGACATTGTCTTGTAGGCTGAGGAAGTAGTGATGAAGACACATACCCATGGCGGAGGCGATGACAGGTAGAGGGAGGTCATAGGAGAAAAAGACGTAGGACATGAGGAGGAAGTCCAAGTAGCTGCGGTGGTTGGGCATCAGCAGCACCGGGTACTCCTTCATCACGCTCCGGACCTGCTCACAGTCAGGGAAACAATGACCGATGGTCAACAAACATCTGATCATGGTTTTCCAACTTCTGTCTATTTGATCACATGGGAAACTATAAAAAAGTGAACACCAGCAGCCATTTGTGAAGGGAATGAGTGAATGCAGCAACATTGCAGACAAAAGACTGTAAATGATGACGTCCTGACCAAACAAACAACTACTTGATAGAATGAGCAGCATCTGCACACCACTGGGGTACAATGACACAATCAACAAAGATGCTGAGTCAGACCACCTGATTCAGCTACATCACCTCTTACGACCAGGATCAGCTATCTGGGATCAACTCTATCCTTCGTTATGGGTAACTTGCTGTTACAATGACATATACACAAAATGTTTCATTTTAATTCTTTCTGATCCAAAGGTTACCATAACCTAGTCTGCTCTGACCTTCAGATAAATGTCAGCATATTCATGACATTTCAATCATTCACATATTCATAGCTAAATATATCTAAAAAATCTGAATATTAATAAGGATGTTTATCACAACCTAGAAATATGATGATGACAAAAAAACACATCAAATCAGGTTGTCTTCACTCACCCTTTGAATCCCTTCCTCATTTATATAGATCCGTCGAAACAGCTCTTTGAGAGCCTTAACAAGGAAGAACGCAAATCCTCGGATAGTTCCCATCCTGAGAGTGTGTGCCATCTCCTCCAGCACTGCATTGGCCTGGTCTGTCACCTCGGACACCGGCAGCTGGGTCTCCTGGCACACCTGGAGTGAGTGAGTGAGTGAGTGAGTATGTAAGCTGAGTGAGTGAGTGAGTGAGGAGTGAGTGGAGTGAGTGAGTGAGTGAGTGAGTATGTAAGCTTAACTATCGTGACATGAGATAGAAAGGTTGTTCTAGCCCTCCCTATAAATACATTTGATAGGCTACAGCTTTTACATCTGAATTTTATGTCTGTTTCGATATATTCAGCAATACTTAATGCATTTCTATAAAACTAATGAATATAATTACCAAGCCTTAAAGTCACCTTCATATGTTTTCAGTAGTTGAATGATATTGCCAAACCATTGCCATAGTGTAGGGTACAATTACAATACAAATATACACAGCTTCCCCTGCTGACAAACGGAAGGCAAATCAGAGTCGCTACAGAGAAGCTCATATGTACCTGATCAATCGCATACTTCACTCTGTCGCTTTTGAGCACATGTTCTTTAATCTCTTCATGTGTCCGTGGTTTGTTCAGTTTAAACTGTGGCGTATCTCTTGACCGCACTACAAATTTGATATCACTTGTCTGCCGTCTGACCTCCAGTGAATCAGTGAACATGTCCTTGTGCTTTGCAGACACAAGCTTTGGGTCATCTGAAAAACATAACACAAATATAACATGTTAAGATGGGTGTAATGTATTTCCCTTTTAACCATGTATGCCATATATGTTAGTTCTACCCAGGGTATGAATTATATTTCAAAGTACCCTAGCCAGGAGGGCTAATCAACACAAGCACTCAACATGATGTACTATTGTCACATGTCATATGGAGGCCACCATTACTAATGTATAGTCACACGTCATATGGAGGCCACCATTAGCAATGTAGTCACATGTCATATGGAGGCCACCATTAGCAATGTATAGTCACATGTCATATGGAGGCCACCATTAGCAATGTATAGTCATATGACATATGGAGGCCACCATTAGCAATGTATAGTCATATGACATATGGAAGCCACCATTAGCAATGTAGAGTCACATGTCATATGGAGGCCACTATTAGCAATGTAGTCACATGTCATATGGAGGCCACCATTAGCAATGTATAGTCACATGTCATATGGAGGCCACCATTAGCAATGTATAGTCATATGACATATGGAGGCCACCATTAGCAATGTATAGTCATATGACATATGGAAGCCACCATTATCAATGTAGAGTCACATGGAAGCCACCATTAGCAATGTAAAGTCACATGTCATATGGAGGCCACCATTAGCATTGTATAGTCACATGTCATATGGAGGCCACCATTAGCAATGTATAGTCACATGTCATGTGGAGGCCACCATAAGCAATGTAGTCACATGTCATATGGAGGCCACCATTAGCAATGTAGTCACATGTCATATGGAGGCCACCATTAGCAATGTAGAGTCACATGTCATGTGGAGGCCACCATTAGCAATGTAGTCACATGTCATATGGAGGCCACCATTAGCAATGTAGTCACATGTCATATGGAGGCCACCATAAGCAATGTAGTCACGTGGAGGCCACCATTAGCATTGTATAGTCACATGTCATATGGAGGCCACCATTAGCAATGTATAGTCATACGACATATGGAGGCCACCATTAGCAATGTAGTCACATGTCATATGGAGGCCACCATTAGCAATGTAGTCATATGTCATATGGAGGCCACCATTAGCAATGTAGTCACATGTCATATGGAGGCCACCATTAGCAATGTAGTCACATGTCATATGGAGGCCACCATTAGCAAATTAGAGTCACATGTCATAATATGGAGGCCACCATTAGCAATGTATAGTCATACGACATATGGAGGCCACCATTAGCAATGTAGTCACATGTCATATGGAGGCCACCATTAGCAATGTAGTCACATGTCATATGGAAGCCACCATTAGCAAGACATAGTCAAAGACCATTGTGTGGAAGTTGAAGGTAGCTACATAAATACTTCGATTTATCGGGGATTCGACACAACTGCAAAATGATGGCTGAAGAAAGAATATGCAGGAACCAGGCTTTTTCTTCAAACACAACTTAAAGTTTGACACTTGGGTGTTTGATTGTTTGCTACATGCAGTAAATGTGGACAAAGTACTGTGACTATGTGTCCCAGTCCACCCAGCTGTGAATGGGTACCTTGTAAGGATGAGAAAGACACACTAACTCGGTGCGCCTAGTGGCTGCAAGAGTTGTATGATCCCCAGGGAGTTGAGATTGATAATATGACTTGCCGTTGAGATTGACATCCACTTCAGTCCGTTTGGCTCAAAAGCGGACCGATGAATTGCAATCTAACTCGAAAACTAATAAACATAAAATACTCAATGAAACGCTGATCATAATCAAAACATCATACCCACTCTGAGGTTTTTGCTGAATTTTTGTCCTAAAAATAAAAAAGTTGTTTAACAATCTATCATTAAAATATTGACACAGTTCACTATTTGTTACGAGGGAGGAGTGCAGAGAAAGGGACAGCCAGGTGTTCGAGAACGGATGGAGACGGCACAGCACAGGTTAATGAATAAATAACTTTGTCTGTGAGCGTGCTTCTCCGAACACCTGGCTGTCCCTTTCTCTGCACTCCTCCCTCAAACAAACAGTGAACTGTGTCAATATTTTAATGATAGTTTATTAAACAACTTTATTATTTTTAGGACAAAAATTCTGCAAAAACCTCACAGAGTGGGGTATGATGCGCTTTGATTATGATCAGCGCTTCATTGAGTATGTTATGTTTATTAGTTTCGAAAGTATGTTATGTTTATTGGTCCGCTTTTGAACCAAACGGACTGTACATCTAGTGATCGAGGGAAAAACAAAGCGCCTTTGAGCAGCTGAGCTATACAAATGTTAGCATGTATGTATGTACAATAGTCAAGAGACCATTATGCCAAACAAGCACTAAACTTGGTAGCTTGGAACCATACATTTGTCTGATGTTTTCACATGGCTAAAAACCTACGTACTTATGTATGAGTGGGTTTCTGATAAACCTACGTATTTATGTATGAGTGGGTTTCTGATAAACTATGATTTGAAAACAAAATGACAACAGAGTTATACACTATATGATGCCTTAACTGACTTGATGATATATAGAAATAAACATGAATCCATTAGAACTGACAGCCAGGACAGAGCCTGACTAATCTACATACTGACCGACGACATGTGTCATACAGCCATCAGAGGATGACAGTGGCCTACATCAGATACACATCCAGTTATCTGTACAGCTCCTGATGTTAGGCAGACAGAAGCCATGCAGACACCACAGGCAGGCTTCACGTTGACACTAACCTTTCAGGGCATCAAGACACGAGGTCATAGCTTTTGTTGGTCTCGCTGTCACCAGGTCGGAGTGTGACAGACATACTGCATCCGATACACATACAGAATAATAATAATAATAATATGTGTATTTATAATGCGCTGAATTCCACACATAAGGCATGCTCAAAGTGCTACATATTTATAAATATTTACAAAGCAAGTGTTATGCTAGACCCGAGGCTGAAATTTTGGGAAAGTTAAGTTATAGATCGTAATATTTTCTGAAAAGATGGGTTTTGAGGGAACTTTTAAATGAGTCAATGGAGGGAGACATTTTGAGTTCAGTCGGAGTTGATTCCACAACTGTGGAGCACCATAGCTGAAGGAGCCCGAAACCTGAATGCCCGGAGTTTCTGTCTAGGAATAGCGAGAAGGTGTCTATCTGCCGATCTTAACATTCTGGAAGGATTGTGCTTGGTGACTAGCTCAACAAGGTACTCTGGAGCCGTAAGATGGTAACACTGGTAGGCAAGACTCAGGACCTTGAATTCAATTCTGGCTGTGATTGGTAGCCAGTGAAGAGACTTAAGAACAGGTGTTATGTGGATCCTAGAGGGAACTTTGTTGACAAGTCGAGCTGCAGAGTTTTGTACTCTCTGGAGTTTTGATAGAAGTTTTTGAGGAAAGTCTGTAGAAAATGCTATTACAGTAGTCAATCTTTGAGAGAACCAGAGATCGCACCAGTGCATGAGCTGCAGCTGTAGTAAAGGGAGCTTAGGATGCTGCTAATGTTCCGCAAATGGAAGTAACAGGATTTGCAGACTGTGTCAATATGAGCTTTCAAAGAGAGATCAGAGTCCAGATGAAGTTCAAAGGTTTTTCACGGTTTTCGAAAATGGAATGACAGTGTTGCAAACTGTGACTGAGTTAGTCATCACTTGATGAAGATTCTACTTAGTGCCGACAAGCAGCGCCTCTGTTTTCGTCTCATTCAGTTTGAGCAAATGTGTCGTCATCCATGTTTTTTACGTCACTTGTACACTCTGACAGTCGTTCCCACATTCGATCTGATGTACTGGGATTGCACGAATCAGACAACTGGGTGTCATCAGCATAAAAATGGTGGCTCACATCATGTGTACTGATTACATCTCCACGATGTCTGGTGTAAAGCGTAAACAACACTGGTCCCAGAACCGATCCTTGTGGTACTCCACAGGATAAAGGGCTTTCTTAGATGCATGATTATTTACGATGACTGACTGCTGTCGATTGCTGAGGTACTGAAACAAACCATGATAGTGCCATTCGGTTATTCCAAATGAAGTCTCAAGTTGTCTAAGAAGTATATTGTGGTCATACAGATTAAGCATCTTTAGATGCAAAAATATATGGCCAATTTACCTGTAGCATGCATGTCAAACTTAACAGCTATTCCTCTTCAGAAAAAGAAAATGCAGTATATTTCAATTCCAAATTTGTTGTATTTCACGAGATGAAAATCACCATATTTGATACAGTAAAGTAGCTTAGGTATGTTCAGAACAATCTAAAGTACTGTTGGAAATTGAAAAAACCCTGTTTTTCACATTTATATCTACTGACTGACTGAGTTTGGTTTTACGCTTTTAGCAATATTCCAGCAACATCACGCAGGGGGACACCAGAAATGGGCTTCACGCATTGTGCCCATGTGGGGATTCGAACCGGGTCTTCGGTAGCGAGCCAGCGCTTTAACCATTAGGCTACCCCATCGCCCCATTTATATCTACAATTTAGGTAGTTAGTATGTGAAAGTGTGAAATATCTGTTGAACTAAGTTTGGCCTAACTACAGTCTCAGTGGTAGGGAGATAGAAAAACGTTTAAAAGGATTTTACTGGGGAGATATCAGTGCAGAAATGAGCAATGTGGGGTTTTCCGAAGAGACTTATTTGGAGCAGACCATGGCTTTATGCAAATTAGTATGCAATGATACTGTATAACAAATGACTCTTTTTGAATGTCCATTTTGAAATTAGACTTAGCTTCATAATAAACGATACCAGATGTAAAAAAAAAACAACTTTAATACTGAAACTATTAAGGATATAGATACCATTGAGTCTCACTTTCACTATAAAAAGAAACAGGTAGGAGGGGACGTCTCAAAAGCAAAAGCAAGACGGGTGTTGCTGATTGTAGTTGGGGTCGGGCTTGGGGATAGAGATATTAGCTAAGGTTAGATAATCAGAAGAGACATATTCAATACACAGGAAAAAGCATAAAAGATATTTGAGATGACCCCTTGTGTCTGTGGGCAGCACGTGCATTTCATGCCAAGTGAGTTGACAGTCCGTCGTCATACCTGGCTGAGCGACCTAATTGCCATCTATAGTCTGATCTATTGTTTTCAGCAGCTGTTTGTATTTTTTCTATTTTTTTTGCCCAATTTTACATGCTTTTCTGGATATCCTATTACGCATCCCACTGAATGCTCAGTTAGGCCGATGTGGGTTATTTTGACATATGCTATTTGCAATTGTGTAAATTTTAGGGATACAGAGTAACAGCCTAAAAACAGTTTTTCTTCTATTTCCGACGGTACTTTAGTGATGTCATGAAATATCACGCTATAAGTTCAACTACAACCGACAGAAGTTTACACAGGTATAATCATTATTGCTGATTGTGGAAAAATTGATTCCCAAACCAGGTGAGTCTTTAGCCTGATGAATCACTTCCTTAACCACCAGGCAATTACAGGAATAAAAGCGGAAATAAACTAAACTATTGATGTCAATTGAGGAAGATGTTATTGGAAGTTGGTTGATTTAATGATACAATTTAATATTGTTAACACCTTTTCACTTTATTTTAGAATACTCAATCAATCAAAACCACCTGTTGCAAGACCTACTCAACTGACAATCAGATGTAAATATCACCATAGCTTTGCTGAAAAACAGATCAACAGCTTGCTCACAAAAGATAATTCACTCTTTGGCTTATAAGTAATATACTGTATGATACATGATCATGATAATGTGACTGATGCATACATACTGAGAACATAATTATCATTATCCTCATCATCATGATGAGTGATATAATCATCATCATCCAAGAAGTCTTTGATGTGACGTGTTTGATGCCAAGGATAGACAGACTGAACAAACACGCATTACCACATGAAAAGCACTTGAAGAATGAAATGGATAAATATGGATTCAGTTTATTTTGACATTTTGGAGCCAAAAATAATAAAATAATTTCAAAATTAATACGCATTTTCGTTCGTTTTTGCGTAAAGTTGAACACTGAAAGAACGCCTGAATGAACGAAGTACTAAAACAGTTTATGCGAATGATTCGGCTTATTATTATTTATTAGCATGCATCTTTTAGTGTCAAAATAATGCCACCAGAAGGCTCCAAATGCTCCTGAAAATCACTAAACTTCATTTTCGGGGGCGGGGGGCTTCGCTCCCCAGAGACCCCCCACCAGGGCGTCGCCCTCGACATGACCCCGGCTTATTTTTTTTCAGTCTCACTCCAAACCATCTTTAGGGGTTGACAGCTCTGATAATAGCAAGTTCAAGTCCACAAAAGTCATTAGTTGTTTCATTCCCTATCATTCTACTGTAAAAATAACACTCACTTAGTCACACAATCCATTTTTCGAGGTTACTTTATATAAACATATATCATTTCAGTTTCACGAAATGGTGATAACACTAGTTACAGTTAATTGTGAGGAAATACCTATATTTTTACTGCCATGATTCCCTTCCACCGCGTTATATAAAAACATGATCGGCAGCATCGAATGTGAATACTGAATAGCTAATTATAAAGTATCATATTCAATTCTGTTTCATTGATTTAATGAACGGTGGAGTAATTTGGTAAATTAATATCATGGTGAAATTTTGCATGGAGAGAGAATACTAGTATGCAGTAAAAATACCTTGAGCTTCCCAACTCAATTTTCACCAAAAGTGGACACAGAACACTCATACTGACAAACAATTTGAATATTTACAATAACCAGAACATATACAACAAAAAAAACGAAAAAAGAAGAAAGAAAATCAAATCATTCAGGACTGCCACTGTTTTAAATAACATATCATTTTACTATTTAAGTGGCAGGAAAAATGGCAAGTCTAACTACAAAACATTATAAAAAACGTGAAACCAGAGACGATATATGATAAATTATATGGTCTCTGGTGAAACTGAATTAAAAATAACAGTAAATGACCACAGTGACAAATAAAATCGGCACCTTGCTTGCATAAATAAGCACTAAGCCTAGTGTTCATAAAATGCATGCAAAAAAACCATTCATATCTGCATTTATGTCAGCTCTGTGTGGATCAGTCATCGGTCAACTCAGATTTCGTAGCCAAGAAGCATTCGTTGACACAACTGATAATAACTACCAACGAATTAGGTGAAAACACCGGTCGCGTTTCATTTGTCGAACTAGTAACTAAACTGCTAGTGAGTGAATAAAAGTCATCAACACAAAATCCTGATATTCATTTTACCTTTCTTTATCCAGGAATTACGTGACTGGTCTGTCATGGTTTCATATAACGACGTGATAAGTTGGTAACAGATATAAGGCGTGAACATGCATCAAAACAGTGCACGTACAATCGTACAGTCGGTTCTGACTATTGGCCACTCATATCGCCTGACACCGGTGAATACTATTTTCCCATCCAACTAACTTACATGGTATTTTCCAGAAGAGCGTCTATTGGCATTTACAATTCCACTGTCGGAATGAGTTGGAATACGTGAACATAATTGAACAGAAGGAACCTAGAAAGCGATATATAGTCTTTTGTAAAAGTTATGGTCACAACATCTTTGCAGTAAAACACTCACAGATATTTTGATGAAATGATCCAAACATCCATGGTGCCATCCCGATCAAGGAAGATATTCCAATGTAACACATTGTAAATATAGATACTTTCCAGTTTAAAGGGCATTTTAACACTATGTATCACATATTGTCATTTGATGAAAATAAATAGCAGAGACCCTATACAGATATGTGGTCTCTGGAAATAAAAAACATCTTTGTACAGTACAGCGTTAATTTAATTAATTCATAGCAATAACTGCAGAATCGATTAAGATTCTGACAATTTTGAGTTTAACAGCAGACTTGAACCTAACTTTTTACAAAAATTGCCAAACTGCGTTTAATCAATGCGTCAGAGAGTAGGTTGGTCTCAATGTATCCATCTGACATTTGGGGGCACTTCTTCATTATGATAAGTTTGGACCTAAGTAGTTTAACAATAAACATTTTACGACCTTAACCATTGTTATTAAACATATTTTAGGTCTCAGTTGTTACATCATCGGACAAATCATCATATCATAAGCGATAGTAATGCTACAAGATTGAATGAACATTGATTGAATTAATTTTGACCCAATTTTACGACAATCGTGAACGGCTCTTGTGCAAACTCTCTGCAGGGTACAATATCTATGATCTAAAATAGAGCAGTATACATAGCGCTGTTTAGAGCTGTGAATGTGGGCCAGCCTGCGCCAAACACGTCACGATGAATGTTTTGAATTTTGTTGTTTTCATGTTTATTATAATTTGTCAAGCTAAAAAGAAAGATTCTAATGTAAGAAAGTCACCTTTTAAATGACATACGATCACTTTTCATATCATGACAAAATGTAATAAAATAATAAGAAATGACAGCTTATGAGGTCTGTACCAGGGCAATGTTTACGGAAGCGACCCAAACTGTTTTATTGTTTGTCATGGACGTTCGCTCATGGTATCGACCACTGGTTTGTCTGACCAAGGCTCGGATATTTATAGACAACTATGGCTGGCTGCCTCTTAAAACAGTAACAAAATATTCAATGAAGCCAACTATTGTCCCAGCATTGGATTTGGTGTAGGGAGGGTGGTTGTTTTCGGTCCGAATGGTAATAATGTGAGACTATGAAATTTGACAAACAAAATTTGTTTCATTTTGGCAATAGGGGAGTACTGCACTTTACCGGGCGCACTTTTTCAGATTAATTAACGCTGCTGGGGTTCCCTAACCCTAACCCTAAGGATCGTAAAGGGTGCCTAACCCTAAACCCTAACCCTAAGGATCGTAAAGGGTGGCATACCCTTACCCTAAACCCTGACCGCCTCCGTAGTGGTTAGAGCGTCCGCCCGAGAGAGCGGAAGGTCGTGGGTCGATCCCGACGCCATACCAAAAGGCGTTAAAATATGGTACTTGTTGGTCCCTGCCTTGGCTACGGCATTAATGGGTACAACAAGGACTGGTCGGGTCGGAGTCAGTATAATGTGTCTGAGTGGGGTATTCATGCTTCACTGCGGCATGGTATCTCAGTGGGCTAGCACTATAAAACCAGCTTCTGTCTGGGCTAGTACAAGCAGCCGCACATACACATACACACACGCATGCACGCCGTCATATGAGCCAAATATTCTCAAGCACAACGTTAAACCCAATTTCACCTCACCTCACCTACCTACCTAAACCCTAACCCTAAGGATCGTAAAGGGTGGCATACCCTTACCCTAAACCCTAACCCTAAGGATCATAAAGGGAGCAGCGAGGGCTGCGCCCAGTAAAGTGCATTCTAGCCGGCAATAGATCTAACAGAAATATTTATATGAATGCAACTATTTCTTCGACCAGAAACAATGTACTGATACAGTCATGGCTCAGACATGGAGCTTCTGCCCTACTGTCATTAATGGTTTATTGAAACATTATATTTGATGATAAATTGATGAATTCTGTAATACATCTCTGTTCATTTGCTCAATGATTTGACTGGTCTTTTCTTTCAGATGTCGTACAAGGAATTCTTACAGAATGAAGATACTCGTCTGTCAAAGAAAGGTGCTAAATGTAGTCTAAAGAAGGTGACTCGAAGAAATGTAGACAATATACGACTTGTCTCTCAGGTGTGTGAATATGATAATGAATATTAGATCATCTTACCAGTTACTGAAGTTACAATCTAAAGTGAGTGAGTGAGTGAGTTTAGTTTTATGCTGCATTTAGCAATATTCCAGCTACATGGGGGTGGTCTGTAAATAATCTAGTCTGGACCAGACAATCCAGTGATCAACAGCATGAGCATAGATCTGCGTAATTTGGAACAGATGACATGTGTCAACCAAGTCAGCAAGCCTGACCACCCAATCCCGTTAGTCACCTCTTATGACAAGCATGGGTTACTGAAGATCAATTCTAACCTGGATCTTCACGGGTAACAATCTATAGCATTTGTTGGGATGGAATGTGGCATATGGTGTAGTGAGGTCTGAATATAGCAAGATATGTTGAGGACAGTAGTATGGTGTAATGAGAAAGGAATAAAGAACCCCCCTGTGTGAACACCTGAGGTCATCCCACATCCTTCATTTAGAATAGGTGTTCAAAGTTCACTCACCCATTTCTATGTTGCTGGATAGTTTCAAAATATTGTATCATTGAGTACTCACCCTAATAGTTTCAAAATATTGAAGTACTGTTAGAACACTGTTGCTGTGAAACATGTCAGTTAGAAACCCGCTAAAAATGTTACAATTCATGAAGTAATGCAAGCATGGTTTACCAGTATATTTTGTTGTGCGATGATGTCTATCAGTTTGGTATTCAAACTCTGCGTGGGGTCGAAAGTCATACAGTTATGAATGTGTGGTGCACCAGAATGTTTTATCATGTGATTTGTCTATGTATTCAGTCTTGGTTGGTCTTCCAATCATATTCCCCTCATGGAGTCTCAGCAACTGCCAGATTGACACTAGTAAACTCGAAGGCACCGGAGTGTTGCTCCTCCAAGACAGCTCTCACAACAGCATGAACTCTGTGTGGAGAAGACACTTAGTGTTGGGTAACGACAGAGTTGTCTGCGTTGAATCTTCACTCTGTCTCTGTGAAGATTTCTGTCAAACAATATGGATGTCTACAACAGTTAGAATTTCCGAACATTACATCGTTTTTCTGATATTTTCAGGATGATGGCACAGCTCGTTGTATCATCCGGTATCTCTTGGACTACCCAGATGATGGTTTCCTCTGGTCTGTCCTAGGGCATATATACCTCCTCAGGAAAGACCCAGTGGCCTCCCAAATCAATGCATGCTTTAAACAAGCTACCAAACACACAGGACAACACACACCATTCATAAAAAACTGGAGTTTTATTGGACCATTTGTGATTGGCAAAATGGAGCTAGATGGAGATCCAGTTGAGGCATTTGGTGGAATACAAAATGTCTCAAAATATCGCTTTGAAAAAGAGAGTAAATTGTTTTCTGAGTTAGTACCAGATGGGGTGGTGAAGTGGATGTCATACCACCAAAAGTCAAAGGAGCAAATGGTAAAGATAACACCGAAGGTCAACTGGAATGACCTTGTGAGTTCACTTGGGTCAATGGGAATAACTGAATGGCAGGGATGGATAGTTGGAGATTTTGCTGTCAATGCCGACCATTTGAATTTCATTGTCCAGTGTATGGGTGTGAGTTCTGTCTATATTGATGGGATGTTGTATGCAGGGGATTTATATCATCGAAGTAAATTTTCATTTGGCGTCAGGCTGAGTCGAGGGATACATTCACTCAATATAAGGCTGAGGGCAAAGGTATCGGCAACATTTAACTGTATTTTATCAGCTATGCCAAAAAACTTTGAAGTGTTATCCCCAACCTTCCTTCCTGACCTGTACGATGGTAATATATTTGGACGATACATATCATTACCTGTAGCAAACTATCATCCAACCAGATGGGTCAAAAATTTCCGTTTGATGGTTACTGACCAGTCAGAAGGAGAAATGCTTGAAATTAAACCCTTGAAAAATGAACTTGCTGTCGCACCAGGTCAAATTAGACCTTTCCATGTTAAAATTTTAAACAAATCTCCCAAAATATTATCTGCTTGTCGAGATATTGAAGTTGAGATAGCAATATCAACATCCGAGGGAGAAGAGAACTTTCCGCTCAATATACGATGTCGCAAAGCTGGAGAATCTTTCTTGTTTACGTTTTTGGACCACGATGGGTCAGTCCAGCATGGTGCAGCTGTGCAACCTATCAGATCATGTCGTGGTCATCTGTGTCCAATTGTATTGTCTCTTCATGGCACGACAGTACCACCACAAAACCAGGCAGACAGTTACAAGAAAATGGTGGACAAGGAGTTTGAGTTTGGGGTTGAGCATGCTTGGCTTGTAGCTCCTACAAGGTAGAGACATCACTTTCACAATGTTTATGATGTATTTTCTATTTCTCCTTTTCTGTCACATGGCACTGTTGTAAAGTTACCTTATTGATATCTTCAATGAATGCATACAGCATTTGATTTATATTAAGTGCCGTTGCAGCCATATTGGAAATATAATTTTAGGCCATCGATTACTATGTTTTCTTGTGTTATATGCATTTTTATACATGATAAACACATGAAAAGGAGTCAAAATACTCTCTTCTTGTATTTTGGTATTTGGTGTTCGATGTATGTGAACAGAGTTACTTTTGTCAGTGAGTTTATTATGTTTGTGAAGTTCACCTGAACTCTTACACATCCTTTCAGGCATGGAGCCCACAACTGGGAGGGGCCTGGTGCACTGACAGCAATGTCAGCCATGTTGGCTCTCACTGATATTGTGCACACATCGACCTGGATAGAGGACAAGGCCGACCCAGACCATGTTGTCTTTGCAGGTAATTTGTCAGAACAGTTGGCTTGTCTTCACACATTCATCTAGAAGTCAAGGGATAACTTTCAAATAACAACAACACACCAAAATCAAAAGGCAGTTTTCTTTGTAATCCAAACGTAGAAATGAAGTCAATATTTTGCTGTTTGTCCAAAAGGACTGATTGTAGACATTGCAGTTAATAATGCCATGTATGCCTCTGTGACAGGCCACTCCATGGGTGGTCACGGGGCGTGGCATCTGGCCACCCACTTCCCTGACCGAGCACTGGCCCTGGTGTCTCTGGCTGGCTGGATCAAGAAGGAGGAGTACGGAGACAGCAACCTGTTCTTCAAGTGAGGGCACACTTTCTACGTGGTTAACAAAAGCATATTTTAAAATAAACAAGGTCATTGTTTTGTATACATTCAGGAGAACTAGTGGTCCTTTTGTAAAGGTGCCATGATTTTCTGTACAGAAACTTGTGATCGTGAGTTCAGAGTTCAGATCCCAGCTTTGCGGGCCATTACAGCAATGTAAAGGTGCCTTGATAGGTCAGTGCTTGTATCGGTCCGACATGATATTTCTACAATACTGGTCAATATGATGTTGACTTACTCACTCAGTTTATTTCAGACATGACCTGTCCACCAGTCATGCCGACCCAGCAGTCAAAGCTGTCATGGAAGCATGTATTGCTGAAAATGATGCCGACAGACATGTCTCCAATCTTCAGGTAATGACTAACAGGTCATTGAGTCAAGAGTAAGACATTTGTCACATTAAGAGAGGGCTATGGTTACAGCATCGGTCTTGTAGCTGCTACGGTTTCTTGAGTCAGCGGACACTTGGTATTTATCAAGATCAAGGGAACATGGTAACCCGATGTTAAGAGTGTTGTTTGATGCTTGGCATCAATGTCGCTTTGGGAAATATGCAGCCTTCATCTCATTCTCAACTGAATTTAAAAAACTTCTTTTTTAGCGGCAAACACCTGGTAGTTTATGATTCAGACAGATGTATATTTATTCCAGCACATCCCAGTGTTGGCTCGAATCGGGGCAGGTGATCGGACAGTCCACCCCTTTTTCGTCCGGAGGATGTACCGTCTTCTGCAGGAGTACCGTGTGCCCGTCAACTTCACAGAGCTGGCTGGCAAGGAGCACTGGTGGTGGGATACATGGTGAGATGGATGTGGTGTCTTGGTGGGCCACATGGTGAGATGGGTGTGGAGTCTTGTTGGGCCAAATGGTGAGATGGGTGTGGTGTCTTGCTGGGACACATGGTGAGATGGGTGTGGTGTCTTGTTGGGACACATGGTGAGATGGGTGTGGTGTCTTGTTGGGACACATGGTGAGATGGGTGTGGTGTCTTGGTGGGACACATGGTGAGATGGGTGTGGTGTCTTGTTGGGACACATGGTGAGATGGGTGTGGTGTCTTGTTGGGACACATGGTGAGATGGGTGTGGTGTCTTGTTGGGACACATGGTGAGATGGGTGTGGTGTCTTGGTGGGACACATGGTGAGATGGGTGTGGTGTCTTGTTGGGACACATGGTGAGATGGGTGTGGTGTCTTGTTGGGACACATGGTGAGATGGGTGTGGTGTCTTGGTGGGACACATGGTGAGATGGGTGTGGGTGTCTTGTTGGGACACATGGTGAGATGGGTGTGGTGTCTTGGTGGGACACATGGTGAGATGGGTGTGGTGTCTTGGTGGGACACATGGTGAGATGGGTGTGGTGTCTTGGTGGGACACATGGTGAGATGGGTGTGGTGTCTTGGTGGGACACATGGTGAGATGGGTGTGGTGTCTTGGTGGGACACATGGTGAGATGGGTGTGGTGTCTTGGTGGGACACATGGTGAGATGGGTGTGGTGTCTTGGTGGGACACATGGTGAGATGGGTGGGTGAGATGGGTGTGGTGTCTTGGTGGGACACATGGTGAGATGGGTGGGTGTCTTGGTGTCACATTGTGAGATGGGTGGGGTGTTTGATGGGACACATGGTGAGATGGGTGGGAGAATGTCTTGGTGGGACACATGGTGAGATGGGTATGGTGTCTTGGTGGGACACATGGTGAGATGGGTGTGGTGTCTTGGTGGGACACATGGTGAGATGGGTGTGGTGTCTTGGTGGGACACATTGTGAGATGGGTGGGGTGTCTTGGTGGGACACATGGTGAGATGGGTGTGGTGTCTTGTTGGGACACATGGTGAGATGGGTGTGGTGTCTTGTTGGGACACATGGTGAGATGGTTGTGGTGTCTTGGTGGGACACATGGTGAGATGGGTGGGGTGTCTTGGTGGGACACATTGTGAGATGGGTGGGGTGTCTTGGTGGGACACATTGTGAGATGGGTGTGGTGTCTTGGTGGGACACATGGTGAGATGGGTGGGGTGTCTTGTGTGGGACACATGGTGAGATGTCTTGGTGGGACACATGGTGAGATGGGTTGGGTGTCTTGGTGGGACACATTGTGAGATGGGGCGGGGGTGTTTTGGTGGGACACATGGTGAGATGGGTGGGTTGTCTTGGTGGGACACATTGTGAGATGGGGGGGTGTTTTGGTCGGGTCACATGGTGAGGTGTCTTAGTGGGACACATGATGAGATGGGCGGGGTGTCTTGGTGGGGACACATTGTGAGATGGGTGGGGTGTTTTGGTGGGTCACATGGTGAGATGGGTGGGGTGTCTTGGTGGGACACATTGTGAGATGGGTGGGGTGTCTTGGTGGGACACATTGTGAGATGGGTGTGGTGTCTTGTTGGGACACATGGTGAGATTGGTTGGTTGTCTTGGTGGGACACATGGTGAGATGGCTGGGGTGTCTTTGGGAACCTGTGGCGAGTCTGATAATTGAGTGTTTGGTTTGGGACTTCTCATGGGATGAGGAATATTTGGTGTCAAATGTCAGATTTATTTCATGTAATGGCATATCTGATTATTCCTATGACAATTCCAAAATACAGCATCAACACACTTGTAGCATAATACTATAATATGGACCATGGCCTTGAATACATGAATAAAATCTGTGTGTCTTGTCTGTCTATGACAATTTGAGTGGTTTATACTATTCAATTTGAGTTTATTGACAGCCAGATATTTTCTTAATGAACTATTTTACTGAGATTACCAATTGTCAAGTTTGGCTTTAAGTGAACCTGTAAGAGACATTACGACAGTATTGAATGCCTGTAACTGGGAGATCCCCTACTTTCCCTGTCAGGGAGACGAATGATGGTGGCGTGGTCAATGATCAGCAGCTGAGGGACTTCAAGTCCAAGTACATCGCATCTCAGCTCCACAGCGGGGGTTGTTCCGCAGATGACAATGACTGTACCGGAGACTCTGATGATAATAAATACTCCCAGCATGCAGCGGAAGATCGGTTTACCCTCACAACAATTAACCCTGCTTTTGGCGAGGGTCTCAGGGGTGTGAGAATTCTGAGTCAGCTAGTCCCATACAGGCTGAGTACTGTAGAGGGCCAAGTGTCAGGAAATACTGTTCACCTGACAACAAGAAATGTTTGGAGGTTCAGAATTGAGGAGCCCAAACAGAGAAAAGTTCACTGGATGCAAAGATTTATCAGGGTGAGCTCTTATTCAAATGAATTTAATTGATCTATTAATCTGCCAATCTAAGAAAAGGTAATTTTTGGGACATTATTTTTTCTTTTCAATAACTCGTTTCAGATTTAATTATACAAAGTGTGTTAAGGATAAAAATTGATGTATCTCTTTAATTGCTGTATGAAATTTATTTTTTCTGTATATTTCATTTCACTTAATCTGTCTTTTTACCCAATCTACATTACTTCTACGAGATGATAAGTTTATTTAAGCATGTAGTGACTGACATGAAACAAGATGTAGATATCTTGGTAATACCCCACCTAATTTTTCAAACAATGAAAAGTAGCTTATAAAATAGGGGGGATAGGGGGTACATAAGGAACTTTTTCCGATATCTTGCCCTGTTTGATTTAGGTTGACAGAGATTTCATGGTGAACACAGACATGTTAGCTGAGATGGCCAAGAATGAAGACAGTCACTTGGCGAGGGTCGACGGTGAGGAACAAAACTATCCCCAAAACAGATGTCATGAGTGCGGATTGGATGATCACAATGGCTGTGGAGAATAGTTCCCATGACTTTTTATTCTGGCACCGTGGTCCTTTTGTCCGATATTAGGGTACATGTTGCAGGAATTTGCAGGAGCTATTTCCCGTACCCATGCCAGGATCACCTAAGTGGTAAACTGTGAGAAGCTGTAACCAGTACAACCACAGTAACTCATAGCATTCAGTCATTGCTGTTTAGTTTATCAGTCTTGTTATTCCAGGGCAAATATATCATACAGAAGGGATGATGCTAAATAAGGGCCATCTTAGTCTTTATCACCAACACAGTTTAACACACCTGCAAAACCTTAGAAATCAGTGTGAATAAGCATTTTAATGTGTTCATGCCTTGATCACTTGAGTGTTTTTCAATTATGGCAAAGGTACTGGTAAGAAAAACATTTTCACAAAGCTATATTTAAAGGTTCTTAGGAAGCTGTTTTCCGATATTTGAGTGAGAGTGATTATTTAGGGGGCACTGGTGTATCTTAAACAGTGCAGTTTTCTATGCATCCCTTGGGCACTCCAGAATCCTGTGATCATGTTTTAGAATCTTAGTTTGTCCCCCTTGACGTTTCTACTTTTATCAGTGCCATAACTACTCATGGGTTTCTACAAAGATGTGAATACCATCACAGACCTCAGTCACATATTGCTTTTCTCCCTCACGATAATATGACTATAACACTGTTAAAGTGGTGTTAAATCCAGCCCACTCACTCACTGACTCACTCCCTCTCACCCACTCACTCACTCACTCACTCACTTGAAGCCATGTTAGCTTAATCCAGCCTTGTTAGTGTTGTTGATCTTGTCAGAATCCAAAAATGTAGGCAGGAAAATGTTTAAAAGTGGCTATTCCAGTGCACCCATTATTATCTCAAGCATTACCATCTCTGTGATGCAGCTAAGTGTACTTACCTCCCTTTGACAGATGTGTGTCTCCAAGTTGCTGCTGTTGAAACTGTTCAGTGCATCCTGTCTCTCTGGTTACAGGGGAGTGGGAGTTTGTTCATCGCAGTGTGTACGAGAGACACGAGAGAGGACCAGAGAACTTAGGGCCTGCCAGAAGAGTGGCAGAACGCCAGTTTCTGATCATTGTAGGTGAGGTAACAATTGATATAAAAGTTGTGAAAATGATATGAAAGGATCACTAAAGCTGAAGCAGTGATGACACCAGGTGCTTGCTAAAGGATCCCCTGCCCTTTGATGCCATAACCCTCACAGTCATCTCATGCAGTCGTATCTTCCAGGCCCCCAGTACTTTGTATGGGGGGATTGGATGGTGGTATTGATCACATATACACATGCAGAGGCAAGTCAATTGTTAACCAAGACAGGAAAATAAACATTGTATATACAAGTCAATCAAACGTGGAAATCGCTCCAGACAAGCAAGCAACACATTTATGTACTACTCTTAAGAATTTAAGGAACACTTCATAGTTTCATGTAATTACAATCAGTTTGTTACACCATGACAGTTTTTATCATGTTGGTGTTATTGGCATTAACTGTAGTCATGTAACAAAATGTGTACTTTTTACTTCTCTTGAGGGACGATGAGGTATCCTAGTGGTTAAAGTGTTTGTTCGTCATACTGAAGACCCAGGATTGTCGATTCTCCACATGGGTACAATGAGTGAAGCATATTTCTGGTGTCCCCCACCACGATATTGCTGGAATATTGCTAAAAGCGGTGTAAAACCAAACTAGCTCACTCACTACTTGTTTTAAGGAGTGTATATACCAGTGTACAGTCATAGTGAGTTGGGTGTTATCTTTTTGGTATATCTAGTTTGTCTTGTCCCGGAATTTAACATAACTAGATCGATTGTGTTTGATAAATTAAAATAATGTCTCAGGTACGCAGGGGTCACCAATGACAAGCCAGACTTTGCTGACATCAGCTGTCTACATCGCTAACCAGTTCTACCTGACATCGGACACCACTGCCAGTATTGTCTATGACACCGATATCACCCCGGACATGGTGAACAGAAGAAACATCATACTGCTGGGAAGTCCCACTGAGAACCTCCTGACATCCACGGCTCTTGCTGGACTGGATCTGTCTGTCTCGGGTGAGTTTGTTGGAACATTGAGAACCTCCTGACATCCACGGCTCTTGCTGGACTGGATCTGTCTGTCTCGGGTGAGTTTGTAGGAACATTGAGAACCTCCTGACATCCACGGCTCTTGCTGGACTGGATCTGTCTGTCTCTGGTGAGTTTGTAGGAACATTGAGAACCTCCTGACATCCACGGCTCTTGCTGGACTGGATCTGTCTGTCTCGGGTGAGTTTGTTGGAACATTGAGAACCTCCTGACATCCACGGCTCTTGCTGGACTGGATCTGTCTGTCTCGGGTGAGTTTGTAGGAACATTGAGAACCTCCTGACATCCACGGCTCTTGCTGGACTGGATCTGTCTGTCTCTGGTGAGTTTGTAGGAACATTGAGAACCTCCTGACATCCACGGCTCTTGCTGGACTGGATCTGTCTGTCTCGGGTGAGTTTGTAGGAACATTGAGAACCTCCTGACATCCACGGCTCTTGCTGGACTGGATCTGTCTGTCTCGGGTGAGTTTGTAGGAACATTGAGAACCTCCTGACATCCACGGCTCTTGCTGGACTGGATCTGTCTGTCTCGAGGTGAGTTTGTTGGAACACTGAGAACCTCCCTGACATCCACGGCTCTTGCTGGACTGGATCTGTCTGTCTCTGGTGAGTTTGTTGGAACATTGAGAACTTCCTGACATCCACGGCTCTTGCTGGGCTGGATCTGTCTGTCTCGGGTGAGTTTGTTGGAACATTGAGAACCTCCTGACATCCACGGCTCTTGCTGGACTGGATCTGTCTGTCTCGGGTGAGTTTGTAGGAACATTGAGAACCTCCTGACATCCACGGCTCTTGCTGGACTGGATCTGTCTGTCTCGGGTGAGTTTGTAGGAACATTGAGAACCTCCTGACATCCACGGCTCTTGCTGGACTGGATCTGTCTGTCTCTGGTGAGTTTGTAGGAACATTGAGAACCTCCTGACATCCACGGCTCTTGCTGGACTTGACCTGTCTGTCTCGGGTGAGTTTGTAGGAACAATGAGAACCTCCTGACATCCACGGCTCTTGCTGGACTGGACCTGTCTATCTCTGGTGAGTTTGTAGGAACATTGAGAACACCCATGAAGTCCACAGCTGTTTCTGGACTGGATCTGTTTTGGTTTATACATAAATAATCCAATGTTAATTGGTAAATTCTACTCTCATCAGCATAAGTACTGTTTATTCTTCATTGACAAAAAGAAATGTGACCTTGATAAAGTTTTCTTTGTTTGACAGATTCTGGAGACACAGTTAGGTTGAGGAAATGCCTCTTCTCCAAGCCACGGACTGGTGTCCTCACACTGGCTCCAAATGGTCAGCGCCATCTTACCTTGGTCCTCATGGGATTGTCTAGAGAAGGACTGATGGACATTATCTCCCTGGCCACACCAACCATTCCACCAATGGCAAGATCCCCAGTATGTATATGTGTTGTGAACTTCAAGATGTTGTTGTAATCAGAATGCAGACAACAAATATATCCTGAATCCCTCCAACTGTTACAATTAAGTAAGTGTTGCTTTCTTCCCCTTTTAAGCAGTTAACCAAAATACTGAGTTATTACTGACAGTGGTGGCTGATGCTGTATTTTCACCTTGTTGCAGTTCTCCAACCTTGTCCCGGACTACGTGATCACCGGACCAGACTTTGGCTGGAAGGGGCCAGGGGGCTTCAGCTGTGCTGGTTTCTATGGCAACCAGTGGGAATATAGAAGTGATCTCTCCTCCTGTACCTGTTACTGATGCCAGCTGTCTTGACGGAGATGGAAGTGGAATGCAGATTAATATAGTTGACATGCTAACAGTGACCAGTTTATAAATGTGTTACCTTGAAAACGATTCCATGATTTTAGCTGTATGTAAGTGCAATGGTTCAGATCTGCAGTGGAAGCTGTATATACCTGTGTATATTTTAGAAATGATATTGTCCCAGTGGAACGGGAATTGATTTCATTGTTTCATAGCAAACATTTGCTTACTGACTCATCTCATGTTTAAGATGTACAACACAAATGTTTTCCAGATGGTCATGACAACTCACCAGAACTGTAGCACTGTCTGTGATGGTTGTGTGTCATGCAGGGCGTGATGTGTGCACATTCCAAGTTTTAGTATCAACTTACACATATCACAGCCTCAAGTAAACCCAGTGGTAAGTGAGTGACATAATTGACCACTGGGGTATCATGATTAATGGCAGATTTGTACCTGACAATATAATACATTTAAAGCCTACCATATCTGTGCATTGTAAATTCGGTATCAATTCTAAAATCTAGGGTCATTGGTTTGTTGTTTACTGCTGCACTCAGCAATAGTCCAGAGATCTACGCAATTGGGATACGATGACATGTGTCAACCAAATCAGTGAGCCTGACCACCTGATTCTGTTAGTCGCCTCTTACGACAAACATGGGTTACTGAAGACCAATTCTAACCCGGATTTTCATAGGTTCCAAAATCTGATATTTAGGGTTTGCAATGCTTGATAACTCAGACCACCCAGATTACCATACTTCACTACATGATACTGGTAGACTCAGCCATAGATTGGCTAGCTATGTGAGTGGAACATGAACCTATGTTTTTCCAAGCCACATGGAATATTTGGTTCAAAACTGGTGCAAAATTTGTATTGCAATATGTTGCATTTCATGTCTAAAGGTTTTGTGATGTTTTGGTTATGATACTGACACCCCAGCAATTATGTTGCAGTACATTGTCCTTTAGTTGCCATGTAGTTTCTTGTAATCATCCTATATTACCAAATGAGAAAAGGTCGGGGTTTTGAGCCCCAACTGCGTCAGACCAAAGGACGTTAAATGATGGTACTTGATGTTGCCCTGCCTGGAACTTGGCATTGAAGAAGAAAACAAGGACTGGTTGACTATAGTCAGTATAATGGGTCTGAGTGTGATATACATGTGGTATCCCCGTGGGCTAAGTGCAGGCAGACATACACAAAGTCACACAAGCCACTTGAGTTCAGTTATCCTAGACATGAGATAAACCCCAATTCCCTTAATCTCACCTATTGTATGAGTAAGTACTGCATTTTCTACATGTTAATACTTTGGTTAAACCCACAAGCACTGACAAGAAGCTGACTATTTAACCTTAAACATTTGGCCAGACTGAAGTGCAAATTACATTTGAGCATCATAGGCCTGCTACTGTGTTACTGCTGCCATGAAGTGAGGTGTAAATGAATGGAAAGTTGTATCATATTATTTGTCTGTTTCACGGTTTTTAAAAAGATGTCATTTGTTGTGTGTGAAAAGTGCTAAGTAAGGTATCTCCTGGCTGTATACACTGAAACACAGGCACCAATGGGATGCTGACTTGCCAAGGAATGAATGTGTTGTGCTACGTTTGTGCTATGTTGTTGTTCCTGCTGCTGTGTATGATGTGAAATTAAATGAATGGAAATATATGCTATAGTTTTTTCATCTGTTTTACATTTTGTAAATATTACAGGTTTTATTTCATTGGTTTAATTCTATGTATCAAAATATTCATAAGAATTGTAACACCTCACTTAAAGCAGCCTTTTGGGGAATCAAGGACAAAAACATGATAATCAGCTGGTGAGGAGTTGGTTTGGCACAGTCTGTGATATGACCAATGAGGATGCCTAGTTTTAAGACACAAAATTTGTTTCCAATGCAAATTTAAAAAAAATTAATTCTCTGTCAAAATTGTGCTACAAAGCAATCGAACAGTCTGTTGTTGTGGAGTATAGTTTAATAAACTTGGTCTATGTCATTTCTAACAATATTCATTGGATTTTCCACCCCAGGATTCGGAAAGTATGTGACCTTTCATTTATAATGTGTTCTATGGAACCATACATTTATAAACACACTTTATGAGATCCATTCATTATTTGCATTTATTATACCACATTGTGAATTAGAAGGTTTCATTTTATTGGGGTGAGGCATGTTTTGAGTAGGAGACCCAAGACTAAGAGACGGTCAAGCATCGTTCGAAATACCTGCCTGCCCGATCGCCCGGGACGGCCTGACAGACTTCCTGCACAATCCATACCACTGTGCTGTTGCCACATCGTAAGTCATACTGGATGGTGTGATACCAGTTTCCTGTAGCCAGGTGTCTGAGAGTCATGGCTGGCTTCATTTCTTCTAGAGTCCGTCTCATGTGAGTGTCCCTCCTCTGGATGACTGGGCTAATCCTGTTGAGTAGCTCATCAAACACGTGGGGTGTCATTCTCACATAGTTGACAAATACATTCTCATCTTCCACCCTCAGCTCCTGCATCAGTCTATTGTAGTGACCATGTTCTAGCCTTCTACCTGGTGTGAGCGACGTGGGTGCTCTTCTCCTTCTTCTAGCTATCAGCAGTTGGTGTTGATACTCCAATTCCAGGGCCAATACTACAGCTGCTCTACGTTGAACATCCGTTTTGGAACTAATACCTAAACAGGGGTGACGGCCTTTTTTTATACCTATCTCCCATGAATTGTCAAGAATAGACGCGAATTCATTTATTCGTAACTGAATCGTAAGTGCATTCGGCATATTCTAAACGTTCGTGCAGTACTCGTAACAGATTCTTGTAACTCGTAGTGAATTCTTGACAATATTCGTGCGATTCCAGCCGAATCAAACCACGAATATTCGTAACTCTATCGTACACAGTGGCGGATCCAGAGAGGGGTGGGGTGTTCAGGGGGTTCAAACATCCCCCTTTTGAAAATGACTAAAGTGACTAAAGACCACATTGAAGTTAATGTTTTTCAATGACGGAGCCAAGGTGGGGCTCAGCGAGTTCATATCTCCGCCTCACAAAGTGTTGTTATTGAGACACAATAACATGCTAACAAGGTATCAACTTAGGTTGACACCGGACTGTAAAACACATTGCACAAAACATTAGTGTTTGGTTATTATCATCGACATTTTGCATCAGTCTCTACTCATGTATACATTTCTTACTTATGGAGACGGGATGGTACCAAGTACTTCATTGCTGTCGTAATGTTCTTTGTGGTGATCTGGTTAATTGTTTGACATCATGCCCGACGGGTTGGTCATGCCTTGGACGACAAGCAAGGTAAAAGCATTGACTGTTTCTGCTGCAATGCGCCAATTAAAAGGTACGTGTGGTACGGTTCGATAAAAAACAATAAGAAAACCTAGAAACCTGTGACACCAACAAACAACAGGGAAATGTTATACGATAACTCATTATAATATATAGTTAACAAGGTTTTCACATCAATCCTATCACTGCAGAGTAATTACAATGGCGACAGAGGGACAGTACAACATTCACTGGCAGCACAATTACTGTATACAATAAAACACCAGTGGTCAATAGGGTCAGTGCTGATAATAGTTTCATGCACTCTCAGTGGTCAAGCTTCCAATATTGGCCCAGGCTGGATAATTGCTGGATGAAAATGCTGCTATTCACAGAACCATTTGTCTTCAAATAATGTGAGATGATGGAGTCATGCGATTGCCCTCTTGTATAGTTTAATATACCTACAAAATACAATATTCAAAACTATGCTGGGTTAGTCTGTGCTGGAATCCACAACCAGTCTAAATACAGTAACTAGCACACAACCTCGCTCTTAACAGAAACGATGTAATACAATTCATAAGGTACACTGTCATGTATTGCTCGAAGTGTTTACAATCCAAAGTTTATCTCAATAAATCGTTACTCTAAGATCGACTGGGTGGATATTGTTTTATACCGCAGTCAGCAAATATTTTAGCAATATCACGGCAGCCTGTACACATTCCAGTCTTTTCATACCATGGTTGATAAAACAACTTTAATTAAACAAACATCTAATGGTATTACCTGCCTCAAACACAAACAGTTTTGTGAACCGAGCTTAAAACAATTGTTTTGCAAATGACGTCATAGTGTATCTACCGTCACAATCCGAATGACGTCATATCGACTCGCGATAAACATGGTGGGATCCGGTTGCTAGGTGAGTCGGCCCATTGTTCTGTTCATGCAGATCTGTGCAGACATCGTAAGAAGATAAAGAGTATAAGGAGACAAATTCACAGCTACCTGTGTCGCTTCGAATCAGGACTGACCACATTTGTTAGTAACGTAAGTAGATCTTATATGTTATTAGTTTTGCTGATTTAAACATAATTTACTGATGGAAGAACACATGTTCTCAAATATCGAAAAACAGGAACTGTATTCGGTACCATGAAATGCCATGAAGACGCATTTTAATCATAGAGTTTATTTCACTAGTTTGTCTATTGTCGTGTCATCTTTATAGGATGCCACGCATATTCTACGTACCACCTGACGATTTTGTACCATTACCGGAATGGATGGAAGGTTCCAGACTTGGCAAGTCGAGGAAAGTTGGTGGTGGTGACGGAGAGTCTGTGAGACTGATGAAGAAAAGAAGAGAGGAGAAGATAAGAAGAAGCAGGAAGGAGATGGAGAGAATGAGAAGATACGAGGAAAGCAGGAAGAGAAAGGAGAAAATGGTGAAGGACGATAGAAAAAGGAGCACCATAGCCGGTGGTTCTGAGAAAACACAGATGTCTTCACGAAAGGCGGTAGAGAAGGGACAGAAATCAGCTAAGAATGACAATGTGATCAGAGATACAGGAAAGAGGTGGCAGCTGGGGGATGGGTTCAGACTGGCTCTTCATAAAGACGCAGAAGGCACTGGAAGATCAAAGTGCGAGAGGAAGAATCTAAGCAGGCGACACCGAGATGCGAGGAAGGAGAGCGTGGCTGTTGAGGAGGAGCGAGTTAGAGGCAAAGAGAAGGTGAAAGAATGGATAGCCAAAGTCAACATGGCAAATCCCACGGTCACCAATGTCCAGGACGTCAGATCAGTGTCTCTAATTAACCACGTGGACAGAAGTGTTGATGTATTCGACATTTTGTCTCCATGGCCTATTTCACGATATTGCCTGGAAGATCCTGACTTCAAGATGAAAGGTATGTTAAACACTTGGATAGTTCCCGTTCCCATTTTTCGATTCTTTCCGGGTTTTTAAAAAAAGAAAATGAATCCAAGCAAAATATAAACAAAAGTAAAAGAAAAAAACAAAACGGTATGTGACGCTACTGCTACAAAAATGGATTGGTGGTATTCTAATGTCAGCTTATCATTATTGCATTTTCAACAGTCCAAGTTTATTGCAACACCAGCGACCCCTCAGACTGCCAAGGTCTTTGTGAACAGCGTGTAAGCGTTCTGTACTCCCTGTTTGGTCGCCCGGCATCAGACACCCGTAACAGAACCAATGAACATCCCATCGACCCTGTTGGTAAACAGATGACACCAGGAACGAAGCATCAGAAAAGGGAATTTCTTCGGACACGATTTTCCTGGGTAATCGTCTGTGTGAAACAGTTTTCATACCTTGAAATGACAGTTCATCAGTTATACGTTTAAAAAAAGTCTGTTTCGCTACATGTAGATAAAAACAATATGTATGTTAAATTACCTGTCTAAAATTCAATATGCGTGCTTCAACCACAACTGTCATGACTAGACTTTGAGTCTACTATTGTTGTGTTTCAGGCTCTCCATAGACTCACCGGCTTCCTCCTTCACAGATCTAGAAAGACAGGAAACCAACACTGTTCGTAATTCTGGACTTCACGTTCAGGCATCAGTCCTAAATGAACCAAAACTCGGACCGCATTTCACAATTACTTCTTTTATATCCATTTTAAACAGTTTTAATCATTTCCTACACTATATGGAATGTACATAAAATAGCTATAGCTTTTTAACGGGACTGAATTAAATTGTCTTCACTATGCAGCTTTGTTTGTTTTTATAAACAACCCCCGCGAATAACTGGTACGTTATTCAATAATCACTCACTCACTCATTCTTTGAACCATTGAGTTATATACCACGTCAACATAATCTGTGTGGAAATCCTGGCGAGTCCCAGCTGCACCTTGTAACTCGTAGATACCACGAATTGTAGAACATGGTGATTTAGCTGGGTCAGGATCACCCAGACATACCCCGTTGACCACCCTGTCAGTCACCGGTCTGTCTGGTCCAGGGATATACAGGTCAGGTTGCTGTAGCTCCAGTATTGCCCACTACGGCGTTACACAACATTCCCTCGCATAACAATCACATTAGAAGATTTGTGCCTCGGAATCTCAGGAGCTTAGGGTAACGGGAGAAAGGCTCCGAAGGAGGACTACCGGCAAGCAGATCAACGGATACTCGAGACATGGGTGGGTAGTCACGACACAAGATACCGAAATGCGATGCGTAGAGGTGTGCTCTATGTTGTTCCAGACGCCATCTTTTCCCTGATTATGTTTCTTTGCTTTTAACACCATGTCCGCCCTCGCCTGTTTCACATACATGACATGCATCTGAGACCGGTATCACTTCAAGCATTCCTACAAATATAAGCTGAACGCCGTGTGGTACTGATCATAGCGGCGGTAAGCCGGTCTCACAGACTCACATCAAGAGTATCCAGCCCAGCAAGTCATTGACAGCTAGGTGTCCTCCCATTACGCAGACCGGCAGTTCGCAGACGCCGTAAAACAACAACAGTTACGGTTCAATGAACAGATTAGCTACTCCCTGTTACCTACACAGTATAATGGAACAGTCCAAATAAATACACAAGAAAAAAGCTGAAACTATATTATTTACTTTGAAATATGGCCGAAAAGACTTTAATTTGAATTTTGATTGCTGCAATATTTAAAAACAGTTGATTTTCATAAACATCTCGGTTTAACCTTCTCGTCTAACGGGAGTTAAAAACACTGATATCCTATTATTGGGAGAGGGCTTTTCTAAGTTGGATAACTTGTGCTCAATCCTTTTCTTGAATGAATAAAATATGTTGCAATCAATAAACACTATCAAACCTTTCAATGACCTACCTGTCTTTATATTCGATAGTAATTGATAGAAAACAATTTTGAGAAGAGAAGACAGGTGATCATTTAATCACAACAAAGTTCTATTTTCACCCAGTCAAACTTCTCAGTAACGAACCTGTTTTAGACTCACCCTACTCTACTCACGAGACAGTGGACCGTTCCATTATTCCCGTAGGTGTTACCCTAATTAACCTTCTACTTCAGTGTCTGTCAATTGACTGTCTGTCAAATGGGTGTCTGTCAAATGGGAGAAAACCCATTGACAAGCTCACACCCTACCACACTGTTCCAGCATGGTCACTGAACCTATGAATATGCATGAGATCCAACTCTCATAATACAAGATGGAGTGCACTTATTGACGTTTACATAACGACACAGAACTAAACCGGTCACAGATGGCACATGTCATTATAGATTACTGTAGGTACGTAAACAACTGTACCGATTTTTCAGCCACAGATTATATCCTTGGCCTGTTTAGAACTTAGACCTAGCATTCTCTTTGTACGAATCGGCGGACGGGATCAAGTAGTCAGATTCGGTGACTTGGTTGATTGCATGGTCTGTCACTCCAATGATGTTCATAACATCAACCACCGGTTTGGCTGTTCCCAGTTTGATTATTTACTGGAAGGACGCAGTCCTCTTTGATATTGTTGGGTGTGGCGTCAGTCGACAAACGAGGTGAGGTGAGGTGAAATTGGGTTTACGTCGTGCTTGAGAATATTTCGCTCATCTGACTACGTGCATGCGTGTGTATGTGTATGTGCGGCTGCTTGTACTAGCCCAGACTGAAGCTGGCTTTATAGTGCTAGCTCACTGAGATTCCATGCCGCAGTGAAGCATGAATACCCCACTCAGACACAGTATACTGACTCCCGAGCCGACCAGTCCTTGTTGTACCCATTAATGCTGAGCGACAGGCAGGGACCAACCAGTACCATATTTTAACGTCTTTTTGTATGACGCGGTCGGGGATCGAACCCGCGACCTTCCGCTCTCCGGGCGGACGCTCTAACCACTAAACCACGGAGGCGGTCCAGTCGACAAACGAACAAACAATTACCATAACAATCTTTGAAACAAGTGCACCTTAATCCAGTAGGGCTGGATATTGCCCTGATTTTCATATTGCGATACATATTGCAATAATTTAAGAGATATTGAAATACATATTGTGATATATTGACTGGAAGGTTTCCCCTCAAGTGCGTACATCAGAAATTCATAATAGCTCTCTGTGTGCGACATCATCTTCTCAGTCAATAACATAATATAGAGCCTTAATGTGGAATATGTTGCACCAACGTTTTGCGAACATAATGATAAAGGTAATAGTATAACATGATTTTCCTGGTCAGTGTTGTTTGCTTAAACAGAATGCACTTAAGTGCAGTATGTAATTATTGTTACTGTATGTGATTCATTCAGATTCAATGTGTTAACATGAACTATTCCCAAATGAAACAAAAACAAGATTTAGTTGAACTACTTGAGATTAAAATCGCATGTGACCTCCAATAGCTAAGATCCTTGACTGGAATGTCATTATACAGTCCTACATGTCTTTCTAAGACTCAGGCCTGTATGATAAATGGATATCATATGCCCCATTATGAAACAAACAGAAATAACAAAATCCTGTGAACTGTGAAATGGTCACTCAGAGCCAGAGGCTCTACTAATAAGTCCAAATACAATTGGTCCATTTGAGGCCACTTAATTCCTCCAAATGAAACCATTCAAACCCACAAAACGTAAAGTATTTGGTAGACTATTTGGCAATTTTGGAGCCACTTACATTGACGCTTCCACTTGTAAAATGTTCCATGAAACCAACAGAAATAAAAGTATTTTTGGCACTTTTAGAGCACATTTGTTTGCTATGGAAATCAAGGGCAGATAATTCAAATGGAGCTAACTCTGGATGACCCAATATATTGCAGAATCTGAACCATATCGCGATAATCGTATCGCGTGATACTGTACCGGTATATACCGGTTTACCGGTAATACGGCACAACCCTATAATCCAGTGTCACGGAAGGTGTGGTGGTCTAGATCTTAAAGTGTGCTCATCATCGATAGCCGCACACTGATATTATTCATATCTAAAAGGTCAAATCCGGCGGCTATAATCCAGATGCCCCGTTGCCACAATATTTCTTCTGATTTGATTTCCTTCCAGCCCGTAGGTTCGAATGTCATATTCGTCCCTGTTTTGATCCTTGATCTGTCAACGCATAATCTTAATTAAGGTTCCCCGCGTTTTTAGATTTTGTCCAAGACGAAGCTGAAATGGCATATATTGAACTAACATTGAGTCAGTGGGGAAATGTCCACACACAACGCAGTGTCCCAGCTTTAAGAACCTGACTGCTCGGTTGTTTGTGTGATTGTTGTTTGACATTATGTCAGTAATACTCGAGCTGTAAATGATCGAGTTTGGACCAGATAATCCATTGAGACATATTCAGCGCCGATATATGTGACCTGAGTGGTTTCTGACACATTACGTCAAGAGGAGCAAACCACACCCATCACAACCCCCACCATTGTGTAATGGATAGAGCGGTGTGTGTGTGTGTGTGTGTGTGCGCGCGTTTGTGTTTGTTTGTTTGTTTGTTTGTTTGTTTGTGTGTGTGTTTGTTTTTTGTTTTGTTTGTGTGTGTGTGAGTGTGAGAGTGAGTGAGACAACCGTATCGATGGAGAAGTGAAATTTTGTTTTATTAACAAGGTACAATCTTTGACAAATTTATTTTGAAAAGTTATTTTGGTTGGACGATTTTGCTGTAATAAGTGCAAGTGACTTGCACCAGCTTGTTCCAACATGGATCCCTGCTAGTGCTGTCCGAGGGGCTTTCTAAGAGTTCTTCAGGTGTTGGGGGCACCTTGGTCACTGACTCTCAATTTCTGTTTCATTAATTTTGCTGACAATTGGTTATTTGATAAGTAAATATGCACGAAGTAAATCTGAAGCCACATATGTTTTTACTCAAGCACAAACATATTTTTTTCAAAAGCAAAATTAAAAACCACTCGTGGTCATTCCTCTCTAAATAATCTTGCGAGAACACCTTGAAACTCTCTGTAATACACAGACGGCAAACACCCTGAAGTGCACTGAGACACATTTCCCGAGATGAAATACCTAGAAAGACCTCAAGATAACATATATACCTTGAAATATCTAGAAAGACCTCGAGGTACCATAATTACCTTGAAATATCTAGAATGACCTCAAAGTACCCTGAAATACCTTGAAATATCTGGAAGGCACTCGAGGTTCCATAAATGTCTTGAAATGCCTAGAAAAAACTCGAAGTACCCCCGAGATACGTAGATGGACCTTAGGGTACCTCAGTATACCATAAGTACCTTACGATAAATATAAATACATAATTACTCATGAAGGTGCAAAGATGATACCTCGAACTGCATTATATGTCCAGGCAATTTCCTGGAATAACTGTTCAGAATACTTTGTAGTGGACAGTTCAACCGCAAAAGCGATAAACGGCACTGCACAAAAACATATACCGAACCAATATCTATACATATATTAACACATTGGCAACACGTGCTCGACTGATATTCTGCCTGGGTCACCGATCCATACTAAATAGCGACAGTGGACTTGGAATTGAGGTATTGATCTGTTTGTGAGGCATATATTCTCCCCGTACTGCACCATCTGTGAGCCACCTGTTGCTTAGCGTTGGCAACTTCGCATAGACATTTAGGAAGTTTGATCAGCAAAGTAATTAACAAACAACGGGGCTGACATAATCTATCTCAAAATCTGAAATATCCAGAGAAAGCGTACCACATTTCATCTGTTGGAAAATATTACGATAATTAATCCCGCTTAATTATCGCTGTGAGGAATGCCACATAATTGAGGACGGTTTAGCAGAGGACAGATTGTAGGCGGAGAGTGACAGTTCTCAAGCCTTCGTTGTGTGTGAGTCGATGTTTACGGACAGGATGTACCGCGCAACGCAGGTAAATTATACTGTTATGTTTTATTGTGTGTTTAACATTTTATCACAAATTCAGATCCTTTTAAACACTTTCAGGACCACCAACATTTTGTTTGGCGTGAAATAGGTCACTACTATGGAACATAAACTGACATTTGTAGTTGTGTATTGAACGCCAGTGTATTAAAGACATTCGCTAGGCCGTACCCATTACAGATGGGTCTCCAGTAGATCTCACTATACATACTGCTATGTATGCTACATCGGCTAACGGGCTGGTGTGTTGCCTAATGGTTAAACCGACGAAGCCCGGGTTAGGTTGGTACAATGAGTGAACCTCATTTCTCGTGTCCCCATGTTGCTGCAAAATGTCACCAAAAACATATTCGCTCGCTCATGCTGTGAGTACGACAACTTTAAATTGATGTGGTGCGACCATTTCCAGTTGTATCACGTTGATTTGAATGAGTCACCACGTCCGTTCTTTCACCATGTATTTGTCAAATACGTGTATGGAGGATCATCCTGATCTTATGGAGCTACTTAATTTCGAAATGCTATAGTCATACATACAAAGTCGAGTGTTAGTACCTTGACATTTGAGTAAATGTACGATTCACTGACTTCAGATTCACATACAGTGAACCGACCGCGTTCCAACAATTAACGAATTACTGTATTAACCTGAAATAACGGACCGTGCGTTTTCTGGAATGGCAGTGTCCGGACCAAGAACGTTACCCTGTATAGCCTTGTCCTTTAGTAAGCTCAGTCCTCTTTTGGAAATTTTGGGAAACCAAGAAATTTCTTTTAAGTCGTTTTACCTGCACCAAGACATGGCGTGATTGAACAATAAAAATGCCCAAAGCGAGAGGCGTTAACCCAGACTGCTAGAAATGAGCACTTCCATTCGCCCTATTTAGGTGTGCAAGGAGCTTATTTCCAGAGGTTCGAATCTCACATTTATCCTCATTACGTGTCTGGTGTCGTCAGCACTTGACTTTGTAAAGGTTTGTGTTTCACCAAAGCAAGTGTTTGAGTGTGTGTTTTGTGTACCAAGTAAGTGACCCCACCTGCATGTCATGTACAAAAAATTATTAAGCATAATCTTTTAATATTAATATGTACAAATTGATGACCCCCCTACCTCCCGAAATCAAAATGGTGACCCCCCTTAAAATCTCTTTCCTCCCTCCACCCCCAAATTTAAAATAAATAAATATATAAATAAAATAATTTTTTTTTTTAAAAACCAAACAAACAAAAACAAATAAATAAATATTATGCACGGTCCCTAATCAAAATACTATATATCTGATTTCATATAGCCCCGTATTATCAGATACCATATAATAGATCTATTATATGGTCTCTGGTTCTATACATTAGTGTAATCTACGTCATGGGATATTACATCACAGAATTCTAGTTCACATGTCTATAGAATATATTACATTTGTCTAGTTCGCAGGTCTGTAAAGTATATCACATTTATATAGTCTATATGCCCATTTGTACACATTACACTTATCGCCCGGTGTGCGGGATTTATTGCCTGTAACACTGGTGTGTAAAGTTTACTCTTACTCCTAACGTGTCGACATAAAACTGGACTGGTTCACTTCCTGGAGCCCTGATAGCTGCAGCTTATACATGTAACAACAATTACACCACAGCCGTAGTTAATTAAAATCTCCATGCGGAACGGTTTGGTGAACCGTAGACTGCGTGGATTATCGACATATGTGGGGATCAGTTGTATGACTAATAGTACTCATCACTTGTCAGTGTTTATCTGTCTGTCAATGTTTACGATATATCATTCATAGTTTACACCGGAGATTACTCGATCCTCACATTGTAAATGTCGACAAGTATTTATCTAATGATATGTCCTAAATATATATTTATGATATATAAACGGAGGCAATCATTTCTGTATCATATAACTTTATCTGTCAAATATTCGAAGGCATTTACATTTACTATAGCAATTCTTCAAAGAAGTCCTTGTTTCAGTTAACCACCCCCTCTGACAAATAGTGCCTGGGTATTTGCAGTCGTGTTTGTTGCGCTAGTTGCTCCTGAGCACAACGTGGAGGCGCCAATGAGGCGAACGTTGGTCGCGATGGAACATGCCTCTTTCACCCAGCAGTGCCGTGCCTGGGTACCAGGGTGAAATGGTTAATATTCAGGTGCCTAACGGATAACTTCGGTTGCATACCATCTAAGGAGCTCAGTATGAAAATCGAGGGCATTCTGATTCGATTACCAAACTAATAATGGCGTTAGTGCTCAAACGGACTGAGGCGCTGAACAGATATCCTTTTGTTCGTCGTTTTATTACCTGAACATTGGCACTGGGAAACTCTTGGCCACGTTGTAGTAAGCGTATAAGCGTATGAAAAGTAGTTCCTGTTTGGATACCACTTTTGCATATTTATCGGATCATACCAGCTCAGATCGGTGTATCGTATATAACGTTATCGTATATAACATTATCGTATACATGTATAACATTATACAGTAGGAATCGCTGTAAAACACTACCTCAGCATTTGTTGCACGTGGCTCTAAAGTCTATTTGAAATATCAGGAATACATGACACTGTTTTCTGGACAACATATTGAAACAGTGTCTATTATACTACCCATCAAAAGTTTAGACTCACTTGAAGCACTCACTGTATGTTATCAAAGAGAGCAGCTGAAGTTGCCTACTAGCTTATGGACATATTCCTGCTGTTTGGTGCCCGACAGATACTGCAAGTGACAACGGGTCTGAATTCACAGCTCAAGTAATCACTGAACTAAAAGAATTTTGGATAGATCTGATTATTGTGCACGGTAAACCAAGACACCCTCAAAGTCAAGGATCGGTTGAGCGAGCAAATTCTGATATCAAATTCATGATCTGTGCTTGGATGAGTGAAAATAACACCACTGATTGGACTGTTGGTATCAGCTTTATTCAGTCCAGGAAGAACTCTAGTTCTTCAACGAGTATCCAACAGTGCCCGTATTCAGCTCTCTTTGGAATGGAGGCCAAGGTTGTATTGCGATCAACATCACTGCCTGATGACATCCTGCACAAGCTGCAGACAGAGGATGACCTACTTGCACCTACCAGATCCCATCCAGACCAGTCTGAGACTCGCGAGACTGACCCTGTTGAAGAAGACGACAGTGTTGGACATGACATTGACCATCAATGTGGCCATTCCCCTTCCAGCATTGGACCATGGTCGTGTTGATGCGAGGAACATTCTGGGTGTGATGACCAATGTGAGTGACAACGGACAGTATACAATCAATCGCTGCCCTGCTGGTGTCCTCCAAGGCAAGTTCTCGAGGAACATTCTGGGTGTGATCACCAATGTGAGTGACAACAGACAGTATACAATCAATCGCTGCCCTGCTGGTGTCCTCCAAGGCAAGTTCTCGAGGAACATTCTGGGTGTGATCACTAATGTGAGTGACAACAGACAGTATACAATCAATCGCTGCCCTGCTGGTGTCCTCCAAGGCAAGTTCTCGAGGAACCAGTTCGATTTGTGCCCAGCGAAACTCTTACTTTATCAGAAGTCAAGACTGAAACTACAGTATCCCTTCGTACTGCTGTTGGAACCGAGCCTTAATCAGGAGGCCAGGGTTTCGTAAAGTGTGCTAGTAGCAAGAGATGTGGAACCAAGAAATGTAAATGCTTTAAGAACAATCTTCTGTGCGACAGCAGGTGCCATTGAAGTCCCACTTGTCAAAACAAGTAATGCAAAGCTCTATGTTGAAACTGGATAAGTAAAGTGTTCACTTCATTTTATTTTTGTGTTTCATTTTTTAACTTAAACGATTTAGTCTTTTGGCCAAATGACCGGTCGAAAATTTTAGTCATTTGGCAGATGACTGATCGTTTTAGTCATTTGACCAAATGACTGATCGTTTCAGTCATTTGAACAAGTGACTGGTTTGACAGATTGACTGTAACATATATATGTGGTTACATCGAAGATGAATTTCTCCGCTAACTTGGGGGGACCTGGTCCAAACCTTGTGAAGATGAACTGCACGAGGATCATCAACTTGCTGAAAAGCAGGTGCAAATATCGTACATGTAAACAGCTGCGTTTTGGTGTAAAGTTTTTCACTGAGTTTGATCATATATTGAACTCCTGACAATAATCATTTCAACATTACGAATTTGTTTTACAATACATCAGTTCATGTGTAAACAGCACCTTTAATCGGTATGGAATATTTTACAAAATCTAGTTTATAACAGTTGACTGACGTAAGTGGCTGCATTTACACTATTGAGTCTATACTTTTGGTAGGTAGTATAATATATGTTAGCACCATTATTTTTATACACCTCCCGCGTCAAGCTGACGTGTCTCATATTGCGGATATCCTCCCTCGTCAAGCTGACGTGTCTCATATTGCGGGTATCCTCCCTCGTCAAGCTGACGTGTCTCATATTGCGGGTATCCTCCCTCGTCAAGCTGATGTGTCTCATATTGCGGGTATCCTCCCTCGTCAAGCTGACGTGTCTCATATTGTGGGTATCCTCCCTCGTCAAGCTGACGTGTCTCATGTTGCGGGTATCCTCCCTCGTCAAGCTGACGTGTCTCATATTGCGGGTATCCTCCCGCGTCAAGCTGACGTGTCTCATATTGCGGGTATCTCCCACGTCAAGCTGACGTGTCTCATATTGCGGGTATCTCTCACGTCAAGCTGACGTGTCTCATATTGCGGGTATCCTCCCTCGTCAAGCTGACGTGTCTCATATTTTAAACCTCACGGGCAGTTTGGGTTGTGTACTCTGTAAGGGAGCAGAGAATGAAAACAACAACCGTGATAGAATGATGATGATGATGATGATGATGATGATGATACAGCATTTCAAACATGCATGGTGTAGGCGCTTTACAAGCAGACAATTATTATTATAACTAACATGAAAATCAAACTGAATTGTTCTTGAATAATGTCAGCGTTCATTGATCGAGGCGAAGCGTGAGTTTACGCCGGATATAATGACATAATTCAACAGTATGCATGCGTCGTATAATTGGTTTAATTAGGCTGACATATCCAGTGGATACCAAGTACAGTGGATTGTAGTTACTGTATGTAGGTTCCATGGAGCGAACAGCGGGCACTGTCGACTCACAATCTCTAACTAGATGAATCGTTTTGGTGGCAGGGCGCTTGGAACGCACTTGTTAGGTTAACAAAACGAATAGCATGAGTCAACTGGTGTTCCATTAGATGTTCAGATTTCATCCAGCGTGATTGGTACAAGGCTGTAACTTGGTTATATAGTCACATATTCGGTAGACATAAGGCAAACATGGCTGTGCTGTCACAACACACGTACCAGGACCTGATCTGAGCACCGAGCGCTGTTATTACTGCATTACGCCTCCATGGCACAGACTGAATAAGTCTAAGAATTCTACCCTGGGGACTTTATTTTGTCCCAAACATGTTGTATAGGGTTCAGACCCGGACATTTGTAAGGTCACTGGCAAGCGCTGACGTCTGAATTTTGAAGGAAGTCAATAGTGACACGAGCTCTGTGTGGTGTACTGTTGGCATGTTCAAACAAGTGACGTTGATGAATGTGGTCGCTGTAACGATTTGCTGTTAGGTATCCGTGTGTAGGATATGGCTCCCCACACCAACACACTATCGCCACCGATTCTGCAGACCTGTCAAACGCAGTCCGAGGCAGCACAACGTTGAAATAGTGAGTTATCATTCAGTCCATGTCTGTACAATGTTGCTTGTTGTCCGATGCAAAAGTCTCAATACAGGAACAAATTATTCTAATTCTCACCTCTCGCAGACGATTCCTATGTTTTTGTGTCTCATACCCTCCTCTAACAAGTAACATGTCCTGCAGTCTCGATGGCAGCAGCATGCCGATGACGTTTACAGGGGTGGTGACTCTTGGTTTGATCTGAGGAGGAGGATATATACTGATCTCATACACTGCTGTAGTTGAAACTAAGTGTAACCGCAGACTGATATTCTCAAGATTCTCCAGCTTCAGGACGTCCAATGGCGACGTTGCGATTTGCAGTATTCAGTCTCGGCTTTTCCCCAACTCCAATATGTCGACAAGCGTATGACAAAATGTTGACTTGACGTGCGAACTTTCCTAGTCATTGTCACTGCACATGGTCCTCAGAGCTTGCACGTGTTTTCTGCTGTGATGTTCCGTTCCATGACACTAGCGTTGCTGTATATGTCTACAGAAGTTGAAAAAGTTTGCGTTTGTGCACTACAGTTATACTATTTTAATAAAACGCATTTGCAGTGAATGTTCCATGAATATACCAAATCAACATTCACATTCCCATCGCCCGCATTTCACTCCCATTTTTGAAATATACATTAATTTCTAGCCAATTCTGTTTTAGGTGTAACGTCTCTGGCGACAATATTTAAAGAAACAACAAGAAAAACCAAGTCTTTTATGAATCGTGTGAAGCATATCCCACCATTAGCAAATGGCGATAGAGGGCTTCATAAATTACCAACCTGGATGTCCGTTCGTTTGAAAAAGTAACTATTTTTAAGAAAAATATAAACAGCAGTCCGTAAATAATCGTGTCTGGACCAGACAATCCATTAAGTCAATCATCGATCAACAATTGGGATAAGATGAGGTCTTGTGAGTGAGGTGAAAGTCAGCCTTAGCCTACTTAATGATACTGACAAGGATGCTTGACGAGCAAAAGCTTAAAAGGATAAACAGTGCAAATCTGAAATCAGTCATTCATGAAGCATATAAAATGAGTATCTAGAAGAAGTTAGGTGCCAAATTCGTTAAAAAACTAATTCCGGAGACTACCGGGAATTAAAATTAATGAGCAGAGACCTGACGTAACCTCACGTCATAGAGCAGTCGGCCGCAGCTTCAGTATAGTGTTTAGTGGCTTGCTTGCGTTTGCCACGGCATCACCAGACAATAACACCGATTAAAATGTTGAATGACCATATCAATATGAGCCCGTAGCTAGTTAAAATAGTGGCAGGTGCTTCCATGTGAATGCTTCAAACAATGCCAGTTGTAATTGTACAGTATCTGTCAGATATCACCTCACCACGCTGTCAGCCAGATGTCTGTATGTGGCAGGTGCTTCCATATGATATTGTGTAGACGGAAAACAATGCCAGTTGTAATTGTACAGTATCTGTCAGATATCACCTCACCACGCTGTCAGCCAGATGTCTATATGTGGCAGGTGCTTCCATATGATATTGTGTAGACGGAAAACAATGCCAGTTGTAATTGTACAGTATCTGTCAGATATCACCTCACCACGCTGTCAGCCAGATGTCTATATGTGGCAGGTGCTTCCATATGATATTGTGTAGACGGAAAACAATGCCAGGTGTAATTGTACAGTATCTGTCAGATATCACCTCACCACGCTGTCAGCCAGATGTCTATATGTGGCAGGTGCTTCCATATGATATTGTGTAGACGGAAAACAATGCCAGGTGTAATTGTACAGTATCTGTCAGATATCACCTCACCACGCTGTCAGCCAGATGTCTATATGTGGCAGGTGCTTCCATATGATATTGTGTAGACGGAAAACAATGCCAGTTGTAATTGTACAGTATCTGTCAGATATCACCTCACCACGCTGTCAGCCAGATGTCTATATGTGGCAGGTGGCAGGTGCTTCCCATATATGATATTGATGTGTAGACGGAAAACAATGCTAGGTGTAATTGTACAGTATCTGTCAGATATCACCTCACCACGCTGTCAGCCAGATGTCTATATGTGGCAGGTGCTTCCATATGATATTGTGTAGACGGAAAACAATGCCAGTTGTAATTGTACAGTATCTGTCAGATATCACCTCACCATGCTGTCAGCCAGATATCTATATGTGGCAGGTGCTTCCATATGATATTGTATAGACGGAAAACAATGCCAGGTGTGATTGTCAAGTATCTGTCAGATATCACCTCACCACGCTGTTAGCCAAAAGTCAGAGTGCTGTGAGCTTAGTCTTGATAATGGGTCAGTTTATTGAATAGGAAACTCGACACATGTCCTTTCAGTGATATAGTTGAAATGATGTTTACCGCTTGATTCCATTATTTACACATATTCCAGGCATTATATGTTGTTTCAGAAATGTAAAGCCTAATGGATATACCCCTGGTGAAGATAGGAAGGCCAAGAGTACGTGAGACAACAGCAACAGCATGGAGAAACAGCCTCTCCATAGCAGCACCTCAGGGGGCTATGCCCGAGAACCATTCTTCCTGGCGAATATCACCATCATCTGTAGATTGTGGGGTCTCGCTACCATTGCAGGTATAGTAGACTGTGGGTCTCGCTACCATTGCAGGTATAGTAGACTGTCGACCTCAATAACATTGCAGGTATAGTAGACTGTGGGCCTCGCTAACATTGCAGGTATAGTAGACTGTGGGCCTCGCTAACATTGCAGGTATAGTAGATTGTTGGCCTCGCTAATATTGCAGGCACAGTAGACTGTGGACCTCGCTAACATTGCAGGTATAGTAGACTGTAGGCCTCACTAAGATTGCAGGATAGTAGACTGTGGACCTCACTAAGATTGCAGGTATAGTAGATTGTAGGCCTCACTAACATTGCAGGTATAGTAGACTGTGGGCCTCGCTAACATTGCAGACCTAACATAAGTAGATTGCAGGTATAGTAGACTGTGGACCTCGCTAACATTGCAGGTATAGTAGACTGTGGAGCCTCACTAACATTGCAGGTATAGTAGACTGTGGACCTCAACATTCAACATTGCAGGTATGGAGTATAGTAGACTGTGGACTGTGGGCCTCGCTAACATTGCAGGTATAGTAGACTGTGGGCCTCGCTAACATTGCAGGTATAGTAGACTGTGGGCCTCGCTAACATTGCAGGTATAGTAGACTGTGGGCCTCGCTAACATTGCAGGTATAGTAGACTGTGGGCCTCACTAACATTGCAGGTATAGTAGACTGTGGGCCTCGCTAACATTGCAGGTATAGTAGACTGTGGGCCTCACTAACATTGCAGGTATAGTAGACTGTGGACTAACATTGCAGGGTATATAGTAGACTGTGGACCTCACTAACATTGCAGGTATAGTAGACTGTGGACCTCGCTAACATTGCAGGTATAGTAGACTGCGGACCTCGCTAACATTGCAGGTATAGTAGACTGTAGGCCTCACTAAGATTGCAGGTATAGTAGATTGTGGACCTCACTAAGATTGCAGGTATAGTAGACTGTGGACCTCACTAACATTGCAGGTATAGTAGACTGTGGACCTCACTAACATTGCAGGTATAGTAGACTGTGGACCTCGCTAACATTGCAGGTATAGTAGATTGTGGACCTCGCTAACATTGCAGGTATAGTAGCCTATGGGCCTCGCTAACATTGCAGGTATAGTAGACTGTGAGCCTCGCTAACATTGCAGGTATAGTAGACTGTGGACCTCGCTAACATTGCAGGTATAGTAGACTGTGGGCCTCGCTAACATTGCAGGTATAGTAGACTGTGAGCCTCGCTAACATTGCAGGTATAGTAGACTGTGAACCTCGCTAACATTGCAGGTATAGTAGACTGTGGACCTCACCATTGCAGGTATAGTAGACTGTGGACCTCACCATTGCAGGTATAGTAGACAGTGTATACTAGAATCCCGATTTCGACAAAAAGCAATGTAATTGTGGCTGTCAAGGACAGGGGTAAAGAGACTGTTTGTGTTTCAGTGATATGGGCTGGAGCCGTGACGACGATACAATCCGGACATGACCAGTACTACGTCGGCTGGTACCTAGTGTAAGTAGAGTCGCACATTCTCCACAGCCTCATACACCAAAGTCGTAGCTGGCATGGTTACAACAACTACCGTTGCTTTAGCTTAATCCCCATTAACTCGACTTCGCTAGATGTAAGATGACAGTGCTACGAACATAAACAATGGAACCATTACAGCTGGGCACTCTGGTACATATGTTTATGTGATTATGAGGTCATCTCTTTACTACTACTACTACTACTACTACTACTACTACTACTACTACTACTACTACTACTACTACTACTGCTGCTGCTGCTGCTACTACTGCTACTACTACTACCACCACCACCACAGCCACTACTACTACTACGGCCAGGCTCCTGGCAGTCTGTTATTGAGGCGACTTAATGATGGGTGATCTATACTCAGCCAAATTAAAAACTTCACACCTGTTTGACGTTCGCCAGTTAGAAGATATGAGCAAAGGATGCGTTGACTAAGGTATTATTTCATTCTGAGCACCACGATGACGAAGTCCCTTAGATATCAGGGCCTCGTTTCACAAAGCTCTCGTAAGCCTAAGATCTGGTAACTTTTCTCGTAGCATTCGTACCTCCTTTGTTACAGTATAAGAGGTACGAATGCTACGAGAAAAGTTACCAGATCGTAGGCTTACGAAAGCTTCGTGAAACCGGGCCTAGGCCTATAGTGTGACAATTCCGACCAGAACAGTCATTCAAACGTCTAAGAGTGAAAATGGTAATTCACAATTTGGATACTGTTCCCAAAGCAGGGTGTCAATAACGCGTATGCCCCCCCCCCCCCATCGCGCGTTCACAACTGCGATGCATCGTCTACTCATGGAATTACCGATGCGCCGAAACACACCATCAGGGATACGACACCATAACTACACCAACATGGCACCGAGTTCCTGTAAAGTCGGGTGGGGCTTGGGGTGGGGTGGGGGTGGATGGATGGGGTTTTGGTACTTGGCGGAGACGTCTTCCCAGCACATCCCAGATCTGTTCGATGGGATTTAGGTTGGGAGACCTTGAGGGCCACTCCATGACATCGATGCCCGCGTTCCGGAGGAAATTCCTTGTCAAGTTGGCAGTATGAGGTCTGGCGTTATCGTGTTGAAAGACCAGGCCTAAGCCATGAGCTGCCATGAAGGGTAGAAGCTCCGGAGTTAGCACTTGATCACGATATCCTGCAGCATTAAGGTTTCCCTGGATAACAAGCAGTCGGGAACGGACATGTCCACTAAAGGCACCCCAAACCATAACACTCCCGCCTCCGAATCGGTCAACTTCCTGTACACAACACTGGGCATGACGTTCACCACGTTTCCTCCATACTCTGATCCTACCATCAGCGAATCGTAGAGATAATCTGGATTCATCAGTAAACACAACCCTATTCCACTGCCTCTGAGTCCATCTCAAGTGCCGTTGTGCCCACAGCTGCCGTTGACGTCGGTGTAAGGGTGTCAAAATAGGTCCATGATATGGTCGCCGTGCATGAAGGTAAGCGGCTCGCAGGCGATTACGTATGGTTTGCGCAGACACACGACCTTGGAACATTTCATTTCTGGTGGATGTTGCAGTGACAAATCGATTGCGAAGGTGACGTAACACAATAAAGCGGTCTTCTGCTTGTGACGTCACACGTGGTCTACCCGTTAATTGCAGCCGTGTCCGTATGAATTGTCCAGCGACTGCATCCCATCACCCTCGCAACGTCAGCTACGGACGTACCCGCGTGTAGCATGCCAACGGCACGTTCACGCTGAACAGTTGACAGTCGTGGCATTGAAATTCACAGTATCAATTCTTGTTTGAACTCGTTTTCCTGGTTTGTCACTCTACCGTGCGTAAGTGAGCACAAAAGCACGTGTCTCATGTGGTCACGTGACGAGTGGCACGTGAAAACACACTTTTTGGTCCAAAAGTCGTTTGCATGTGCTACAGATCGGTGACACGTGGGCATTGATGTGCGGCATGTCGTCTTTGACAATGTCTACCGTCAATATTCATGACGTCAGTATTAATGCCTCACCCAGCAATATTCCAGCTAATATTGTCAGCTAACAAATTTCAGTTCATTCTTTACTAATTTATGGGTGTGAATTTCTTAATTTGACTGAGTATACTAACGGGTGCATCCTGTATGTTTGCATATTGCAGCCTTGGAAACTACTGCTACTTCTACTGCTATATTTACTACTATACTTCTACTACTCCGACAACTACTTCCACTACGTCTACTACACATATCTCTGTAACCCCGTCACTGTACCTACCTATCGAGATGCACATGCTGTTAAACCAACAGCTTGTATTATCTCTCTTTGCTGACGTTTCGCATGACATAAATCTTGGTGTTGTAACGAACAGAAACCAATTCGCGTGACTGTTATACTGTTTGCTTGTAGGTTTTTAATGCCTCATCCAGCAATATTCCAGCTATAAAACGGCGATCTGTAAATAATCTAGTCTGGACCAGACAAACCAGTGATCAAACATGGGTTCCTTAAGACCAATTCTAACCTGGATGTTCACAGGTACTGTTGTATTCAGTACCACAGGAACAACACAAAGCGATGAAAGCAACAGCACAGTCGCATCACTGTGTTAACTACACACCCCTTCACGTAATCCCAGCAGGAAAACTACAAGTTATTGTCATGCATTAGCGTAGAACTATCAGATAATACATTGTCCATATGATACTTCCTGTCATTCATTATTTTATTGAAACTAGAACCACATGTTTACGATTGTAATAATAACCTGTAATTTTATCTTGATACAGAACTCTTATTGTGACCACAATAGACACTACGCGCGGGTGATAGTGTGCGACATTATGTGAGAATCGCTTGAAGTTGCTGACGCTGCATTAAGCAAATATTCACCTAGCTTATTCATTCGCCGCGTGTTACACAGGTCACGTGACGCTATTTAAGAGCAGAAATCAGATATTTATCCATTAAGAAACGGATTGGACGCCATAGATCAGGTGCTCGAATCAGCCAGTCCCGTCAAATGCCACAGTTCGATTCTCAACGAAGCGTTACCAAAGAACAATTAGTGTATGTACGGATACAAGTGTGTGTGTAACACGAGACACTCCCACTGTGGGGGCTGGTGATGGTGGTTGGTAGCAGGCCAGCTGCAGCTGTCTCAAGATCTATTTGTCATCTAAACCTTTCAGTATATCGGCTCCTGCAAAGGTCGTTTGTATGTCGTTAAGGGTTGTCGATGGACGAGCAGCTGTTGGTTCATCTGAAGAATGAATTGACTCAGCTACTGGAACAATTAAACACTGCAAGAATGGCTTGTATATGCAATAGCTCAATGGTAACGAGAGAAAAAAACTCGTAATTTAATTTTTTTGAATAAAATTACGAAAATGTATTCCAAAGTGGCACCCTGAGGCTATCGCATAGATATTATTAACGAGTGTCGGTGTGTTAGTTTGTTTGACAATATACCAGCTATATGACGGCGGTCCGTGAGTAATCGAGTCTGGACCAGACAATCCAATGACTGATGTTATGAACACCGTAGGGGTATGATAACACAGTCTTCAATACGTCACCGAGCCTGAGCACCCGATTTATTAAGTTCAACTGTTCCCAGCTGCACAGGATATACTCCAAAACGTTGTGTTCCTCATAATAAAGAAGTTGACATCCATACAAACTGTCTCCCTTATGTGTACTTCTAAATGCTATTCACAGACCTAATATAGAACATATCTTGTGGTACGGGGAGGCACGGACACTGTATTTTGGAATGAACTTTGGGAAAGAAAGTATACACTAAACAAATACAAACGCTTCAAAGCAATACTGGACTGGGAACTGTTGCCGATAGACTGCAATTTACTGACCAAAATACAATAATGATACCCTCATCAAATACATCATTTAAAAATCGAATAATTCTTTGTTGCATTTTAACCACCGACATTGTATTTAGCTGCTATCGTGACTGTGTATGTGCCATCCATGCCATCTGTTCGTTTGACCAAAAACTCATTCATCATACAAGAAGAGATCAATACAAATATACAATATATTCAGACATGCAACTTTCACCGCTATTTAGTGCCCGGAATAGTGATAACGGACAACACCCAAACAGCCTGGAATACTATGGCTCGCCGGATACCTTTACACTGACCAGCTGACTCGGACAAGCGAGCTCTGACATTTCCATCCTTGTAGATCGTATCTAGTAGAAGGAGAAAGTAATTGTTTCAATGTATTCTGTTGACTGGAATACAAGTGTTGTTACCTTCAGTTGGTTTATTTATTGGTATATGTTTGTTTGGGTATTGGGTATTCCGTTATGGAAACGTAATCACAGTGGCAGCAATGCCTGCATTATCTTAGGGCGTTGGGACATTGTGAATCACTTGCCAATGTTCCATCAGCAATCATGTCATTTGACATTTTCAGAGGAGCTGGGGTCGTGGTGACATGGTTTGAAATAACCTGGTTCTTTGACAAGTCAGCTTGTTGTCTGTAAGTATACGACACGTTTCTTATGAAGGATTTAGGTGTTTTGGATTTCGTTTATTTGTTTGTTGTTTAACGCCGCACTCAGCAATATTACAGCTATATGGCAGCGGTCTATAAATAGTCGAGTCTGGACCAGATAATTCAGTGATTGGCATCATCGTTCCACGCTGTTGGGATACGATGACATGTGACAACCATCTCAGTGAGCCTGACCAGTCGAATCTTACAACAAGCATGTGTTGCTGTATACCAATTCTCACCGGGATTGTTGTGTTTCCCGGTAGATTGCCAATGTGTACAAGACGTATGGTACTGACTATACATGATGGCCGCCGTTTGTCAGCAGTACCGGCACTAAGCTGGAACACTAACTGCATGGCTTTAGGGCCTCTTTGAGTCTGTTCTGATACTAACTACACTCGATCTCTACAAGAACGCATCTTACTGATGCAAATTGTAAGAATGTTCAGCCAAAGATCCGGGTTCGATTCCCATTTAGGTAAACGTGATAACCACAGAGAGGGTGTTTCTGACTTTATTGCTTGAATGGTTATTAAAGCGATTTTAAACCACACTCGCTCAGTTACTTACTCTAACAAAGGTAAGTTATTGTCTTACAAAAACAAATGTACATACAGCTGATGGCTGTCGTTTGTTACTATACTCGTGCTGAGTTAACGAGTGATTTCATTGTCGATGTAGACGTGAAGGATGCTGCTGCAAGTGCTGGTCGATCATGATGTGGGTGGACAACTGGAAGAAGGGCATCTTTTACCTTGCCCTGTCCATCCCGACCTTCATCAGCGGTATGAGAATCATACTTGGTATGGTCAGTGGTAAGTACAGATCCATCCCCCCACCATCCTTTCCTTCAATCCATCCGCCCACTATCCTGTCCTTCAATCCATCCGCCCACCATCCTGTCCTTCAATCCATCCGCCCACCATCCTGTCCTTCAATCCATCCGCCCACCATCCTGTCCTTCAATCCATCCGCCACCATCCTGTCCTTCAATCCATCCGTCCAATCCACCGCCCACCATCCACCATCCTGTCCTTCAATCCATCCGCCCACCATCCTGTCCTTCAATTCAAATCCATCCGCCCACCATCCTGTCCATCAATCCATCCGCCCACCATCCTGTCCTTCCAATCCATCCGCCCACCATCCTGTCCTTCAATCCATCCGCCCACCATCCTGTCCTTCAATCCATCCGTCCTTCCATCCTCCAATCCATCCGCCCACCATCCTGTCCTTCAATCCATCCGCCCACCATCCTGTCCTTCAATCCATCCGCCCACCATCCTGTCCTTCAATCCATCCGCCCACCATCCTGTCCTTCAATCCATCCGCCCACCATCCTGTCCTCCAATCCATCCGCCCACCATCCTGTCCTTCAATCCATCCGCCCACCATCCTGTCCTCCAATCCATCCGCCCACCATCCTGTCCTTCAATCCATCCGCCCACCATCCTGTCCTTCAATCCCATCCTGTGTCCTACCGTGACTAGTAATATGATAGGTTCTCCCTTCTTCCTTCCACCTTGCCAAATGGAGATGCTAGGGATTGAAGGGTGACAGGATCACCAAACATTGTACCAGGCTTCCAGCAGTTTTATGTCTTAATTTATTTCTTTTGTAGAGGAAGACATCTATTGTGTTTTAGGCCTCCGGCTCACATACATAGTTACACAATCAGATGTTACATGCACTATTTCATCAATTTGGATATACACTTCTTTTCAATACATTATTTCCTCAACTTTTTGCATGCTTTTAATATAATGACAGATGTAAAATATCGGCATCATCTCTAGAGGTTATAAAATATGAAAATGCAATTTCTGGCGGTTTACAAAAGTGCTTTTTGGTACATGTTTCTTTTGTAAACCTGCGGTATTTCTTTGCCTCTGGTAATCCACACCTTTGTGAAGTTGCAGCATGTGAGGGATATATGAGTGTTTTGTTTCAGGTCTCCTGCTCATCGTCCTCGGCTGTCTGTACATCGTCAAGACCTTCAAGTACGGCATCGTCTACACCAAGCATGAGACGCGCTACGTGAGCACGTCCACGCCCAAGGTGAGCATGGTGACTCACGAGATCTCAACTCAAACCGACGACGACATGTACTACAGTCTCCTGGCGGAGTATCAGCGTCGGCAGCAGGAGCAAGAGAACCTTCAACAGCTACGGCAGATGCCGTGACCCATGTCGTGAATCTAGCAGTTGTATGGGGTTAGGGGAGTAGAGGGAGAAGAGGAAGGGAAGTAGAGTATACATTAGTACGTTGATCTCAGAGAAGGTGGGTGCCAATCATCAAGTTCAACGAAATACACTGGCATCGTAATGGGGAGGGGTGTTGAGGCAAGGGCGGGGTGGGATGGGGTGACTCAAACCAAGCTCAACTAGATGTATGGGGCGGGGAACAGGGCTAGGGAGGATCTCAAGGCAAGTCATAAGCTATATGCAGTTTGGACGACATTTAAATACGTCACAACTACAAAATCTGATTGGTCTCAATCGGACACCGTGCAGTAACACGAACGTTAACATTTGTGTGTAGATGGACTTCAGTGGATACCTCGAGGACAACGGTGTGACTATTGTGTGATAATAGTGTGATGATGGTGTGCAGATCAGCTGTGTTGACTCGGACACAAGGTCTGTGTTTCCTACATGGGTACCTGTAGTGGTCGGGTTTCAGGGATACCCTCACAACTGCAGATCACCATCTCGGCATGGCATTAACATGAATGTACAACAACAGAAACTGTATGTCAGACGTCGATTAAGTGTTAGGATTCTGGTGCGTACGTTCAGTCTAAAGATGACGATTCGCTGAATACAAAGTGATGAACAAGCAAAAAGTGCGTACAGCCGATCATCATGGTAAGAAACTTTTGAACAAAATGGAACTGAAACCAGTGGGATATAACAGAGTGGTATCTTTTAGAAATTAGACATTTGATCGTGGAAGAGTTGTCATGAATAAACAGTCCCTGGATTCATCAAACACAGCAAGATGGCCACCGTAGTACAAGGCCACTGCCAGTTTGCGGCGTGTTTAGTTGTGGACACAGGTACGACTCGCGTACTTCCGTCAACTCGGAATATCACACTGAACGGCCTGGAGTAGGGGTACACACCCTACATAACTTGTCAGAAACACTCGTGACGTGTATTTATTGTGCTCTTGGTAGACCGACATGTAATATTATGTGATAATGTTCGAAGAGGTACTGACCTTCACCCAAGGTGATGTTGTGGTTGGTTATATAACCACTCATGGAAGAAAGGCGAATCCATACACGTCTAGACTTCACAGAACCACATTTCATGCCGCTCTTATTTTGTTTTTGTTTTTCACCCTGTACGACCTGCCTCCAGCATGACCTCATATGCATAGCTGGAATATTGCTGAGTTCGGCGTTAAACTAAACTCACTAACTCATTGCCCTCGGTATGACAGTCACATACAGACAGATGCAAGAAACGTCATGGCCAGTCTGGGGCACCTGGGCCTTCTTTGACAAAGCACTAAGGCCACTAAGGTAACCTTAGTGCAGTATTAAAGAATGGGAGTTCAGGTTAACCTTAGTAAAGGTTGCTTCGTGAAAGGAGCCCCTTGTATCATATTAGCCTGGTAGGGTTCATCATGTCCACGCGTGCTCAAGACTAACACAAGTATACTTCGAACTTTAAACCAAATGGTTCTTTTTGACGAACTCTGATCTCAAACATTTATCATATGTACTTCATGTTTTGTTAAACAACCTTAAGATTGTAAAGAATGTAACTGTTTCGTTTATGTACAACGAACACATAGATCCAGCCGGTGACGGATGCCAGATGTTTAACCACAATGTACATACTGTCACTACACTGGGTTTCATTTCCCTCGTCTTGCCGTGGAAACATCACTATAGGAAAGATAGACCATTAATGTAAATTGGCTTCCATTTCCCTTGTTGCCATGGAAACCTCCTTATTCAAAAGATAGACCATTGTTGTACATTAGGTTCCATTTCCCTTGTGTTACCATGGAAACCTCCTTATTCAAAAGATAGACCATTGTTGTACATTAGGTTCCATTTCCCTTGTGTTGCCATGGAAACCTCCTTATTCAAAAGATAGACCATTGTTGTACATTAGGTTCCATTTCCCTTGTGTTGCCATGGAAACCTCATTCAAAAGATAGACCATTGTTGTACATTAGGTTCCATTTCCCTTGTGTTGACCACTTGACTAAGATCATTGCCCTAAGTAATTCAATGATGTTAATATTAACCCCCTCGACCAACTTGCAAAAAAACCACTTTAGTTCTAGACAGTTGCAACCCTGTGTCACGTTGTACAGATGGGTTCTGATGATGTGGTGGGACCTGTCTTGAAGGAGAATCCGCTCTTATTGCTTGTCTGGTACCTCACCGCTGAGTAACACACATACATCTGTGCTTGTGTATTAACCTGTGATATTCTTCAAATGCAGATATAAGCATCTTTTGTCTGTCTTGTGTACCATGAAACTTGTTTCCTGGGTGTAGAAAGCTTTGAGCCATGTCTACATTGTCATTAAAATACGAGTCTTTCAAAAATTGATATGCGCGTAATTGTCTCTCTGCTTTAACGGGATCAAGTTCTCAATATTAAAACAGGAGTCCTAAGGTAAGAACACATTAGTGTCCCCTACGTATGTACCATAGAAGGATCCTTGCTCTTTGAATGCTCTAACTGGACGTTGGTGTATAAAGTACCTCTAATTTAAACCCTTGTTCATAAAGGAAACCCCATATATGTGTGTAAATTGCACTAAAGGACACTTTAATATAATAATCATAATATATTTCATTATATCGTATTATTATTTTGTAATTACATCACTTTAGTTATAATTCTACCCAAACCGGGATGGTTAGCCCCAATCCAAATTGATTATTATACTCCAGTACCATATTTCTAGTAGGAAGTGCTCAAGCAGATAAGAAAATTGGCCACAAGAAAATTAAGTGAGTTGCCACAGATAGAGCGATAGTGAACAAGTTTCGTTCAAACAGCAACCACACTAAAAATGTATATAACAGTTGGTAGGCATATCCTCCTTCCCACTGCTGTAAATAATCTGTGATATACCCATGAAAATAGGGACTGTCATGTTTTTCGGTCCTGGCAAAGGGGATTTCCTAGAGATTACATATCTCACAGGGTGCTATTTCAGCAGTGTGTTTCATACAGGGTGCTGTAACAGTGGCCTCCAACCCCTGGGAACTAACATGAGTGTGTAACTGGTAATCCCTGACTGTTTGATGGTGATTTGGGCCAGTGCCGGATCCGCGATAAATGCTCATGTGATAGTCTTTCCCAAGTTAAGAAGAGCCTTGCTTGTTTTCTTTCAAACACTTTCTTTTAAAGACACAAATGTGTTGATGAAAACTGTACTATAATCTCTTTGAACTGTAAATAAAGTTCTTTCTTTCAGGGTATGCTCTTGCTATTTGCTTTCACACCTGGATTTCATACGACTTATTGATAAGGAGAGATTTTGACACATGAACATGTATTCCTTCTTAAAACAGTGACAATCGATGTTAGAAACCAGGAATCCTGTTTAAGATTTTATGGTGCTAATATATCTTAACAGGGTTGTACCATTTTCATTAACCTTAGTTTCAGAGAAAGAAATATGTTTTTCCGACCCCATCATGTCAGCAAACACATGATTTCTTACAACAGAGAAAAAATAGAAAAATCTGACACTATAATATAAACTTTTCCAAAATTCTTCAAGTCTGCACCAAAATATCAAGATTTTATATAAATGTATTGAATAGAAACCAGTTATGATTTGTGGACTAAAACTGACATGACAAGCAGAGCTGCTACTAAACACAATTGCATTGTGGTAATAAAGGACATTTGATTGAAATCAATATAATTAATATCAGTATCATTTGAAGAACATAATTTTCAAACCGGCAGTTGCATGCTTTCACAAACTACTACAACCTGCGACCTCATAGCTCCTAGAACCTACAGATCCCACCCACACTTAATATTGCACACTCCACTGAAACATACAAACCTTCACAAAACATCATCAACTAAAGATCAGTTAGTCTCTTGTCCTACAGAGGCAGTGGGGTAGCCTATTGGCTAAAGCGTTTGCTAGTCAGGCTGAAGACCCATGTTCGATTCCCCACATGGGTACAATGTGTGAAGCCCATTTCTGGTGTCCCCCTCCAAGATATTGCTGGAATATTGCTGAAAGCAGCGGAAAACCATACTCACTCACTCTTGTCCTTCACTGTAACCTATGACTTAGGCTTCATAGATATTTGCATGATGTGCACAAATGAATTATACCAAGACTTTGGCATCATAACGAAATATTGAAACAACACGCAACATAAAAGTCTTTAAACTTTTATTTTGTATGATTACTTAAAAGTACTGTCAAGGTGGTTGTGTTGATTACTGGGAGTTACAACAATGAACACTGACCAAAAATATTTGAGCTTTACGATTCAACAAGGACACATTTTAATCAATAACAATACTACATATGACATTACGACAGGTGGCAATGCACATCAACAGCATCAAGACTGGAGTAGGTAGTTACACTGAAAGTCACAGTGTACTGGATCATCCGCTTCTTCACCAAGCTGGGATACCTCAAGAACATGATTCACTACTTCCAGAGTGAGTTCCCCCATATGATTATCAGTGAAGGGCCACTCTTTTCGGTTCGGCACCATTTCAATATTCATTCATATCACAGCAGTCAGATTAATGTAGCTGGGAAGTCTTTGATTGTTAGCTCAACTAAGGGACACAATTCTCAACAGCTATCTGTTGGACCAGTGAGGTGACCTGTGCCCCCGTGAGTGTTTGCTTCACATACCTTGCTTGATCGGATTCTAGACACAGATGGTGAGGGGCATACACATAACAGAACATAAAGCACCAGTGCTAACATAATCACTTTATGATTATTATATTCAGTAGTATTGTATCAAGCAACAAATACTTCTTTTTCAATAAATCATGGAAACATTATTTCACCATTTGCAAATTCTTTCCACTCTTGAGGAAACTACTAACACCCCCAAACACAGATCTTCCAACAATAGCATCATCTCACATTGTGTATTTCCCAACATTACAATAGATAGATATGTATACAAATCCATATACTATACATCATACAACTTCATGTTCAGATGGAACATATATTTCTTCAATAATCTGACTTCTTAATGATCAAACTTCATTAGCCAAAGATCAAAGTGGTGGACTCATCTCAGACACTCCAGCACTGAACTGGACTCATCACTCGTTTCAGAAGTGAGCCGAGGAGATAAGAGGTAACATATTGAGTGATGCCTGTGCTTGTGTTAACCACGCTTTGTCTGATGTTTGTGTTTCAGTTAAGCACACATATTGTGATATCTGTTTGAGATAAGCACATATTGTGATATCTGTTTGAGATAAGCACATATTGTGATATCTGTTTGAGATAAGCACATATTGTGATATTTGTTTGAGATAAGCACATATTGTGTGGCTTATGTGTTTCAGACAACAACAGTTTGAGTGATATCTGGTTATAAAAGCACATATTGCAATATCTGCTTGAGAAAGGCAGATATTGTAGATTTCTTTTTTGAGGTGAGCTCATGATTTCTATAATTGTAATAAGCACATCTTGTGTGATGTCTATTTGACATAAGCATATATGGTGTGAGATCTCTGCCCAAATTAATCACATATTATTTTACATGCATGTCTGAGATCAGCACATGTTTTACATGCATGTTTGATACAAAAGCGTGGACTGTATCACAAGGAGGTGTTATCTTGCTCTTTGGTGGAAGCTTTGATCATAAATTTGTTTAAAATATCTTCACATTATCACTGGAGGTCCTACAATTTGATTCAACTGTTCCAAGTACCTAGAAAACAAGGAACAAACTTTAGATATATGTAATGAACATCAAATGATTTTTCAAAGCATGTCATCCTGTGCACTGGGTTTGGTAAGATTTGATTATCTCATGCTGTTCATATTCAGCAACCATTTTGTCCAACCAATCCCCATGATCAGGGCCATCAGCATCAGGGAAATGGGAACCTTTCCTCCCTTACTTCCTGCCAACACTAAATTGTCTCTTGGCGTCATTGTCAGTAGACTGTAGTGTAGATGTATACCAATCAAAAATAGTTCCAGATCACTTGATTCTTTCAAATGACAATACTTGATATGTCATGCCATCATTATGTCACGTCAGCGTCAGCTGGGCAGACTTGACTCATGAAAATCTAATTAGATTTGCACCAGCTGCTCATGCAGCAACCTGCTATTTTGAACACTTCCTAAACCATACACAACCAGCTACGATCCTACTAACATAGTTGTAGCCAAGACAACCTCACCTTGGATTGTGTTGCTCCACTCTGCCACGCAGGATACTTGGGCCCAGGAATGCGCTGAGCTGAGACAGGCACTGACTAGCCGCAGTCGACGTCAAAATGTTGTCACATGACTGAGAAGCAAAAGGCAATTGGTCAGTTAGCTCACAAAATTAAACAAATGTCGCTAAAGAATTGACAGTATCAGTTTCAGAGCACATTATGAATTATGAAGAGTGAGTGAGTGAGTTTAGTTTTACGCCGCACTCAGCAATATTCCAGCTATATGGCGGCAGTCTGTAAATAATCAAGTCTGGACCAGACAATCCAGTGATCAACAGCATGAGCATAGTACTGCGCATTTGGGATACGATGACGTGTCACTCAAGTCAGCAAGCCTGACCACCCGATCCCGTTAGTCGCCTCTTATGACAAGCATAGTCGCCTTTTGTGGCAAGCATGGGTTGCTGAAGACCTATTTTACCCCGGATCTTCACGGGTCGAATTATGAAGATAAACAACACATTGGGATGGGATGTAGTCAAGAACCGAAAACATTTTTCTGAATCAGTTCCTACATCAGCAGTCCAGAAAATGACCTTTGTTGACAGGGCATGCATTACAAAGTAGAACAAGTTTAGATGTCAAATATGCCAGGAATATTTCAATAACTTTTCTCAGTTATGACTGAAGCTAGTCGGTATGATCTGACACATCCTTGAGTATCATGTGTATCTGATCACCATTCTATCATCATGTTGGTTTGGAAACTGAGTACAGAATTTTCCTTGCTCATGTTCATTAAATCAACAACCAGTCAAAATACATCTTCTGATTGGAAGTTTGGCATTGATCTGTATTCCCAATTATGGCCTCATAGCAAGATCTGACATTTCCCAAAGGGACAACAATAAAAGGTGTTATGCATAGTACCAAGACAGTCAATGAGATGTTGAGTCAGTTGAGCACTAGTGTTTTCCCTGCTTTTAAATATAGTGAAATTTCACATTTATCTATTTGTAATGTTTTGTCATTTGAACACGAAGAGAGAGCTGGTGTGGAATAATACAGCAGAAATATACGCACTGGAAGATTATGGAATATGCCATAATTTGTTTGTTTTTGTTTTAACACTGCACTTAGCAATATGCTGCAAATCCAGTGACTGACATCATGAGTATTGCAATTGACTGACTGACTGACTGAGTTTGGTTTTACGCCGCTTTTAGCAATATTCCAGCAACATCACGGCGGGGGACACCAGAAATGGGCTTCACACATTGTACCCATGTGGGGATTCGAACCCGGGTCTTTGGCGTGACGAGCCAACGCCTTAACCATTAGGCTACCCCACCGCCCGATTGCAATTGATATTTGTCATGCATGAACCAAGTCAGCAAGCCTGACAACCCCATCCTACTGCTGCTAAGAAAAGAGTTCTAACCATGAATCTACCACAACTTACTAAGCTGTAGAAGAGACAGTCCATAAATTGTTCCAGGTGAGGCTTGAAGGCTCGTTTACCCAAACCTTTGGCAATATTAGGAATCTGAAACAAAATGATTGTACTGTAAACATCAACTTCTGCAGTAATCAAACCAATTCCTGACCCTGTAATGTATTTTCTTTCTTTTTCACCTTTGTAATGATTACATATTGTCCAAATAGTCTATTATTACTTTCAGCATTTCAGCCTTGTTTCATTGAACTTCCCTCCCAAGAACACCCTCAAAACTCCTTAAGTACTGTGACTTGACCCCCACACCCAGTACTGTGACTTGACCCCCCACACCCAGTACTGTGACTTGACCCCCACACCCAGTACTGTGACTGACCCCCACACTACTGTGACCCCCACACCCAGTACTGTGACTTGACCCCCCAGTACTGTGACACCCAGTACTGTGACTTGACCCCCCACACCCAGAACTATGACTTGACCCCACAGACTTGACCCCCACACCCAGTACTGTGACTTGACCCCCACACCCAGTACTGTGACTTGACCCCCACACCCAGTTCTGTGGACTTGACCCCCACACCCAGTACTGTGACTTGACCCCCCACACCCAGTACTGTGACTTGACCCCCTACACCCAGTACTGTGACTTGACCCCCTTACACCCAGTACTGTGACTTGACCCCCACACCCAGTACTGTGACTTGACCCCCACACCCAGTACTGTGACTTGACCCCTGTGACTTGACACCCAGTACTGTGACTTGACCCCCCACACCCAGTACTGACTTGACCCCATACCCAGTACTGTGACTTGACCCCAACACCCAGTACTGTGACTTGACCCCCACACCCAGTACTGTGACTTGACTCCCTACACCCAGTACTGTGACTTGACCCCCTACACCCAGTACTGTGGCTTGACCCCTACACCCAGTACTGTGACTTGACCCCCACACCCAGTACTTACTGTGACTTGACCCCCTACACCAGTACTGTGACTTGACCCCCACACCCAGTACTATGACTTGACCCCTACACCTAGTACTATGACTTGACCCCCACACCCAGTACTATGGCTTGAACCCCCACACCCAGTACTGACTTGACCCCTACACCCAGTAGTATGGCTTGAAGTCCCCACACCCAGTACTATGACTTGACCCCCCCACACAGTACTAGTTGAACCCCTGCACCCAGTAGTATGGCTTGAAGTCACTTACCCAGTACTATGACTTGACCCACACAGTACTCTTGACCCCCTACACACAGTACTGTGGCTTGAAGCCCACATCCAGTACTGTACTGTGACTTGACCCCCTAAACCCAGTGCTGTGTGACTTGACCCCCACACCCAGTACTGTGACTTGACCCCCACACCCAGTACTGTGACTTGACCCTACACCCAGTACTGTGACTTGACCCCCACACCCAGTACTGTGACTTGACCCCCACACCCAGTACTGTGACTTGACCCCTATACCCAGTACTGTGACTTGACCCCCACACCCAGTACTGTGACTTGACCCCTACACCCAGTACTGTGACTTGACCCCCATACCCAGTACTGTGACTTGACCCCTACACCCAGTACTGTGACTTGACCCCCACACCCAGTACTTTGACTTGACCCCCACACCCAGTACTGTGACTTGACCCCCTACACCCAGTACTGTGACTTGACCCCCACAACCAGTACTGTGACTTGACCCCCACCCAGTACTTTGACTTGACTCCCATACCCCAGTACTTGACCCCCCATGACTTGACCCCTACACCCAGTACTATGACTTGACCCCTACACCCAGTACTATGGCTTGACCCCCTGCACCCAGTAGTATGGCTTGAACCCCTACACCCAGTACTATGACTTGACCCCCTACACCCAGTACTGTGGCTTGAACCCCTACACCCAGTACTGTGACTTGACCCCTACACCCAGTACTATGACTTGACCCCCACACCCAGTACTGTGGCTTGACCCCCCACACCCAGTACTATGACTTGACCCCTACACCCAGTACTGTGGCTTGACCCCTACACCCAGTACTGTGACTTGACCCCTACACCCAGTACTGTGGCTTGACCCCCATACCCAGTACTGTGACTTGACCCCACACCCAGTACTATGGCTTGACCCCTACACCCAGTACTATGTGACTTGATGACACCCCTACACCCAGTACTGTGGCTTGAACCCCTACACCCAGTACTGTGACTTGACCCTACACCCAGTACTATGGCTTGACCCCCTACACCCAGTACTGTGACTTGACCCCCTACACCCAGTACTATGACTTGACCCTACACCCAGTACTGTGACTTGACCCCCACACCCAGTACTGTGACTTGACCCCTACACCCAGTAAGTACTGTGACTTGACTCCCCCACACCCAGTACTGTGGCTTGACCCCCACACCTCAGTACACCCAGTACTGTGACTTGACTGTGACTTGACCCCACACCCAGTACTGTGACTTGACCCCGCACCCAGTACTGTGACTTGACCCCCATACCCAGTACTGTGATTTGACACACCCAGTACTGTGACTTTGACCCCTACACCCAGTACTGTGACCCCACACCCAGTACTGTGACTTCTGACCCCTACACCCAGTTGCTGTGACTTGACTCCCCTACACCCAGTACTGTGACTTGACTTGACCCTACACCCAGTACTGTGACTTGACCCCCACACCCAGTACTTTGACTTGACCCCCACACCCAGTACTGTGACTTGACCCCTACACCTAGTACTGTGACTTGACCCCTACCCCTGTACTGTGACTCCCCACACTCCAGTACTGTCAGTACTGGCTTGACCCCCACACCCAGTACTGTGACTTGACCCCCTACACCCAGTACTGTGGTTGAAGTTTACACCCAGTACTGTGACTTGACCCCCCTACACCCAGTGCTGTGACTTGACCCCTACACCAGTACTATGACTTGACCCCTACCCAGTACTTGACTTGACCCTCACACCCAGTACTATGACTTGATTCCCCACACCCAGTACTGTGACTTGACCCCTACACCCAGTACTGCCACATGACTTTGAACCCCACTTACTGTGACTTGACTCTACACCCAGTACTGTGACTTGACCCCTTACACCCAGTACTATGACTTGACCCCTGCACCCAGTACTGTGGCTTGACCCCCTACACTCCAGTACTATGGCTTGAAGTCCCTACACTACAGTACACTCAGTACTATGACTTGAACCCCTACACCCAGTACTGTGACTTGAAGCCAGTACTGTGGCTTGACTTCCTACACCCAGTACTGTGACTTGACCCCTACACCCAGTACTTGATTCCAGTACTCCCACACCCAGTACTGTGACTTGACCCCTGACCCAGTACTGTCCTTGGATTCCCCACTCCAGTGTATGGACTTGGAAGCCGCACACCCAGTACTATGACTGACCCCTCTACACCCTAGTACTATGGCTTCTGAACCCCTCACACCCAGTACTGGTGGTTTTGACTTCTGACACCCAGTACTATGACTTGACCCCTACACCCAGTACTATGACTTGAAGCTCTACACCCAGTACTGTGACTTGACTCCTGGGTGCAGTACTGTGACTTGATTCCCCCACACCCAGTACTGTGACTTGACTCCCCACACCCAGTACTGTGGACTTGACCTCTACACCCAGTGTCTGTGGACTTGACTCCCCATACCCAGTACTGTGGATTCTTGACCCCCACACCCAGTACTGTGACTTGACCCCTACACCAAGTACTTTGACTTGACTCCCACACCCAGTACTGTGACTTGACCCCCACACCCAGTAAGTACTGTGACTTGACCTCTCACACCCAGTACTTTTGACTTCTGACCCCCACACCCAGCTGTGACTTGACTCCCTACAACCAGTACTATGACTTGACCCCCTACACCCAGTACTATGGCTTGACCCTGGCACCTCAAGTACTTGGACTGAGAACCCTACACCCAGTACTATGATTCTGACCCCTTACCCCAGTACTATGGCTTGACCCCTACACCCAGTACTATTGCTTGAACCCCTACACCCAGTACTGTGGACTTGACCTCTACACCCAGTACTGTGACTTGACCCCTGGTACTTGACCTGTACCCCCTGGACCCAGTACTATGACTTGACCCCCTGCACCCAGTAGTATGGCTTGACCCAGTACTATGGCTTGAGCCCCCTACACTCCAGTACTATGACACCCAGTACTGTGACTTGACCCTACACCCAGTTCTGTGGTTGAAGCCCTACACCCAGTACTGTGACTTGACCCCTACACCACCCAGTACTGTGACTTGACCCCCTACACCCAGTACTGTGACTTGACCCCCTACACCCAGTACTGTGACTTGACCCCCCTACACCCAGTACTGTGACTTGACCCCCTTGACACCCAGTACTGTGACTTGACCCCTACACCCAGTACTGTGACTTGACCCCTACACCCAGTACTGTGACTTGACCCCTTACTGTGACCCCCCTACACCCAGTACTGTGACTTGACCCCCACACCCAGTACTGTGACTGTGACTTGACCCCTACACAGTACTGTGACTTGACCCCCCCCACACCAGTACTGTGACTTGACCCCACACACCCAGTACTGTGACTTGACCCCACACCCAGTACTTCAATGACTTGACCCCCCATACCCCAGTACTGTGACTTGACCCCTACACCCAGTACTGTGACTTGACCCCTACACCCAGTACTGTGACTTGACCCCCACACCCAGTACCCTACACCCAGTACTGTGACTTGACCCCCACACCCAGTACTGTGACTTGACCCCACACCCAGTACTGTGACTTGACCCCCACACCCAGTACTTTGACTTGACCCCCCATACCCAGTACTGTGACTTGACCCCCACACCCAGTACTTTGACTTGACCCCCTACACCAAGTACTGTGACTTGACCCCCATACCCAGTACTGTGACTACTGACTTGACCCTACACCCAGTACTGTGACTTGACTTGTGACCCCCTACACCCAGTACTGTGACTTGACCCCCACAACCAATACTGTGACTTGACCCCCACACCCAGTACTTTGACTTGACCCCACACCCAGTACTGTGACTTGACCCCCCCATACCCAGTACTGTGACTTGACCCTACACCTAGTACTGTGACTTGCCCCTGCACCCAGTGCTTTGACTTGACCCCCCATATCCAGTACTGTGACTTGACCCCTTCACCTAGTACTGTGACTTGACCCCCTACACCCAGTACTTTGACTTGACCCCCTATATCCAGTATTGTGACAGATACACCTGTATTGTGACTTGCCTGTTTACACACGGCCTCTAGGAATGCTACATGCTGAGTGTAGTGATGTCTGTTGACTGCCTGTGCCATTACAGGAAGTAGTTCCGCCACCTTCTGCTGCTGCTGCTGCTGGGAAGATAACTCCGCCAACAGGTGGACACATCTGGAGGACAACAAGCATTGTCACTAAGGTGACATAATCCCCCGCCACAAATTATCAAATCAAACTTATAAAGTAATGAAAGTTTAAGTTAAATGTCAACAAAAATATGACCAGTCAACCTCTCTTGATATCTTGCTCTTTAGGTGTTCAAACACACACATATTTTCAAGACTGACTTTGACCTTGACATGAATGTCATAGTGTATGAAATATGCAAAAATAGTACTAAAGAAATTGCTTATTGAAAAACATTTAAGGGAAGTCTTGAAAGTCTGAAGAAAATCCAGTGAACCGTTCTTGAAATATCTGGCTGACAATTCAGGTTAACATGCTGAAATCTTCAAAGTGTCACTGTGACCTTGAAAATTAAGTGTAGGTCATCAAAATCGACTGGGCCCTGCCCCTTTCCTGGATGAAGCATGGTGTCAAATATGAAGAAACTCCAGTGAATGGTTCTTGAGGTATCTCGCTGACAAGCATAACCTGCAGGTTAACATGCTGAAATCTTCAAAGTGTCTCTGTGACCTTGAAAATTAAGTTTAGGTCACCAAAATTGACTGGGCCCTGCACCTTCCCTAGATAAAGCTTGGTTTCAAATATGAAGACAATCCAGTGAACGGTTCTTGAGATAGCTTAACATGCAGGTTTACATGCTGAAATCTTCAAAGTGTCGCCATGACCTTGAAAATTATGAGAAGGTCACTCAAATCGACTGGGCCCTGCGCCTTCCCTGGATAAAGCTTTGAATTGAATATGAAGAAAATCCAGTGGACGGTTCTTGAGATAGCTTAACATGCAGGGTAGAACGTGAAAGTCCCCTTGTGACCTTGAAATGAAGGTCAAGGTCACCAAACCTGACTTGGACCTTTCTTATACTGTGATGAACCTAGGTACCAAATATGAAAAGAATCTAGAGAACGGTTCTTAAGATATTCCAATCCGTACGTACGTACATGAGGTTATCTCGTGATTAACAGAAGTTAGGAACACACTTTAATTTGAAGGAAACAGAAACAAACTGAACAGCCAAAACTCATCATGCCTGCTGGAAAAACTAAGGGACACGCATTGTAGTCACGACACCTCATACAAACACAACAACTCAGGGATGAGATGTAATACAGTATGAACACTTTTAAATCAGCACAAATAAACATCCATACAATACAATTTGTTCATCATGTAACTCTGCATAGAGCAATATTCCAACTATATGATGACAGCCTGAAATGGATCCTAGACCAGACAATTCAGTCATCCAGGCTCCAGATGCTCTGATGAAGGCAACAGGCTGCTGGGCACACGTTCTAAGCTGGCATCTCTACACGGTCCATCAGATACAAAATAACACAAAGCAGTAGTTCCTGCCATATCTGATGACAAAGTAGACAAATTCTTGATTTACCCGTCAGCCATTTCCCAAGGTTCTGGAGGTTTCCGGAACATGTGATCCATACAGCCACCTCCACGGGAGCCCCGACCCATCTTCGGTGCCAGGGAACCACAGGAATACATCTGGGAACAAAACAATACATTCAGATATGAACCTACCCTGTTTATAGATTTGATGCAGTGTAACTGTTGACAAAATACATGAGAACATGTGAAGATGTGTGAACACAGAGAAGACTTCCTGGCATTTTACCACCTGAGAGTCCTAGATATTAGTTACCAGTGACTGTGTGCCTCTGACACAGCGGTTAGTGTGTGTTTTACTGGGTTCTGTTGTTCGGATATTGAACATATCAAATTCCAATGGGAAATTGACAGCCATTGTTATATGCATTGATGCATTGACTTTTGTAAGAACAATGTTTTCATACGCAAGGTTCTGTGTGGAAGCGCAAGTTATCTTGGAGGTATCAAAGAGAATTTGATACCTGATTTTTTATCAGAATCAAACATTTCTTCAGGGTTATGGTAGAATGTGTAATAATTCACAGTACAGGACATGAAAATTAATTTTACAAACATATATCATGAACAAATCATGTTAACAATGGCATATGCTCTTGAACAACATTGAACGACTTTATTTAGATAAACAAATATAGGACAAGCAATCTCTCTCTACATGAATTAATCATATTAATAATCTATATACAGAAGATACTAACCTGTTGATTCGTGTGTAGTTCCATGTCGTTGTCACGAGAGACGCTTGACCACCCGGTACGTTGCCGGCCCCTTGTCGAGTCCGCTGTACTTTTCCACACATGCAGCCTGGTGCTCCACCCCCTCAAGCCCCGCCTTCAGCTTGGGGAGGACCACACTCATAGACTCCTCACCTAAACACAGTTGCACCAATGTCCTTACATTCTACTGGTTGCACTGATGTCCTTACATTCTACTGGTTGTACTGATGTCCTTACATTCTACTGGTTGCACCAATGTCCTTACATTCTACTATTTGCACAGATGTCCTTACATTCTACTGGTTCCACCGATGTCCTTACATTCTACTGGTTGCACTGATGTCCTTACATTCTACCGGTTCCACCGATGTCCTTACATTCTACTGGTTGCACTGATGTCCTTACATTCGACTGGTTGCACTGATGTCCTTACATTCGACTGGTTGCACTGAAGTCCTTACATTCGACTGGTTGCACCAAAGTCCTTACATTCAACTGGTTGCACTGATGTCCTTACATTCGACTGGTTGCACTGATGTCCTTACATTCGACTGGTTGCACTGATGTCCTTACATTCGACTGGTTGCACTGATGTCCTTACATTCTACTGGTTGCACTGATGTCCTTACATTCTACTGGTTGTACTGATGTCCTTACATTCTACTGGTTGCACCGATGTCCTTACATTCTACTATTTGCACAGATGTCCTTACATTCTACTGGTTCCACCGATGTCCTTACATTCTACTGGTTGCACTGATGTCCTTACATTCTACCGGTTCCACCGATGTCCTTACATTCGACTGGTTGCACTGATGTCCTTACATTCTACTGGTTGCACTGATGTCCTTACATTCTACTGGTTGCACTGAAGTCCTTACATTCGACTGGTTGCACCAAAGTCCTTACATTCGACTGGTTGCACTGATGTCCTTACATTCGACTGGTTGCACTGATGTCCTTACATTCGACTGGTTGCACTGATGTCCTTACATTCGACTGGTTGCACTGATGTCCTTACATTCGACTGGTTGCACTGATGTCCTTACATTCTACTGGTTGCACTGATGTCCTTACACTCTACTTGATGCACCAATCTCCTTACATTCGACTGGTTGCACTGATGTCCTTACATTCGACTGGTTGCACTGATGTCCTTACATTCTACTGGTTGCACTGATGTCCTTACACTCGACTGGTTGCACTGATGTCCTTACATTCGACTGGTTGCACAGATGTTCTTACATTCTACTGGTCGCATGGATGCCCTTACATTCGATTGGTTGCACTGATGTCCTTACATTCTACTGGTCGCATGGATGCCCTTACATTCTACTGGTTGTACTGATGTCCTTACACTCTACTTGATGCACCAATCTCCTTACATTCTACTGGTTGTACTGATGTCCTTACATTCTACTGGTTGTACTGATGTCCTTACATTTTACTGGTTGCAGAGATATCCTTACATTCTACTGGTTCCACCAATGTCCTTACATTCTACTGGTTGCACAGATGTCCCTGCAATTTGCGGAACCTAGTGACTAGTTCTCACCGTACTGGTTGCACTGATGTCCTTACATTCTACTGGTTGCACTGATGTCCTTACATTCTACTGGTTGCACTGAAGTCCTTACATTCGACTGGTTGCACCAAAGTCCTTACATTCGACTGGTTGCACTGATGTCCTTACATTCGACTGGTTGCACTGATGTCCTTACATTCGACTGGTTGCACTGATGTCCTTACATTCGACTGGTTGCACTGATGTCCTTACATTCGACTGGTTGCACTGATGTCCTTACATTCTACTGGTTGCACTGATGTCCTTACACTCTACTTGATGCACCAATCTCCTTACATTCGACTGGTTGCACTGATGTCCTTACATTCGACTGGTTGCACTGATGTCCTTACATTCGACTGGTTGCACTGATGTCCTTACACTCGACTGGTTGCACTGATGTCCTTACATTCGACTGGTTGCACAGATGTTCTTACATTCTACTGGTCGCATGGATGCCCTTACATTCGACTGGTTGCACTGATGTCCTTACATTCTACTGGTCGCATGGATGCCCTTACATTCTACTGGTTGTACTGATGTCCTTACACTCTACTTGATGCACCAATCTCCTTACATTCTACTGGTTGTACTGATGTCCTTACATTCTACTGGTTGTACTGATGTCCTTACATTTTACTGGTTGCAGAGATATCCTTACATTCTACTGGTTCCACCAATGTCCTTACATTCTACTGGTTGCACAGATGTCCCTGCAATTTGCGGAACCTAGTGACTAGTTCTCACCGTACGCCTGCACCACCTGAGCCAGTGCAAGGGCAGCCCCCTGCCTCACAGACGGAATGTTGTCCTCCAGGTTGCTGAAGAACAATGGGTATAGCTCTGGCATGGTCCCTCTGAAACAAACAACCCATTGGTTCCTCTGAAACAAACAACCCATTGGTTCCTCTAAAACAAACAACCCATTGGTTCCTCTGAAACAAACAACCCATTGGTTCCTCTGAAACAAACAACCCATTGGTTCCTCTTACAATTAAGCTCAATGGAACAATACTGCTTAGGAATATAAGGAGAATATGCCTGTTTTTCGTGTGCCAAACCTCAAGGTGAATTTAGTACTGAGATGTCTTATACACTACGTTCCTATATCATCCGTAAACACCTGCATTCATTATTTGGTGATGAATAATCCATAACCAAAGAATAAAGAATCAAGACTGGGAATCAAGTGAGGGAGATTCCAAAGAGCATTCAGATTAGATGGTATTTCTCGATCAACAAATGTACATCTTCACATTGACTGACTGACTGAGTTTAGTTTTACGCCGCTTTTAGCAATATTCCAGCAATATCACGGCGGGGGACACCAGAAATGGGCTTCACTCATTGTAACCATGTGGGGATTCAAACCCGGGTCTTCAGCGTGACGAGCCAAAGCTTTAACCACTAGACTACCCCACCGCCCCATCTTCACATTGCTTCAATATCAGGCAATGGTTGGGTTTGCAAGGAGTTGGGCCTGTCATGAGTTAGAAATGCTGTATTTCATTAGCTTCATCAAAATCAGCATACATCATTTCACTACAAAGTGGTTGTATGTATTCACGGGTATGGAGACATACAGGGTATACAAAACCTGTGAAATCTCGATGATCAAACACTCAAACCCTGTGACAATCTCACACAATGCATGATATGTAACATTCAACCAATGATGGAGCCTTACAACATGATTACATGTACTGACTCCATCTGTTACTCACCTGGATTCTTCACGGAAACACTTGATGAAATTCCCACAGGCAACACAGGCAGCTGGAATGCAACCAGAAGACAGTGTGTTCAGAAGGAGGGGTGTTGAGAGTGGGTTGTGGTCTGGGCATACTTCTTACACTGTAGTCAAAATGTTACAGGAATGGGACAGCGAGATGACACTAAACTATTTATCTCTGTTTGCCAGAGCTACCCACCATCTCGGACCGGCCAGCTGTCATCGTTGAAGCACACCACCAGTGCAGACAGGAGCTGGGAGATATTGGGGCTTACTGCTGTCTTCTCAACCTGCCACATAAACACAACATCTTGTTAGCCTGGACTCTCCCTGAACCACTTCTTGCCTTCAACCCTGTCTTTCCCTGAACCCCTACCTACGTACCTTCACCCTGTCTCTCCCTGAACCACTACCTACCTTCAACCCTGTCTCTCCCTGAACCACTACCTACCTTCAACCCTGTCTCTCCCTAAACCACTCTCTGCCTTCAACCCTGTCTCTCCCTGAACCACTACCTACCCTCACCCTGTCTCTCCCTGAACCCCTACCTACCCTCACCCTGTCTCTCCCTGAACCACTACCTACCTTCACCCTGTGTCTCCCTGAACCACTACCTACCTTCACCCTGTCTCTCCCTGAACCACTACCTACCTTCACCCTGTCTCTCCCTGAACCACTACATGCCTTCACCCTGTCTCTCCCTGAACCACTGCCTCCCTCACCCTGTCTCTCCTGAACCACTACCTACCTTCACCCTGTCTCTCCCTGAACCACTACCTACCTTCACCCTGTCTCTCCCTGACCCACTACCTACCTTCACCCTGTCTCTCCCTGAACCACTACCTACCTTCACCCTGTCTCTCCCTGAACCACTACCTACCTTCACCCTGTCTCTCCCTGAACCAGTCCCTGCCTTCACCCTGTCTCTCCCTGAACCACTACCTGCCTTCACCCTGTCTCTCTGAACCACTACCTGCCTTCACCCTGTGTCTCCCTGAACCACTACCTACCTTCACCCTGTCTCTCCTGACCCCAGTCCCTGCCTTCCACTGTCTCTCCCTGAACCTTCACCCTGAACCACTACCTGAACTTCACCCTGTCTTCCTGAACCAGTCCCTGCCTGCACCCTGTCTCTCCCTGAACCACTACCTACCTTCACCCTGTGTCTCCCTGAACCACTACCTACCTTCACCCTGTCTCTCCCTGAACCACTACCTACCTACCTTCACCCTGTCTCTCCCTGAACCACTACATGCCTTCACCCTGAACCACTACCTACCGTAACCCTGTCTCTCCCTGAACCACTACATGCCTTCATACATGTCCCTCCCTACTACATCTCTTAGAGTATGATGTGGTTGGTGTGAGATATGAAACCTCTAGGTTACCCCAGCACCCAGTCCTGCGATCCCAAGTAAACAGGAACACATAGATATCAAACCTTCGAGCCAAGTTCTGCAATACAAGCACAGGCAGCCTCTCGCACAGCATGATTGTCAGCCTCAGTTTGGGCGATGTAGAACTCCACCTGGTGGCAGAATAGGACACACATCATGTCAGTGATGACATCTCTACAACTATATCATTAATTGTCATCATGTGGGCTTGACATAATTGCCAAATAACCAGCTGATTCAAATTCATATAAACTGAAAAAAATGGAATGAAGACTGAATGTAGTACAGAAATCCGTACCACATTCTTGATGTATTTCTCCACCAGTGATTTGCCCACTCCATGTGTGATCAGCTTCCACGTCTCCTGTGAGTATATCCGCACGCCCTCGGCCACGTAGTACCTGTTGAGGCACATGCGGGGCAGAAGGCAGGGGTAGAACTTCTCCCTACACTCCTCAGGTAACAGTTTCATCAGGAACTTCCGCGTCGTCACAGAGCTAGCCAGTCTCACCTGATGGGGAGTAAGGGACATGCCGTCAACTCCCATTGCGTGGCAAATCAAGTGACTATCATGTTTGTTTTCTTCCAAAACGAATAGATCCATACTATTTAGTATTTACAATGCTACCACATCAATGCACAACCACAATATGTGAAACTATGATACAAAGAGACTGCAAGACAAAAATTGTACGCTCAAAAGGAAATTCAATAATTTACTCATAAATATACTAGAAAACTGATTTCAATATCTGCTCCCTGTTTTCAGCTGCATACTGATGCAAGTCTATGCCTGATGCAGTGCAGTATATAATCTAGTACTTCAGATGATTTAGAAAATTACCTGGCTCCAGTTATCAGCAAGGCCCTTCCCCAAGTACTCTGAAAACTGACCGCCATGGCGATAGATGGCATTATCTTCTTCCTGTCCCTCATCCTCTTTGGAACCTGAAATAAGTCAGACACAGAAATCCTCAAGTCACATTCTAGTTATTTCTGTGCAAAATGATGAGATCTTTTACAGAAAATAAGGACACATTTCTACAGTTTTTCTTGATAACTTATAATTCCAAGTCTACAGGAGATGAATTGACCTGAGCGTATTTATCACTTACTTTTAGGACCAGAGTCTATGAGAGATGAGCACACATAGTAGCCGGTTTCACGCACAAAACGGTTGGTGTGTACGATGGCAGCAAAGATGAGATCCAGTAGTTCCTGATCCACAAAGGTGTTGAAGCTCGGGCCACAGCCTTCTATAGCTGCCTGCAGACATCTGGGAAACAACAATGTTTAGTAACTAAGCAACACCAGAAATCTGCTTGGTAACATAAGCCATTCAGTTTCTATTGAGATCTGTATAATTCACATCAATGTTAACATTTCAGCCAATAAATTAACCCAACAGAAGAAAGTCCCCCTGGCTTCACTATCCAATCCATCAAGTCACTTTGAACAATGGCATGGCATTATAGTTTATGGGGACCAGTTTTCACCTGGAATCTCCAGTGGGATGTTAATGAAAGATTCAAGAGGTGTTCAGGTGAGCTTAAGTCGACAGATTGAAATTGGACAGAGCCATGAAAGCATCTTTGTCCACACGACCTAAAGTCTTACTTCATCCATGTCTCTAAGGACTTCCATCCTGCTGTGTCATGGAAGATCTGTTCAGCACTGTTTCTCTGTGGAACATGAAACACCATTGAAAAAGTAACAAGAGCATAGAATAAGCTCTAAACAGAGTAGAGAACCTTCACAAATTCTCAGTCTTTGTACAATATGAGTGATAATGTAACACAGTCAACACATTTTCTAGACACAGGGACAAATACACTGCTCAAGCATAACAAGAAATGTACAAAACTACATTGCCTGGGAATGCCATCCCCATTATATTTGAACTGACTTACTTTTCCATGTCAACTCTTTTCAGCATTATATGCTAAAAGTTATTTTTGTAAATATTTAATGAGATCTTGTGAAAGTAAGACTTCAATCAACATGATGCTGAATGGTGAGTGATTATGTTCATGTTGTAAGGGTAATTTTTACCCTGGTTACGGGTAAGTAATATTTTGTGTGATGGTATATGTGATACAAGTGAGGCAGGTTGCAGGGGAATGGCTGTTGGATGTTAGTTTGGTTCGGAGTGCGTCTGTGTGATGGTATATGTGATACAAGTGAGGCAGGTTGCAGGTGAATGACCGCTTGGATGTTAGTTTGGTTCGAAGTGCGTCTGTGTGATGGTATATGTGATACAAGTGAGGCAGGTTGCAGGGGAATGACCGTTGGATGTTAGTTTGGTTCCGAGTGCGTCTGTGTGATGGTATATGTGATACAAGTGAGGCAGGTTGCAGGGGAATGACCGTTGGATGTTAGTTTGGTTCCGAGTGCGTCTGTGTGATGGTATATGTGATACAAGTGAGGCAGGTTGCAGGGGAATGACCGTTGGATGTTAGTTTGGTTCCGAGTGCGTCTGTGTGATGGTATATGTGATACAAGTGAGGCAGGTTGCAGGGGAATGACCGTTGGATGTTAGTTTGGTTCGAGTGCTGCTGTGTGATGGTATATGTGATACAAGTGAGGGCAGGTTGCAGGGGAATGACCGTTGGATGTTAGTTTGGTTCCGAGTGCGTCTGTGTGATGGTATATGTGATACAAGTGAGGCAGGTTGCAGGGGAATGACCGTTGGATGTTAGTTTGGTTCCGAGTGCGTCTGTGTGATGGTATATGTGATACAAGTGAGGCAGGTTGCAGGGGAATGACCGTTGGATGTTAGTTTGGTTCTGAGTGCTGCTGTGTGATGGTATATGTGATACAAGTGAGGTAGGTTGCAGGGGAATGGCTGTTGGATGTTAGTTTGGTTCTGAGTGCTACTGTGCTGTCAATATAACTGAATATACAACATTGACTCAAGACATTGATGTGTCAACACTAGGCACTACTCGAACCTAACAGTATTAAAGCATGAAACATTTTAACAATGCTAATTGTTTTACATTTGTCACAAACAATGAACTTCTGTTGACTCTTTAGAAATAGACGCCCCAAAAGTAAATTTCCCCTGCAGTGGGACAATCCTGATATCTTACCCTTCGTTGCTGCCCAGCCGGGAGTGGGGATACGGGTGGGGATAAGGGTGGAGATAAAGGTGGGGATGTGGGTGGGGATGCCGGCATCAGCTTCTCCATCAGCTTCTCCTGCTGACATCGATCATCTCCAGTGTCTCCATCTAGTGGCTGCCTTTCCAGGTTCTCCCGTATCCCACTTAAGATTTTCTCTCGGGCCTGTTTGAAAATGCCTGCACCTGTTGTTCTGCATAACGAGCCAATCACTTCACCTGCAGAAGTAAATGTCAAAGTTTAAAGAGCATATCGTTGAACAATTACACAAAGATAAGCAAGTACAGTGTTCACTCTAGAGTGCATTCTTTGTTTCAGTATCTGACATGTAGTAGTATATATAAGGAATGAGGAAAAAGCACCACAGAAGGTGCACCATGCCTCTAGAAGCCTCAAAACGGTCCAATTAGGCTCCCACAGCCCACAACCCCTAAAACACACACCACCACCCACCCCCCTCAAAAAAAAAGCAAAAAAAAAAGCCTTCATTTTGACCGCAGAGGTGCACTCCAATTAGAGATATACAGGTACATAGGTACATAGGTATAGAACAAATCGTTTCTCGTATCTTGTGGCCATAGACTGGAATCGTTTCTCCAGTCGGCATAGAGAGCAGCAGCAACAATCTGTTCTCCCCTTTGTATTTCGCTATGGCAAACGATTTGAACATATAGATTCCCTCCAGAACGTTTGTGGCTTTTCGGTGTTCGTTGAATGGAAGGGCTGCCACTTCCATATCCTTGGGCCCGTCATAGTTGGGCAAGGCAGAAACAGTGTTGCACCTGTCTGTGGGCTTCGTTTCTCTGGCGAGTTGTCGGAAGATACAAGACTCTTTCCCGCAATTCTCTACCAAATGGTCGAGGAGGAGTTTGTAGCGTAGGCTCCAACGGAGGCAGTCGTTATTGTAGAGGTTCCCTATGTTCTTGAAACAGCCGTCGATCACGATTTGGTCCGGCACCTCGAGTGGCTGCCACTTCCATATCCTTGGGCCCATCGTAGCTGGAGCTGCCTCAGATTCGCCTGTATCGGGCTTGTGATATGTGATACTTCCTCTTCGCCTCCTGAATGGACAAACGACCTGATCGGATCTAAGTATAGGCTTCGTGAGATAGCATGGTTCCAGGCATGGTTTGTTCTATACCTATGTACCTGTATATCTCTAATTGGAGTGCACCTCTGCGGTCAAAATGAAGGCAAAAAGTGTCTCTATATATTCAACTGCAGTGTGTACTTTTTTTGGGAGGGGAAGCGTTATGTGCTGTGGGAGCCAAATTGGACCATTTTGAGGCTACTAGAGGCATGGTGCACCTTCTGCAGTGTTTTTGACCCATTCCCTATACTACTCATGTAAAACAGCCTGTTTGATTGTCTCTTATCATTTATATACTATCTGATAGTTCACTTGTACCAACACTCAGAAATCTTTCTACATTTGCTCTCCAGACGTTGGAAAATGAACAAGTATCTCTGTTTTTTACTGGAACAAAGTATGACTCCTGTGTGGTGTGACTCTTGTTTTAGGACAGCTCAAGACAGACCAACAAATAGCAAGTTTCAGAGCCTGCTAATTACAACATTGTCATAGTTCATTTGCTACTTACTGTATACTCTGATAATGTTAGTGACATTGTCATAAGCATTATAAGGTAACCATTAACACAAATTGGGTTGTGAGTTAACCATGTTTATGTGAATGTTTTACAGGCAAATTTATCATGCCATGTTGGCATGTGACAACTCATAAGAAGGGGGAAACTACGTAAATAATCAAGAAAGTTTTTGTTCAGACATATCTTGATGAGACCAAGAATATTGTTTTAAACATTCTTTTCTTCTGAGAGAATGAAAAAGCTTACAGATTTTAACCAAATTTGTATCACAGAAGACATTTGAAATATCATTGCAACACATTGTTTAATATTAAGACCTATGTATTGTTAATGGAGTACATTACCTTGATTATCGTCATTGATAATTATGGAGTAATGTGATGTCAGTTGATTAACAGTGACTAATAGTCCAAGGTCCAAGCTGATAACATGGTTACTTGCCCATCTTTCAAATAATACCAAATAACAAAAATAAATTCTGATCAATTACCTGCCGATATTCTCACACGATACTCCTTGTCTTCCAAGAGATGGAGGGAGTTATGGAGAACTCGATCCCCAAATTCAGTTGAAAAGTGTTGACTGTCCATGACAGTCTTTGAGGCCATAAGTGACCCATGCTTCTTTTCCCACGTACTTTCATCGTGTGACATCAAATCAACAAGGTTATTTTCAAATTCTCTGACATCTTCGGCATTTTGTTTTTGAAGAAATTCTTGTAGCTGCTGTAAACCTCTGTCCCGATCAAGTTTGGCTGTACTGCACAGGAGTTTCAACATATCTTCAGCCATGTTTAAACATAGGGTGACTCTGTATTTGTAAAACGAAATATGGATTCAATTTCAACGTACTGTTCAGTGTATGCATCTTAAAACCTATTTAACATATAGAAAAAACAATCCGAAATTTGTATGTTATATAATAAGAATGTGACATGGGAAAATTGTTATTTGATTTTCCTTTTAAAAAATTGTTTTCCGCTTGTATAGTTTAGTTTTACTTTCCGATTACTTAGGTTCTTGCGATTGCCTGAGACGTGCGATTTGATTGGATTAAGTATGAGACAAGAACCAATAAAATTCTACTTTGCAATTTAGTTTGAAGCGGCCATTACAGAAGCCGCATGAAAACAACAAGCGTGCTTCTTCATAATTCTTAAGCAATGGGTGTTCCAGCATTTTTTAGGTGGCTAAGTCGCAAATATGCCTCCATTGTGGTGCATTGTGTGGAAGAAAAGGTAATTTATTTGAATTCAAAGGTCATTTTTATTCACAATTTAAATTGCGTTAAAGATGTTAAAATCAAATCGTGATGTTGCGATTGTTACCCTGATTTAAGAATTGTATAGATCTATTGTGCACAAATGTTATCAAACATGTGATTCTAGATTGGTCTGTGATTCTCCCCTAGCCGAAAGTGTTTGCATGCTCTCTAAATGCTGACTGATAAATTCTCAGTACTGCACTTTACCGGGCGCACTTTTCCCTAACCCTAAGGATCTTAAAGGTTCCCTAACCCTAAGGGGATCTTAAAAAGGGTTGTTTGACTCTAAAGATACGTCAGCTCACAAAGGATCGGAACTCTAAGGATGGTTGACTGGCAAGTGAAGGGAGGCAAGATTAAAATCATTACTTACTATTGATGGAACTGGGAGTAGTGCACTCTTGTATATTTTTGTAAGTGACATTTAATATTGATTAATGCAGAACAGTGAAAACAATCACAAGCATGCCAAGATCATGAACACCATAAACTGAACATGGTGAACAATTATAGAACACTGCCATGATCACATCCAAAAAATACCTGTGAGTGATTAGCTGACTCTGTTGATAAATTCTCTTCCTTACCTATGGGTAGATCACTTTACACACTTTTTTGGATTTCAGACTTGTCATGTGTGGCTCCGAATTCACACTGCCAGTTTGAAGGGTAGCTAAGCAAAAGAGCTCATCTAATAGCACAGCCTAGGGTGATCACGAATGTTGGGTGCTTGTTTACTGACTGATCAGCACTGAATTTTTTGGACACTAGCCATATAGGAAGCAAATGTCTTAACTTGATCAAAACTGTATGAATATTCCACAAATGACATTGGATTGAAATTCATTAAGTGATGGCTAGCACATACCCTTCTACATCAACAGATATAGCTGGAATATTGCGGCATTAAACAAATAAACACAAACAATACATATCCTACTTCACAGCTGACTCTAAGAATTATAAAGAGGTCTTTGTCTGGTAGGTGCTGCCTAACCTTAATGATCAGAAAGGAGATCCACGGGGCTGAGGATAGTTGAGTGTAACCTACTTTGACATTAGCGCAACTAACTGTATGGATTGAAGAGATATGTGTTATCTGTTGCTAGTGTTAGGCCAGAGCAGTCTAGACCAGCTGAATGAAATATGGATTTGATTTCAACGTACTATTCAACTGTGCCTGGTAAACTGCATATTGCTGCCAAAAAGTCCTTAAGAGGGTCCAATGAACTGAAACAATGATGGTGAATATATATGGCAAAATTCAATGAAATACATCGTCTAAAATAAAATGAGAGGGAGGACTTCACTCAGTTTTGCATTTCAGTTGAGCACCACTCCAACCATTATAACCAGATAATGCCATTAATGTTTTTTTGCAGCCTAAGGAGGTGAATGGGGTCAATGTGCCAGTTGACGGTAGCAAGCCTAACCCCAATGACATCGAATTTGACAACCTCTACTTGGACATGAATGGCATTATCCATCCATGCTGCCATCCTGAAGACAAGTAACACTTATATTGCTTATATTTATGTTCAATGTTAACTGCAAATTCTGTCATCGGTTCCCAATTGCGCAGATCGATGCTCATGCTGTTGATCACTGGATTGTCTGGTCCAGACTCGATTATTTACAGACTGCCGCCATATAGCTGGAATATTGCTGAGTGTGGCGTTAAACCAAAAACCCCCAAACATCTTGTCATGTCTAGACTCTATGTAGTGTTGAGTGAAACTCTGTTAATCAAATACCACCATGAAGTTTAAAGATGAAATTATGTGATGTGCACTAATTTCAAATCCTAATTCCATTTCTGGTGTCAACTGTGTAAGTTATAAAGCCAAGTGTTACACCTGTCAGGCTTAACCACAGCATTAGACACAATTACTAGGCTCCGAAAGGTTAGTTATGGTAACTTAACATGGCAAACGACAACCTGAACAGATCTGGACAAGTTTGGTTTCTTCTGGTAGTCTTTTTGTTGTAAACCTTAATTTTGTTTAATGTTAATAGTTTGTTTACCAACATTGTCTGTATACAGACATAAACCATGCTTCTTTGATAAGTATACTGAACCGCAAAAGAAACGTCTTGCACAATTTTGTTCTTACAATGTTGTGTTTTTATTATGATTGTACCATTTTGTTAACATGTTTTTCAATCCAAATTGACAGTTATTATAACATCAGTGTATTTTCTGATGAAAAAGCATATCGACCAATGCACCTAAAAAGGCAGATGTGGTAAAAGTTTCTGTATGACATTCGTGAAAATGAAACTGCACGTGCATAATATCGTGACAACCCTCCCTGAAAGCGAGTCCCAAACTCAGCTGAAATCATTTTTGTTTTGCAACAATCGCCATGCCATGACTTACGAGAGGTCAGAGGAACTAAGCCTTGGGACTATTGCAAGTTGGCCAGACTGCACGGAGGGTAGCCAATCAGTTTAATGTTCATGTTAAGACAATCTACCGACTGCACTAACGGTATCCGGCCACTAACAGCATCCAAGAGTTTCTTCAATAACGTCACAACGTCAAGAAGGGCAGATTGTGCGCAACCATCTGCAGGATCTGTTCCCCAGTGTGAAGGAAACAGCATGCCAGACTATTGGGACTCACAACAGACCCATTAGTGCTGATACACTACATGTGCATCGCCATTTGCACGGAAGAAACTTCTGCTGTCACAGACCATATCGTGTTCTGTCATCACCGCCAAAACCGACTGCAATGGGCAACTCAGCATCAAAATTGGCGTTATCGACAATGGAGATCTGTGTTTTTTTCTGATGACACTTTATTTATATATGAAAGACGACATTGTGTTTTGACAGGCGATAGCAGAGTGAGTAAACGGCGAAGGCGTGGGGAACTGTTTTCCAATGTGTGTATTATTAACAGAAACTCAAGGGATAGTCCCAGCATCATGAAGTGGGGTGCAATCGGTTGAACCAGAATGTTGGCACCATGGTGTTTCAGAATCTCGGTCCAGGATGAGGAAGTGATGTGATAGCTGGAGGCAACACACGATACTGATTTTGGGGTATCTAAATGGTACCATTTTTGGTGATTTTGTTTGTGTGAACTCTAAATGTGATTCCCGAAAATGTGTTAACCATAATTGTCAAGTTTGAACTCAATCCTCTGTTTTGATTGTTAATTAGAGTGAATTAAAGTGTGTGCTTTAAGAAACCTCTATTGGTGTGATGTTTCTTTTGCAGTTCAGTATATCATTGCATGAGCATTTTTTCTCAACATCTACAGTGTAAAATGACGCAGCTGAGCAGGTTTGTGGATCATGCATTATGGTAATGCCCCACGTCTTGATACCCTGCATAGGTACATAGTGTAAAGCCCATTCAAACAGTCCCCACTTGTCACTCACATGGCGATATATACATTTTCTTCCAGACCTGCTCCCAAGAATGAGGATGAGATGATGGTCTTGATCTTTGAGTATATTGATCGTATTTTCTCTATCGTACGTCCCAGGAAAGTCCTCTATATGGCTATAGATGGAGTGGTGAGTAACCATGGTAGCAGGTGTCATCCTGTCTATTAGAAGTGGACTTGCATGTCACACATTTTGGATGAGCACAGTTTGTTTAAAATTCCGTGTAACTTTGGAGGTATTGGTGATAATAGTGTCACCTGCTTATTTCCAGATTGGAATGCATATGTTCACTCACAGAGGATTAAATTGTGAAATCAGTAAATGACCACTCACGGTCAATTAACAATCAATTAGTTGTTAAAAGTTTCAGGTTTACAATACAAGAGACTGCACACTGAGTCATTAGAGGCACCAGTAATAATCAATGTGTCCTGTAATTAATGTTAACGATGTGTGGATTTTTGTGTCTGTTGAATGTCATAAAACAGACCTGTTTCCATCTGAAAGTTTAAAAGAGGGTTGGAAGCAGGCTGGATTTTTGCATTCTCGAACATGTGTTCAAACCACACTTGGCAAGAAGATAAAAAAACAAATCATGTTGAAAGGCCTCAGTTAGCCCCCTTGTTTCTAGAAAGTGTCCCATACCGGAACTTGTCATACAGTTATAACAGCCATGGTAATCTAAACAACATGGGGTCCGCAACTTGACGGTTGTTCATATCATGCCACAACAGCTCTTGTTAGCTATCAGTTCAGTCATTTACTCTAACAATTACTGCAAGTATATTTGTAATAGTTCCTACCACCACTAATAATACTGGTGTATAACATTGGATTGAATTATACTTCCAGGCTCCAAGAGCAAAGATGAATCAACAGAGATCAAGGCGATTCCGAGCTTCAAAAGAAGCAATGTAAGACTTGTTATATTTCTTGTCAGATCTGACTAGTGGATTAAGGTGTTGATGTGCATTAACTTAGGCGTAAACCCCATGAACATCCGGGTTAGAATTGGTCTTCAGTAACCCATGCTTGTTGTAAGAGGCGACTAACGGATCGGGTGGTCAGACTCGCTGACTTGGTTGACACATGTCATCGTATCCCAATTGCATAGATCGATGTTCATGCTGTTGATCACTGGATTGTCTGGTCCAGACTCGATTATTTACAGACAGTCGCTGGAATATTGCAGAGTCCGGCGTTAAACCAAAAACCCAAACATCTTGTCATATCTAGACTCTGTGCAGTGTTGAGTGAAACTGTTTATCAAATACTACTGTCTGATGAAAAATCAGACGGTTAACACATTGATGTTATGGTTTATTTATGGTTTGATTTTACAGTGATATTTGGAAAATTAGTTTAAAATGCTCAAGTAATTATCTGAAAACCAAGTTATTGGATAATGTATATAAAGCTACATGTAGTCCATGGATGACATTTAGTTTTGGTCATGTCAACAATCATTCTTTTTTCATAGAGATTGTCCTTGGGGTACATATATGCATTTTCTGCAGCTGAAAATGTCATGTGACAGTTGTCACAATGTTTTAATAAAAATATTGTACAATAAATAAAAATCTTTTTTATCTATTATACGGCCCCCGCCACGTGGGGTTACCTCCCTGCTACGCATGCACAGCCAACCAGGTAAGCTCCTAGGCCCGTATCATCATTCTTTCTGCTGTCACTCAAGCGTTCACATGTGTTCTGAGTTCATAGCTGAATTTCTTCTCTTGTGAAACAACTGTATGTATGGTCTTTATTCGTTCTTGACAGAACAGTTTTATTGACAGTCTGTTATTTCTCATTTATGTGACTTTGTATTACACTTTACGCTAGCTTTCCTGTGGTTTACGCACGTGTTGCTCTTCCATGGCGTGCCACGTGGTTGTCATATTGCGTTATTAACCCAGTATTTCTTCCCGTGGTCGCATTCACGTAATTTTCAATGTTTTGTACGTGTATATTTATGCTGCTGGCTCAGCTGTTAGCTACATGCTTGCGTGTTTGCTTTCAGGTGTTTACTGGGTGTTCTGTCTGTGGGCAGAACATTCCGAGAGCCGACAAGCACGATGTTTGTGAGCTTTGTATGGCCTTTTCCCCCCCGGGCCCAAAAGAGAAGGGCGGTGGATTTCCTGTTCTATAAGGAATTGCGAGAGGCGGGAGGGGAACTTGCCCAAGAGGTCCCCCCGTCTAAAGCCAAAAAGTCCAAACCGACTAAAAAAGCTAGTTCGTATAAGTTGCCTCCCCAGTCATCTCATAGTGATCTTGATATATCACTAATTACCCAATTGTTCCAGCAGCATATGGACTCCGTGTTCATGAGTCCGTTGGAGGTCTCCGCCAGTAGTTCCTCGCCCACTCTGAACAGGGGACTGAGAGTCCGGGGATGAGATCGCCGAGCCCGGCTCGATCCCCTAGCCTGGAGGTGTCGATCCTTTGCCTTTGGCTTCGGGTCCAGACGCCATGGCTATCCCGGAGGGAGAGGGTTCGCTCCGTCCCCCTCTCGGTGCTGGCGCAGGGTCTGCTGAGGATTCCTGGGGTTCCGTTCCCTGCTCCGCCCCGCCCCATGAGAGCGGAGGAGTCGGTTCTGCCCGGTCTTCCTGCCGTGTCTCGGGACCGGGGTTCGAGTGATGTGTTGGTTGCCGGCGCGGGGAGTTCCTTCGGCTCTTCCCTTCCCTCGGTGTCTGGGGCTCGGCCTCCCACCGGGTCGGGGTTCGGATCCTCTTCACGAGGAGACCCGGATTCTGACTCAGGCTCGGCTGCCGAGTCTATGGACGTTGGGGAGGTCGAGGAGCCGGAGGGCAGCGTATTGTTGAGTATATTCCCCAAGCCGCGGTACCCACCTGTCACTCGGACTCAGCTGAGTTCTGCCTGCCGGGCGAAGCGTTTGCCTCTAGGCAACCCTCGCAGACACTGCTCCGTATCTTTGCGGTCTGCGGCGTCTACGGTGATGTGCGCAGTCATGGGGATGCGCAAGCTGTGGCTGTCTACGTCCTGCTACTCGGCAGCGACACAGCAGACCTTGCTAGCCCTTCCGCTCCGACAGGGAGCGACGTTGTTTCTGGGGGCTCAGCAGGTCATTCGGGAGGCTGCTGCGGCAGCTACCTCCTTCAAGGACTCTAAGGCCTTGTTGGAGCATCCGCGGGCTTCTCTCCCCCATGCTCCCGTAGCGGGTTCCTCCTCCGGGGCGCCGTCTACGCCCGAGTCTGCCGGCTGGCTTCGGCTGCTGGGCAGGGTAGGAGGAGGAGCCGTCCCGCCAAAGGTAGGGGCAAGGAGCAGTCCTCTTCGTCTGGCTCCCATCAGCCGTTAAACCTGCAGGCTGTCGCCGTGGGTCCGTCCCAATCAGTTCGTCTGCAAGGGACCACTCATGCCCTCTTGTGTGAGTCTTACCACACGTCCCAGTGGGTGGCCACCTCTCTCTATTCCTGCTGGAGTGGGAGAAGGCTACCAGCAACCCTTGGGTGCTTTCCACCGTCAGTGTCAGCCATCTCCCACTGTGGAAGCGAGGCCCGCCCCAAGTCACCGGCATACGTCTCACTCCGATGCCGTCATGTCCGGTCAGGGCAGGTATACTGCGAGACGAAGCTTTTTGTTGGACAAGTCTGCAATAGATCGCATACCACCGGGCGAGGAACAGGTGGGATTTTATTCCACGTACTTCCTCGTTCCAAAGAAGGATGGCAGGTTCCGTCCCATTCTCAACCTCAAGGGGTTGAATCGCATGCTAGAGGTTCCATCCTTCAAGATGGAGACCCTTTGCTCAGAGATCTCCTCTGTTCAGCCCGACGATTGGCTTACGTCGATCGATCTAAAGGATGAGTATCTACATGGGCCAATTCATCCATCGTTCAAGCAGTACCTCCGGTTCTCTTACGATGGGATGGGTTACCACTTCACAGTGCTCCCCTTCGGCATATCCACTGCCCCCAGCGTGTTCACCAAGCTCATGTTAGGTCAGCTACCCTCGCAAGGTCGCAAGGACTGACTGACTGAGTTTGGTTTTACGCCGCTTTTAGCAATATTCCAGCAACATCATGGCGGGGGACACCAGAAATGGGCTTCACACAATGTACCCATGTGGGGATTCGAACCTGGGTCTTCAGCGTGACGAGCCAACGCTATAACCACTAGGCTACCCCACCGCCCAAGGTCGCAAGGAAGGCGTTGTTACCCTTACCTCGACGACTGGTTGCTCAGCGCTCTAACTCATGGATCATCAACCTCAAGAAATCCGAAGTGGTACCCACCCAGGACTTGGTTTTTCTCGGGGCACAACTTTTTCACAACTCACAAGGATCTTGTCTCCTTGTCGCCCGACCGGGTCACCAGAGTACGGGAGATGGTGTCTTCGTTCCTCTCCCAGCCCCAGGCACCAGCACGGACTTGGCTCCGTCTACTGGGTCATATGGCGGCAACTATCTCTGTAGTGTGGCGGGCGCGGTTGAGGATGCGCCCTATGCAGCAAGCTTTGGCGAGTCTGTGGGCTCACTCGGAGGATCTGGAGCAGTGTCTGATAGTCCACGGGTGGTTGTCTCCTCGCCTTCAGCGGTGGACCAATGTTGGTAATCTCTCCAAGGGGATCCCTTTGGAAATCCTGATGCCAGCTCTTACAGTTCAAACCGATGCGTCCCTCACGGGCTGGGTGGGTGTTCTGGGCAGTCTGTCGGTGTCCGGACTCTTGTCCGAAGCCCAAGCCCAAGCCCGCCTTCACATCAACGTTTTGGAACTGACAGCTGTGTGGTTGGTTTTCTAGCGCTTCCGGAAGCATGTTCAGGGCCAAGTTGTTCGTCTTCAGTTGGACAACCGTACGGCCATGACGTACATCCTGAATCAAGGGGGCACGGTGTCCCTAGCGCTCCTTCGGGAGACGTGGGAATTTCTCCTCTGGTGTGACCAGTGCGACTGTCAGGTGCTTCCTGTTTATCTCCCGGGGCTGGAGAACATGCGAGCAGACACTCTCTGTCGCCGGATCCTGGCCCCGCACGAGTGGATGCTTGACCGGCAGATATTCAGAGTTATCTCCCAGTTGTACGGATCGTTCCAGGTGGATCTGTTTGCGTCCAGCGGGACGAATCAGATACCCGTATTCTGTTCTCGAATACTGGACCCGAGGGCGTTGGCTTCCGATGCCTTCCTGCTGGATTGGACGGGCAAAGTGCTCTGGGCTACTTGTGCTACTGGCACCGCTATGGCCGTCACAAAGCTGGTTTCCGGTAATTCTCAGGTTTCTGGCTCAGCCTCCTGTTCTATTACCTTTACAACCGGACATTCTCACTCAGAACGGCGCGCCATACCCCAATCCAAGGATTCAGTGGGTGGCTTGGCCTCTGTCAGGTCTAGCCTCGAAGCATGCGGAATTCCTGCAGCAGTTGCAGACACAATTCCGGCTTCGAGGCAGGATTCGACAAACGTTCAATATGAGGATAGGTGGTCCCGCTATGCGCGCTGGTGTTCAGATAAGGGGATTGCAGATCCCGTTTCTGCGGATTTAGTCCGAGTATTGGAGTTTTTGCAAGCTCGTTTGGAAGAAGGCTTGGCGGCTTCGACCATTCGTGGCTACTCCACCGCTATTTCCACTTTTCCCACCCCTGTCGATGGTGCTCTTCTGGGGCAGCACCCTCTTATGCAGCGCTTTTTAGCTGGCGTGGATCGGGTTCGACCTGCTGTCAGGCGAACCAGCCCACCTTGGGATTTGTCAATTGTGCTAGATTGGCTGTCCGGTCCTACGTTCTCACGTCTATCGCCTGTGTTCCATCCAGACTGTGTCAGTATTCGCCTCCCGGATACTTACCGTCCGAAGATGGATCACGCTTTCCATGTGACAGCCCCTACTCTTACCCGGCCTTCCACATCGGGGACCTCTGTAAAGAGCACTCACCCGTTGGATGCCCAAAAGACTGTCAAGGTCTATATCAAACGAACACAAGGGATCCGTACGGGTACCCATCTGTTCTGCTGTTACGGTGGCGGGAAGGCTAGGATGCAGGCGAGCAAACAGACCCTATCTCGCTGGCTTGTATCGGTCATTTGTGCTGCTTATCAGGCTAAGGGCAAGCCTCCCCCTGAAGACATTCTCCCCCCAAGCCGTTCTGTTCTCTCCAGTGGACAATGTCCTGCCACCCTGACCGAGTGAGTCTTGGTTATCTGGACAGTTGATGCTGCTTTCAATAGAGTATTATTGATATATCCGCTGTTGTTTGATCTAACTTCTTTCGACTCTTTTCGGAGATTATGGTCGGTTGTGAGTTGTTTTTTCCCGCTTACGGTGCTCTCTAATAGATCATGATGTGGGCGGGTTTTTTATTTTCGCACTGTGTGCGAATTACTGTGCTTAACCTATGAGGTCGGATCTAAGTACTTATCCTCCCTGTTGGTTACCCCGAAGGAGCGCTAGGGACACCGTGCCGCCTTGCTTCAGGATGTGACAGGTGAGTGTTGGGGTGTCTGTTACATTCTTTCTAACGTTCGCCATTCTTTGGGAGCCTGAGTTAATGCATATATGTACCCCAAGGATGATCTATGAAAAAGAATTAGCTAAACCTGTAGAGGTTTCCAATTCTTTGAAGAGAGTCGTCCTTTGGGTAGGGCCGCCCACCTCCCTGCAATTCTGTTCACTGATTTATTCAGCAGAAGGAATGATGATACGGGCGTAGGTGCTTACCTGGTTGACTGCGCATGCATAGCAGGGAGGTAACTCCACGTGGTGGGGGCCGTATGATAGATAAAATAGATTTTTATTTATTGTACAATATTTTTTATTAATACGATACAACTGTCACATGACATTTTCAGCTGCAGAAAATGCATATATGTACCCCAAGGACGACTCTCTTCAAAGAATTCAAAGTTTTACAAGTATCAGACACGGCCATTTTGGTACTGTTATTGATGCATGGTTCTGTGTCTTCCTCAAAGTGTTTTTTTGTTGTTGTTACAGAGAGAAGACAGAGACAATAGCTCAACTCCGGGAAGAGATCTTTTCAAAGGGTTTTTCTCTCCCCCCAGAGAAACCTGCTCAAGAAAAGTTTGACAGCAACTGTATCACTCCGGTCAGCATAACCCATTTGTTCTAATAGTATGAAGGCCAATGGGGATAGATCAATGTAATAGTGATATATTTTCCTCAGATGCAATATCTCTGTGTGAAGGTATGATGACACCTCCACAAGTGGAGAACTCTTTAATCAACCAGTTGTGGTTCTTATCAAGCTATCACGGGTCACTCTTTTATGTTCTTGTGGCAAGTGAGCGAAACATGCAAACAGTCATGCCTGATATCTGTACCTTAAAGGGTGATGGGCAGGGTTTAACATGACGCGTGATTCCTGCATATTTGACGCAACAATTTTGTAAATGACTCTCAAAATATTATCATACGAGTCAAGTTTGACGCAAGTTTTATTGGTGGCCCTCACAATTCAGTTCAATAAAATCGATTTGATAAGCAAAAAAAAAAGATATTGTTCGATGAAGTTTGACTTTTACAGAGCTGTCAGATTGTTCAGAGAACTCAGAGGAGACAGTAATCCTAGCTGTTTGAATTGAACAATGCTGTGACATACACAGTTACATACTGAGTGTGATTTACATAAGGATTTTATGACTCCCAAATATTGAAAATGACTCCCAAAAATAAATATTGTGAGTCACCATGACTCCCATTTTTAAAAGTCTGTGTAAAACCCTGGTGGTGGGGTAGTCTAGTGGTTAAAGCATCTGCTCGTCACTTCGAAGACCCTGATTGATTCCCAATGTGTGAAGCCCATTTCTGGTGTCCTCCGCTGTGATATTGCTGGACTATTGCTGAAAGCGGTGTAAAACCATACTCACTCACTCATTCTGTATCTTAAAATGAAATTATTTGACTTTTTTCAAATGAAAATAGAAAAGGCTGCACTATTTTTGTTATTTTATAATCCTGTCAGAATGACCTACTAAGGAGAGAGTGGTTGTGATGTGTGTCAACAGTGTGTTGGCCTGATGGTTACCGTGGTAGCACCAGCTGGGGAGGGATACCCATACTAGGCTGTGTAGATACTGTTCTTCCTGATTCGTTGGTGTATCGAGTAAAACCTTTATCACTTTTATTTGCCTTTGTAATCTTTAGCCCAATTGTGCCTCTCTATGATGTTTTGACCGCTCGTACAGGGAACACCATTTATGTTCAAACTGGCCGACTGTCTACGTTACTACATTCACGATCGGCTCAACCATGACTCTGGCTGGAATGGTATCAAGGTGATCCTGTCTGATGCCAATGTCCCAGGAGAGGGTGAACACAAAATCATGGACTACATCAGAAGACAGAGAGGTAAAAAGTTTACCTTTTCTAACTTGTCAATTGTGGTTATTAACGATAGTTCGAAACAAGCAATAAATCTGTAGTACCAAATAATCTGGGGTTATAATCTGACAACTTCCACTCATCCTTTGACTGATGATTATGTTTTGGAAAATAAATGTATTTTTTTATGCCGCATGTTTTGATGTCTCTCCGATTCAGAATGCAACATCTCCATGATGTATGTAAACTCTGCTGCAGGGATTAGAGCACAGGATATTTGAATACCTGAACAATATTATTACCAATAAAAATCCATGAAACACTGCTTCAGGAGAGTTTGGTTGTTTGTTTATGATGTAGGCTGTCTATTCCCACTCTCACTGGATATGAGATGTAATGATGCATGTTGTTTATTTCAGCTATGCCGTCCCATGACCCTAACACCCATCACTGTCTCTGTGGAGCTGATGGTAGGTGTTCACAATATACAAGAAACATGCTCAGATATCAAGGCAGACTTAATTTCAAGCAAGATGCAGTATTTATGCTGATCATTACACATTACTTCACACATAATCTAGCCAATTGAGTTACCGTATACAATCAAGAAGTAGTCATTTTAAAACGAATTAAATGAATTTAAGAATGGCGTAACATTGCTTGCCTGATATATACATCCAAATACTGATTTGGGTATAAAACACTGAAATGCATCTTGTTTCAGCTGATCTCATTATGCTGGGTAAGTATGTCTTACGCCTAGAAGGGTTCATATCTCTCTTTGTATGGTCATTTCTCATGCTTGAATTGTCGGAGGAATATATTCTGTTTAGATTAGTCTAAACTATTGCGATGATATAAATCAAATATAGATTTCTGTCTAAACTCATGTTCAAGGATGTATATTTTGGGGGGCCTGTATTCTACACAGCTTGATTCATTGTCTGAAGCATGAATATATATCTTTCATGAAGGTTTTTCATATAGGTAATACATGGCTGCATGTTTAAACAGTGAAGGGAGGTATATCAGCTGAGTGTTTGGACTTGAAAAATAATCATGTTGGGATTCCAGTCAGAGACGATCTGGGAACTGAGTGATGAAGCTCATACTATCACCTGCTGTTTCAAAGTTTAGTTAGTTAGACCTCTAAGGCCTTTATTGCCTTGTGCTTTCCTCCACCATGAAGCTGACATGCCATGATAGGAAATGCTTCATATGACGACAGAAGACTAAACTCACTCATGCATGTCACATGCAGCCGATACGGTAATATTGCTGAAGTGGGCTTGAATCCAAGATCATAGTGTCAACCACTTGCTTACACTGTGAAATAATGACATGAAGCTGAGAGCATCATTCATCTTATCTGACTCAGCATAACCCTGTGTTACCATGGTTACAGGCCTGGCAACCCATGAGCCGTACTTCACCATCATCAGAGAGGAGTTCAAACCCAACAAACCCAAGCCATGTGAACTGTGTGGACAGATGGGTAGGTTCATCTTGTTATGTTATTCTATTCAGTAATTATACTCCACAATGTGTAGAATATGTCTTACAAGCATTGTTCTGATTCTCAGGGGTAGACATCATTGGTCAAATCCAAATAGTCTACAGCTTACTTTGGATGGGTATAATGTGTGAAGGCCATTTCTGGTGTCCCCAGCTGTGATATTGCTGGAATATTACTAAACGCGGTGTAAAACACTCACTCACCTCACTCTGGACTAGTGATTTATGTAAAGTAACTTGCCGACTGATGGACATCTCCATCCTGTGTCACATTTTGTTAGAGTTCGAGATAAGCATACCAGCAAATTGGTGTTTCATCCATTGTTTTTGTTTTAATGAAATCAGTATTTTCATTACCTACCTAATTCTAGATATTTGGGTATTTTCTATTACTGCCAGATAACTGATAGTTTAAAGAAATATTGAAACAAAAGATTCATTTCTTGCAATTCTAAAAACAACTGTTCTGAAAAGGTTTCTAACTTAGAACATTAGTATACTGTGTTGAATAAAATTGCCATCCTTTGAAACTGCTTGTGTTATTAAAGTCACAGTGTTTAATAATTCAAATCCAACATTCGTCTCAATCCTGGAAATAGCCTGACTGTGGTCTACAGTGTCATTATGTTTTGTGATACATGGAAATCTGATTGCTCGGCAAGCCTACAGAAGCACACACTAGTTAATTGTACGTTAGATTTTGCCAACTGACAAGCATTACAGCACAACCACATTTCTTCATCTTAAGGATTAATTATAACCATAGGTATTTGCTATTCCAGTCAGCAAGTGGTTTCTTTCATCCCGTGTTGTGTTTTTAAGCACCTCAGACTCAACCCAGTGAATATCAGTTCATCAACAAATTTGATTGACATTCTAAATTCTGAAATCATACATGTATTGGCAAATGAATTGTTCCTATCAGCTGACAGAATCTCAAGGAAGCAGTTTTGTTTTAAATTTATGCACATATATTTTATTGAACGTAAATGTAATAATTAATGCAAGTAGTATACACAGAGAAGTGAAAAACTTGCACTTTTCAATTTGTTTATGATTATGCAGCTTATCTGGAGCTCTGTGTTGTACTCTACTCACTTCAATGAACTAGATGGCTGTTATGACAAGTACTAAGTTCAATCTCAAAATACTTTGTCCTCAGTATTGCCAATATTCTGCTAAACAGTAAGTCAATTTTATAACAGAACAATGTACTTTGCCTTGTAATTACCAATAGTATAGCATATGTGTAATACGCATTTTAACATCAGTTTCAGGTGGTAAATTAAGCACTTTTCTGTTGGTTATAAGGTCATGAAATGAAGGAGTGTGCTGGCTTGCCAAAGGAAAAATCTGGAGAGGTAAGATAGTACTTGTACACCTTTTTGAAATAATCTCTTTGCCATTTCTTTCATCATGTGTATGTTTTGACAAACCTGTTGTTCCCTTGATGTACAGGGGTTGTTCAGGCTTAATCCCTTGACCACAGCAGAGACCAACTGTACATTGGAATGTTGGTTTGCCCCAATAATGTGTGTAGGTTTTTCAGTGCTATACGCATGCTTTGGTGGCTCATGAAAACGGGAAATGTTTTACTGGAATGATGTTTGACTTGTACATTTTCTTTTGATCAGCCAATGGTATGTACAAAACATAGTTCTGAAGACAATTAATGATAATTTAATGAGTACCTGTAAATATATATATCCATATATATTCAAGTATTTGTTGGACTTTATGTAACTGGACTACATATCTTCTTCTTCAGCATGATGAGATTCAGCCCTTCGTTGGTGCCGAGCAGGAGTTCATATTTCTGCGACTGAACATCCTCCGAGAGTACTTGGAGCGAGAGTTGAAGATGGATGGCCTACCATTTGAGTATGATTTTGAGGTGTGTTGTCATTATCACTCTCACAATGTGTTTTCTGATCATGCACTTTAATCAAAAGTGTTGTATTATATCTACATGATTGAGTGATGTAAAAAATACAAGAAAATGCATATAGTGGTGTCTTGCTTTTCTGTCCCAAACATAATGTTTACTGAATTCTAATTGTAACTCGGGAAAGTTGATGGCCATGCTATTCTTCTTTGATACGGTATTTTGGCAACAACTATGAGAAGCTGTTTGTTATATGACATATGAGCAGTTGTGTACACACCTTCATTCAGATGAGATTATTCCAGCAGCTGTAAGGTTACCTGTGTGTTGTATGTTTTCAGAGAGCATTGGATGACTGGGTGTTCATGTGCTTCTTTGTGGGAAATGACTTTCTGCCTCATCTTCCGTCCTTGGAAATCAGGTATGTTTGCCTCGTAATCTCGAAACAATTGAAGAACTAACCATTGTTTTGTAACACCAGATTGCTGTTTGTAAGTATCATGATTTTTTAAAACTTGCAATGTGCCATGTGAAGTTAACGGGAACACAGAACTGTGGCATAAACTGTGGGAAGCTTGTGATAGTGAGACAAATTGGTTGTAGATATTACTGTTGACAGGAGGCACTGTCTTTGCTTCAATGATGAATTGTTACAAGTTGCTTTATTAAGAATGATTGGACCAAGAAAACAAATTTTTCTGTATGCAAATAGTGAAATTTACATTGAGACTTCTTTGCATATTTTCATATACACATTATTATATAATTAACAGTATGCAGTGACTTGTTCTAAAGGGAGACATGTTCAAATTGTTGGACTAACAAATGTTCTGAAAAGACACTTTGGTTAGTGTATCTTGGTCAAAGCAGCTTCATATTACGCTGTTTGTTTATTGATGAGTAAACTACCACCACTTGTTTCAGAGCAATGTCAACAGTAAGACCAAATCCAGGTGTTTTGTATCACCTGTAAACAAAATAAGCTGGTCCATTGGACTGTTGTATGAATAAATGACCTGGTTCTATGAGTAAATGTGCTGGTCCGGTATTGTCATTACATTTCAACTGCTATTTCAGGGAGGGAGCTATAGACAGACTGATAAAACTCTACAAGATCACTGTCTACAAGACTGGGGTAAGCTGGCCTGGTCATTGCGATACATCTCCATGAGTATTCTTGGTACTATTGATTGCCAGCTGCCCATGCTGGTCGGGAGCTGTGGATCAGGTGGTCAGACTGGGTGACTTCGTTGATTGCATTTCCTTTTGTGCTGACTCTTTACCGCTCCCATTGTCAGGCACTGGATTGTCTGGTGCTGATTCAATTATTTCCATTCTGCTGACATAGTTGGAAATATTGCTGAGTGCAGGATTAACCAAACACACAATCAAGCATTGTGGAACTACTAGTCAGGTACCTCATCTATACCTTTATAAGTGGAGCTGTCAGGCTCTGTGACCACACTGCTTCCCTCATTGTGAAACTACTAGTCAGGTACCTCATCTATACCTTTATAAGTGGAGCTGTCAGGCTCTGTGACCACACTGCTTCCCTCATTGTGAAACTACTAGTCAGGTACCTCATCTATACCTTTATAAGTGGAGCTGTCAGGCTCTGTGACCACACTGCTTCCCTCATTGTGAAACTACTAGTCAGGTACCTCATCTATACCTTTATAAGTGGAACTGTCAGGCTCTGTGACCACACTGCTTCCCTCAGTGCCAAGGATCACTACACATGCTTTCAGATATAGGTTGGTCTGGTCCTGATGGTATGAGTACAGGATGCCATGATGAAGCTTGAACATTGCCCACCGTGTGACAGCTGACTTGCTTATGTAAGAGTTGAATGCCTGGGTGTTTTATTGGTTTTGATGATGCATCTGAAACTAAACTTCTATCCGTTACGATGTTATTTGTTGATGTTTTGTATAGGGCTATTTGACAGACAGTGGAGTTGTGTCCTTGGAGAGAGTCCAGCTTGTCATGGCAGGTAAGGCTTTGGTTTAACAACAAACATAAATTCCACATTAATCTTGAATAATTTTAAATAGTTTTTCCATCATACAGAGTAATTCCTATAAATATTTAACCTCTTATTACATCAGTTGAAGAAATTTGTATTTCGGCTGTCATCACACTGTACAAAATCGTTAGATTTTCGACAGAAATCCTCTTCACTGACAACTATTATCAGCAATGAATGAAACATAAATACAGTATTTGAAAGGATTGGCTTTTCAACAGTGTGTTTTTGCAATTTAAGCATGCTCACAAACATTTTTTTTAATTATCTTTCTTGAACACGATGAATATTATTTCATCATGAGATGGATAACATGCATTTGTTCTTCATAATGTTGCCCACATAGTTTTTTTTAAGATTGATGATATGTTTTGGAAATGCTGAACTCGCAAGGTTTACTTTGTGAAGAACATTGTACAATAAGTGTGTTGTACTCCTGGGTTTCACCGATGCAATAAGCAATTGGGACCCTCATCACCCTTGGGCTTTCTTCCCACATTTTGCTCAAACTGTGACAGTAACTAAAATAATGTGTCCATCATGTTATCTATTCGCTAATATATGTGATTATTTGAAATAATCGGTTTGCTTTGAGTCTATTACCTAACCGAAACATAAAAGCAAAGACTTGTAGACTGCAGCTAGTTTCTTCAGTTTATGTGAGATTCCTCTTTTTTAAAAGATCTGGGTCAAGTGGAAGATGAGATTTTTAAGAAGAGGAGAGAAACAGAGGTAATGATGCTCAGCATGCTCCTAGACTCGGGGATGTCATGCTTCTTTTTTCTAGATCTGAGTGTGCATCATTGTAACCCTGACATCTAGGGACATTGTTAATGCTATAAAGCATTGGTTGTGTGGACTAAACTCAGTTACTTACCACCTGGCATAATATGGCAGAGATAGCACATAACTACTTGATGTACATGCTAGCCCATGTTCACCAGCATACATTTTACATGTATTTCAGATATAGATGTGTCCAGTGTGACCTTTCTTGCATACTGATAGCTTATATGTGACCAAATTGACAATCATACCTGGTTAGGCATCTAGAGTCTTGTTCCACTGGTAATGATGATACAAGTCTGTTTCTGAAGATGTTTTGTTTGTGACCATTTCAGCTTGATTTCCCGGAGGCGTAATAAGGAAAAGAAAATGAGGATGAAAAATGTGAGTGTCTTGAAAAAGCTTTACAAAAATTCTAGTGTGAATATAGATCATTAAGGTTTAACATGCTGAAAGAATGGTACTCGTGGACAAATTTGACAGTGTGATAAACAGTATTCATGTTTATCTGCAGCAACGACAAGGAGACCGACCACGATGGATGGCAGGGGGACAGTTCGCTCCGAAGGTAAATATGGAAGACACTTTACTTACTTCAAGATTGGATGAGGGCATATTAACAGTGTCAGGTCTTACAGGATTAATTTATATTGGATCCTTAGGGGATTTGAGAGTAGATCACATTACTTACTGAAAAAGCTGACAAATGATGATTGTATATAAATTCACTAAATAATTGGTATCAGACCATGATAGTGTAGATTGTGACTCATGCTGTCACTCATGGTTCACATGGCCAGACTCTTTAACTTACAGACTGCCATGTTATGACTGTACATTGCTGACTGTGCCATAAACCATCATTCTGTTTGTTTGTTTGTTTATCATAGACTAAAGAAGCATGTCTTTATTATTATCCGCAAACACCCGTTTAGCGCGGAGCGGGGGATGTAGTATTAGGCTCCATCTGTCCATCTGTACGTACGTGACCCGTGAAGATCCGGGGTAGAATAGGTCTTCAGCAACCCATGCTTGCCACAAAAGGCGACTATGCTTGTCGTAAGAGGCGACTAACGGGATCGGGTGGTCAGGCTAGCTGACTTGGTTGACACATGTTATCGGTTCCCAATTGCGCAGATTGATGCTCATGCTGTTGATCACTGGATTGTCTGTCCAGACTCGATTATTTACAGACCGCCACCATATAGCTGGAATATTGCTGAGTGCGGCGTAAAACTAAACTCACTCACTCACTCACCGTACGGATGTATGAATTGGAATATCTTAAGAACCGTTGACTAGATTCTTTTCATTATTGGTACCTAGGTTCATCACAGTATGCGAAAGGTCAGGTCAGGTTTGGTTACCTAGACCTTCATTTCAAGGTCACAACTTTAAGTTAAAGGACTTAACGTTTTACCCTTGTCTGCGGGATATCTCAAGAACCGTTCACTGGATTTTCTTCATATTTGACACCAACCTTCATCTAGGGAAGGCGCAGGGCCCAGTCGATTTTGGTGACCTTCACTTAATTTTCAAGGTCACAGCGACACTTTGAAGATTTCAGCATGTTCAGATTGTCAGCAAGATATCTCAAGAATGGTTCACTGGATTCTCTCGAATGTTTTGTGATACGCAATTTATTTATTGCTATTTTTTTGCATATTTTATACACCATGACATTCATGTCAAGGTCAAAGCGAGTCTTGAAAATATTTGTGTGTTTGAACAGCTACAGAGCAAACTATCAAGAGAGGTTGACATGTTGTCATGTTTTTGTTGACATTTAACTTCATCTTAAAATACGACCTTCACTTTCATTACTTTTTAAGTTTGATTTGATAATTTGCGGCAGGGGATTATGTCCCCTTAGTGACAACTGCTTGTTTATGAAATAATCTGACTGTTTATATAATCATCAAACCACACTTGTTAATTGCTTCGTGATAAACAACAGGAAAGACAGGCAGCATTGTTTCTACTTAATTCCAAATCTGAAATGGTTCTCACAAATATTTTACAGCTGGAACCTGCTTGTGCCCTGCTCCCATTTTGCTGTCTAATCCCTACAAATGTAGGTTATGGTTGTTGTTTTCTTTCTGTATTGCTGCTAATTCAAAAAAGTTGTATGATAGGGTGATCTTGCTTGATGTCTTGCAGCCAATTGGTGAAGGTGCATCTCCTGTGTCCAACCCGCGTCAAGAAGCCTACCAGATGAGGATGCAGCAGACAGCATCATACTCCACATCTAGTGGAGGCTCTGCCAATCGGAATGCTGCGCATGACTTGAAGCAGTCGATGGCCGAAAATGGTGGGGAAAGTCGGGGAACAAAGCTCGGAGCATTGGCCGTGGAGGAAGAAGAGGAAGAAGAACCTGACGATGAAGTCAAGTGAGGAGACTGTGGAATGTCAGACAGTGATCACTGAAGTTAACAGTCACATAACTGAGTGGTTAAAGTGTTTGCTTGTTATGCCAAACCCTGGGTTCACTTTGAGCAGCTTCTTTTAAATCATAAATTCCTGTTTCTGGAGTCCCCTGTAATGATATTCCTGTAACATTGGTATAAGTTTGGCAAAACCAAACTAAATCACTGTATACTACTCAAAAGAAGGGCTTAACTCAAAGGAAGTTAAAATACATATGATTCACCAGATTTCTTTCGTCTCATTCCATGACCTATTAGCTGTAGTAACATGAATGAATTGGCTGTTCTTTAACCTCTTTTGAGTATGCATCATTGAAGTAGGGGTGTTACCCTGCAGATACCATACACAGAACCGATGTTATTTTGTCAATAATTACCCTCCAGTTGCAAAGTGGAAGAATAAAAGAAAATATAATTCATATTCACCCTTTTTTAATATCCACACATTAATGATGTTTGATGAATGTAAAGACATGTAAATGAAAGATCAAGCACAATCGATTATGTTTAAGCTTAATCTCGACTTCTTTGAAACATTTCTTGTTTCTTAGAATTTTTTTATAGTTAATATCACCTCAGATATTTGAAAGTTGCATTTCTGAAAATGGTCGACAATTGGTGGGTTTCTAGATGATGCATCTACACATTGAGCATATCCTGAGTATATTTACTTAGGTATTACATGGTAATAATGTCCACCCTTTTTCTTGACGTCAGACTATGGGAAGATGGCTGGAAAGATAGATATTACAAGTCCAAGTTTGACACAGATGCAAATGACATTGACTTTCGACATAAAGTGGTGAGTAGCAACTGAACTCATAAGTGTAGCTAGATTCCGTCGAATGAATGCATCCTTAGTACTGCATGTTTTATGTCACAACAGGCTTAGATGGGTGTCAAGTGATGAGGCTGCCTACCACAACTTTGTTCTTGGCTTGTCTTTGACCTTCACCTTGTTTTTGAACTTGCCTTTGACCTTGCCCTTCTCTTTATGCCTCAGTGGATTTTCCTCATGCTATGAACCACTGTTTAGCCTGGACCAGATTTGATTATCTAATGGTTTCTGGGATATTGCTTGAGAATCAGCTCAGAATAACAACAACCATCGTCTTAGTGTTACAGCATCGCTATCCTATCACTTGTTACAACAGTTTTTGTTGCCATTGTTTCAGGCTCACCACTATGTGCGGGGATTGTGTTGGGTGTTGAGGTACTACTATCAGGTGAGTACCTGTGCAGACTGTAGGCAGACCGTTTCAGACTATATGCAGATTTACATGTAGGCAGATTACATGCAGACTGTAGGCAGATTATAGGCAGACTGCAGATTTTTACAGAATCCATGAAACACTGAAGACACACTTGGAGATTGTTTACTTAGTGTGAAGCTGTAAATACCAAATCATTTCTGACTCCTAAAGATGATCGTTGTTCTTACAGTTTCGTTCCAACCTCTAACATTATTAATGAAAGTGCTGAAGACTGTCATCTTCTTACTGTTCTGTTAACATTGCCACATCTCTGTATCTGAATTAACTTAATGCTGGCCTACTTTCAGGGCTGTGCTTCCTGGAAATGGTACTTCCCCTATCATTATGCACCATTTGCATCCGATTTTGTCAACATTGGCGACCTTCCCAACGACTTTGAGAGGAACACTGAGCCAGTGAGTATTTGTTGAAAAAAGTTGCTTGAACTGTAAACCTGTGAATTTTTTCTTATCCTGACTCATGATCTTTTGATTATCTCCCTTTTCCTTGCGAATGGTAGTGGAACACTTGAATCCCTTGAAGTTCCTGAAGCGGACGTAAAAATACACTCACCCACGAGTTACCTCCCTCTTGCCCTTTCCCGCACAAACAGTCATGTGACCAGCCTTACTTGTCACTCTCTCCCTTTTCGCCCAAGTGGATGGTTGGGCGAGCACTGGAGTCCCATATACGGCATTATACGGGACTGTATTCAGCGGCGTCCTGATTCTTGTTAAGGCGATATCTGATGAACTGTTGTACCCAATGTCTTCAAATTTGGTAACAGCCTACATTGGGGGATTACGCAGACACCAGTTTATTTTGGTGACCTTGACCTTATCTTCAAGGTCACCATGACACTTTGACCACTTTTCAAACTATTGTTAACGCGATATCTCATGCACTGTTGTACCCAGTGTCTTCAAATTTGGTGACAGCCTACATTGGGGAATTACGCAGACACCAGTTTATTTTGGTGACCTTGACCTTATCTTCAAGGTCACCATGACACTGTGCACGCTTTTAACTCTTGTTAACGCGATATTTCATGGACTGTTGTACCCAATGTCTTCAAATTTGGTGACAGCCTACATTGGGGGATTTCACAGACACCAGTTTATTTAGGTGACCTTGACCTTATTTTCAAGGTCACCACGACACTTTGAACAGTTTTCAAACTCTTCTTAACACGGCATCTCATGGACTGTTGTACCCAATGTCTTCAAATTTGGTGACAGCATACATTGGGGGATTACGCAGACACCAGTTGATTTTGGGTGACCTTGACCTTATCTTCAAGTTCACCACGACACTTTTCACACTTTTAACTCTTGTTAACACGATATCTCATGGACTGTTGTACCCAATGTCTTCAAATTTGGTGACGGCATACATTGGGGTATTACACAGACACCAGTTTATTTGGGTGACCTTGACCTTATCTTCAAGGTCACCACGATACTTTGACCGCTTTTCAAAGGCGATATCTCATAAAACATTGCACCCAATGTTTTCAAGTATGTTGACAGCCTACATTGGGTGATTATGCAGACACCAGTCATTTCAGGCATCTTGTATGTGACCCAAAAATATAAGTAGTAAATATAGGTATTCCATTCTTTAGCGGCGGGGGACATTGCCATATCAGTGGCAAACACTTGTATCTTTTTTATTTAGGTCCTATTCTTCAATATTACACGGTGTATGGATTTGGCAATAACTATTATGTATTATATGTAAAAAATTGTAAAAATGATTTGTATTGTGTCATAATTTCATGGTTATGTAACTTTGTTTACATTTCATGAAATCTTGCAGTGTTTGCAATCACAGGTTATCCGTGGCTGATCCTCACCCCCAATGCCCTTCGTGCATAAAACCATGTTCTTCCAGCTTGCGCTGTACTTATTGTGTTGATTTATCAAATCCACAATTTAATAATATTTGTCTTATATCTATAGACCTGCCATGGATCGGGTGAGAAAGTCATCTCAAGTCACGGCTGATAAAACAGGAGATCAGCCTGCAAACCGTATGTTGCTTGCTACTGCTGAAATTCATAATACTGGTGCTATGTTGAGTACGTTGGAGGGGCAGTCTGCTGGTACAGGGGCTAAGAAGAGACTGGCTACAACGCAGTTGACTCCGACTCAAGCTAAGAAAAAGACGTCATCCTCTTCTACATCGCAGAAGAAAGCATCTGTTACCAGATCAGAGGGTAAATCTATGCGGGCCAGTAAGTCAACGCATCAGAAATCCTTCAATGAAGAGATTTTACCTCCACATGAAGTAGACGTTTTTGATGATCCCCCATTACTTCTACCTGAGATCAGCAACTCAATCGACTTCTATGACTACTAGATCGTCTCCTGCAACGGTCACAGCAGGACAGCTGTTTGACGAACTACCACTTACATCTCAACGGAGTGAAGTCGAGGCACAGAACTCATCAGCGTTAGCGAACGCTTCTTCTACACCGCAGCAGCTTCAAGCAATGCAGAACTTTGACCCGGGTGAATTTACGAGACAATTCACCAACCAGATGATGACCATGATGGAACGCAGGTTCGAGGAAGAAGCGAAGGCTCGGCGAAGCCTCTCATCTACCGACAGTGTGCGCAAACCTACGGACCTACGCAGACCTGCGCGAAACTACTCTTCAGAGAACTACATCTCAAGACTACGTTGGCGAACGTACACCTTTGCGAAGGTCTCCACAGTTGGACGACTCTGTCATCTTGGAGGAGGATAGAAGACATGAGATGCCTACTCATCTTTCTACATCTGCGAGACCGCCTCTGTGGTGTAGTGGTTAGAGCGTCCGCCTGGAGAGCGGAAGGTCGCGAGTTCAATCCCTGACCGCGTCATACCAAAAGACGTTAAAATATGGTACTTGTTGGTCCCTGTCTGGCGCTCGGCATTAATGGGTACAACAAGGACTGGTCGGCTCGGGAGTCAGTATAATGTGTCTGAGTGGGGTATTCATGCTTCACTGCAGCATGGTATCTCAGTGGGCTAGCACTATAAAACCAGCTTCAGCCTGGGCTAGTACAAGCAGCCGCACATACACATACACACGCAAGCATGTCATCATATGAGCGAAATATTCTCAAGTACGACGTTAAACCCAATTTCACCTCACCTCTACATCTGCGAACCCTCAACGTTCGAGAACATCGAAGGATCCGTCTCCTACATCTAGCCGCTCTAGATCGAGATCTCATATCTCTCACAGACGTTCGCGAAGTCACTCATCACGAGACAGAGGTTCGCGAAGAGATGAATCTACAGATAGAGGTTTGCGAAGAGAGAACTCTCAAGATAGACGTTCGCGTAGGGAGGAATCTGCAGACAGAGGTTCGCGAAAGGATGATGAAGGTTCGAAATTGGATACAGGTTCGCAGATGGATGATACACGGAGGCCTAGCTCTAATAATCAGGAGATACTGGATGAGCAAGCAGACTCCGTCTTCCCAGACACAGAGCTTACAGCTTGGATTGCCAAAGGGTTGAACTTGGAGTCTCCTAAGGATAGAGATGGAGTCTACACTTATATGATGCTCAACGACGACTTTCACTCCGTTACTATCCATCCTATTGAACCTATATCCAAGGTACCCTCCAACCTACGCACAGCTTTCGTGAAAGCATCCAAGTACCAGAGTCAGCATCTGCCATCATTTAATATGAAGAGATTCCCCTTACATCATATGGATCCATTTATAAAGGCGCCTGAATGGGATGATAACATAAAGTTAGTCAACAACTCCCGGAACAAGATGTATAAAGTAGAAGATAAAATGTTATCTCAACTTGATACTGCTACAAGGAGATCCTTCTTCTGGTTGGCCAGGTCCAAAGCTATCAATGAAGCATTGATCAATAAATTCCAGAACCCAAGTTCGGAAGAGGACAGAATGATATATTCGGTGCTCATAACTCAGAAGAAAGACCAATACTATTTATCGGACCATCTGGCATCTATATCTGCAGGTCTCAGTTTACTACGCAGACAAGGGCTACTAACATCCTGTTCATGGAGTGACAGATTCACCCAACAGCTGCTGAGAGCTCCATGGGAGGCGCCTACTATCTTTGGAGGACAAATAGACGATACAGTTAAGGAAGCTACGCACGACTCTAGAGAAGTTATGATGATAAAATCCATAGATACTCTGGCCAACGTCATCCGTCATACTTCGCAAAAGTATAACAGCAAGTCCAAATATTCCGGCATACAGAAGGCAAAGGAGAAGAAGTACTCCAGCTTCAGAGGCGGCAAAGTATCTTTTTGTTAGCCATCCGGAAATTACAGAGGAAACTCAGGGAGAGGCCGCACTCCCAGAGGATCCAGAGGAACTAGACGTTGATATCGGGGTTCGGAACGACTGGAGTCTTCCACCCCCCAGCCGTTCCTGTAAAACCATCGACAGTGGGTGGATGTCTACAAAGGTACTGGAAAAATACTAGAATACTAGAGGAGGACTACGTCTCCCAAATACTACGAGAAGGATACAGAGTACAACTCAAGGCCACACCTCCGTTAACCCTCAGCCCGATGGTCTTCAACTACACAGAGGAGCAGGCAGACAGACTACAAGAAGCCATCAACTCACTACTTATGAAGGAGGCGGTAGAGATAATAGGTCAGACTGATTTACAACATGCGCAAATTCAACAAAGACTATCTACTGAAACCAGACAGGTTCAGAATGATCCACCTACCTCAACTCAGACTAATCGTCTGTCCAGCAGATTACATGGCCAGCATAGACCTGCAGGATGCGTACCTACACATCCCCATACATCCGGAATCAAGAAAGTATCTACGAGTCCTATTCAGAGGGCAGCGCTTCCAATGGAACGTCTTACCGTTTGGAATATCTTCGGCTCCGTGGCTATTCACACGAGTAACCAAGCCTATAGTCACATATGTACATCATCAAGGTCTACGCAATGCCTTCTACTTGGATGACGGAATTCAGGTTCACCAAGATGCCAGTCAACTCAAACTACAGCTGAACTTCACGATCAAGTTTTTCGCTCAACTAGGATGGCTGGTGAACCTTGTGAAGTCAGAGTTGGAACCAAAACAAGATCTGCAATTTCTGGGGATAAGGTTTATCACAACACAGAATTGTATTGTCGTCCGAGAAGATCGTTGGGTCAAGATACAAGCCATGATTCCACTAGCAGTCATCTCTCTGTTAACACTACGTTCATGGCAAGTTCTACTCGGTCTACTAACCTCGGCGCAGGACTTGGCTTGCACAGGACAGTTACAACTAAGACCGCTGCAATGGTTCCTGACAAACCATCTAGACAGTGTCGACCCAATCTTGCTGCCAGACAACCTCAAGAGGTATCTACTGTGGTGGACACACAGGTCGAACGTTTGCAGAGGGACCTATTTACAAGAGCCGGCCTTCGACACACATCTCCACGTAGAAGCTTCGATACAAGGCTGGGGTGCGCATCTCAACAATCAAGTTGCATCAGGGAGGTGGTACAAAATAGAGCTGAAATCCATGATCAATGCCTTACAACTATGGTCGAGCTCGCTGAACAACAAAATGCTGATGGTCCACACGGACAACTCTACAGTGGCATTCTCCATAAATCTGCAAGGATCAACAAGGTCTCCAAGCCTGCTACAGCTCACATTCCAGTTGTTCCACATCACAGAGGAAGCAAACATCTGGATAAAGGCGTGTCACATACCCGGAGCCATGAACGTACTTGCAGACGCTCTCTCCCGACCACTGCACCCGTCACCTACGGAATGGATGCTCCATCCAGAAGCGTTCCGGCTCATCATAAGGGAAATAGGATCCCCTTGCATAGACCTGTTTGCCACGAGGTTCAACAAACAACTACAGACGTTTGTCTCACCAGTTCCAGATCCTCAAACCAGGGCAACAGATGCACTGAGCATATCTTGGGAAGGACTAAACGCTTAAGCGTTTCCACCCCCGATATTACTACCGGAAGTACTGTTGAAGATCAAACAGACACAGGCACTTCAACTGACTTTGGTCGCGCCATACTGGCCAGCGAGAGTATTGTTCCTAGACCTAATAGAAGATCTCGGAAGTCCAACAATCAAGTTATCAGATTGGCCGAACCTACTCATACGTCTGCACACCAAGCAAGTCCACGGGAACCCGACAGCGTTCCAGCTACACGTGTGGACTGTATCAAAACATGTTTGAAGAAAAGAGGATACTCTGCCAGGGCAGCCAAGGCAGTAACGCTAGCGTTACGCAGATCTACTCGTAACCTGTATGATGACAAGTGGCTGAAGTTTGAGACTTATGCAAGGCGGAAAAGGCTTCATTGTGATGAAAGCTACTCATCCTCAAGTGGCGGAATACCTGTGTCATCTTAGACAGACCAGACATCTGAAAGGTTCGACATCATCTACATACCTCGCCGCCATCAGTACAGTGATTACCATGAAAACAGGCATCAAGTTGACGAAAGTACCAGAATTACTTGCTTTGCTGAGATCTTTTAAACTGGAGGACCAGCAAAAGAAGTTAAGAGCTCTGGCCTGGGATCTAAATGTAATTCTGCGTCATCTTACAAGTGATGCCTACGAACCTCTAGACCAGACTACCCTCGAGCTGCTGACACAGAAGACTCTGTTCCTGCCTGCTCTAGCCACGACAGCTCGAATATCAGAGATACATGCGCTGGACCAGATTCGACACGGGGCACAAGCTGCAGTTCATCTAGGACTTCATTGCCAAGAACCAACTACCTGGTCAGCCAGATAGACAGTTCCACATACCAGCGCTATCTACAATCCTTGGACCAGAGGATATAGAGGACTTAGCCTTGTGTCCGGTCGGAGCCCTGAAGATATATCTTCAAAAGGCTAAGACAAGGAGACGAAAATTCAAGCGCGCCTGTTCATCCCATTATCCACAGAGACATCAGCAGAAGTCTCAAGAACGACGATATCGTTCTGGATGAGAGCTGTCATAAAGCAGCAGGACTAGAACCTCCTAGAGTTTCCAACCCACATGAAGTTAGAGCACTGGCGTCAACACTGGCTCTGCATGGAAATTGCTCTATATCTGCAATTACGGAGGGCTGCTTTTGGAAGTCGGACACAGTGTTTGCCAACCACTCCGAGACATAGCCAAGATGTCTCAGGCATTCACCAATTTGGGCCTCTCGTCGTACCACAGCAACTAACCGTTCCTCAAAGGCGCTGAGTTGGAATATCTCACCCTTTATCACGTTGACTTGTTGATAACTTTTTCCAAGGAAAAGTATTAGTTTGAAAGTCCATGCGCACAGTCTAGGACAGGCTAGCATGAGTGATTAAAAATCCTGTACGGGTAAAGATCTTACCTGTACGTGAAGGGGTCGCAACTCATATATGATAAAGATCTTATCATAATCTATGGGTTGTTATAAGATATCTAGTAATAAGAAGATACTAGTTTATCTGTAGCCACATGAATCAATATGATTCAACTTGTCTGAGACTGAAGTAAGACAAGAAAAGTGCGCCCCCATATCGATGTTGTTCCATAGGATGGCATGGTCCAAATCCGCCATAGCTGACCACACCCAAGCCAACCCTGACCATGCCATCCTATGGAACAACATCGATATCCTAGAAATCAACCGACAAGACTACAAAATTAGGAAACTCCTTGAAGCCATAAACATCCAACGCCACAACCCCACCATGAATCGAGATCAAGGTTATTTCATCTCCTCGGTCCTATCACCACCTAATCAAAGACCACCACCAGTAATCCGTCCCTACCTCCTTTGTCCATCTGGCTTCCATGCTCCCTCCTTTGTGCTTGTAATCACAACTATTGTAAGTCAACTCATCAATTGTATAAACTCAACTCTAATCACAATCAATCACTCTGTACATCAACCTCATCTGCTGTAATCACTTATCAAATATCCAATGTACATCAACCTTGTTAATTGTATATACTCACTATACAGCTATGTATATATTCTCCTTGCTTCAGTTGTTGTATCACTTGCTTGATAACGGTGTTAGTACCTACACCGAATCGTCGCACTCATTGCAATAAAGAAGTTGACTATCCATACAAATCAGTTTTCCTTCAGTCAGGATAAGTATAAAAATATCAATTTTACTTGAAAAATTACATTTTCCTCTCGTCCTATCTATCTCCCCATTTGTAGATTGCAGAGCTTTATCTTCTGCAGGGCCAGTCAGAGACATTGCAATTTGCTGCGGAGAGTTGGGTTCCAGAATGAGTGATTATGTTTATAGGTCTGCAGTTCTACCCCCTAGAACAGCTGATGAGTGTTCAAAAGTAGAGCTAGTGTTCATGCCCAGATGGCTCTTTATTTATGTGATGTTTGAAGTATGTACCCCTGTCACAGTTCCAGCCCCTGGAACAGCTGATGAGTGTTCAAAAGTAGAGCTAGTGTTCAAGCCCAGATGGCTCTTTATTTATGTGATGTTTGAAGTATGTACCCCTGTTACAGTTCCAGCCCCTGGAACAGCTGATGAGTGTCTTCCCCGCCGGCAGCAAGCAGCATCTCCCCCTTACCTGGCAGACTCTCATGGAGGAACCGGTAAGTGGGTCATGACAGACACATACACAATGTGCATTAATCATGGCATTGACTCCTGTTGTGCCACTGGGCTTCCTCTGATCCCCAGAACCAGGTCGATGACACACCAGTGACACAATGGACTGGATAGTTAGCCTCCGTGACCTGGTTGACTGTGTGTCATTCTAGCCCAACAGCATAGGATGTCGTGTCATACCAATCACAAAAATAACATTGTAGGAAATTGCTGAGTATTGTGTTAAATTACACACAATTATGTCTGTTTTAAGAGATGTTTTCTTCACAGTGCTTTATGAAATTACACAGCAAGCATATGTTTTCTAGTGCTTTCTTCTTGCTTCTTCATTTGTATCTACTGCTTCTATTTCAGGAATCACCAATCATTGATTTCTACCCCACAGACTTCAAGATAGATTTGAATGGGAAGAAATATGCCTGGCAGGGTAAGATGACATACTTGTTTTGAAAGAGATGTTTGATAGAAGGGGCTAAATTCAACAGGAAGTATCCATGTTCACATTTTGCACTTTAGGTATTAGTTTCAGTGTAAGGAGTATTTGTTATTAGTTAAACTGATTCATGCTATTCCGTGGCACATGTCACACTGTTTTTATGGTGTAGGTCACGTTTGTTACATTGGTCATGACGTCTCGGTCCCAGTGGCTGAAACTAGACGTCTGATTACTTCCAAGCAGAAAACTATTTGAAACCTACTGTCAGGTCCTGAATGTAGGAGCGTTTCTCACGTCTGTACCAGATATTGACGGGTGAATAAGTGGTACACTCTGGAGGTGTTGGGCCCTGTGATAGGTAGAAATATGGTATACCTTAAACTTGTTAGCAAATCATCTGACTGTATACATTTTATTGCCTTATCTCACAGCCACACACACAACACACCCTGAGACACACAGACAGACAATGCATGCTACTGTGTCAGTACAGTAATCTTGAGTTTAACCCAGGCTCATCTCCCAGGTATTTATGGATCAGATCAGATCAGATTAACAATTCCTTACTGACATGGAGCTCTTGTGTGTAGGTGTTGCTCTGTTGCCCTTTGTGGATGAGAAGAGGCTGAAGGAGGCCCTGAAGAGTGTGTATCCCGATCTCACAGCCGCTGAACGTAAGTTGCTTTCCGTGATTGACATACTCTGTGTCCATTTTACAGTTGGAATCAGATAGTGCCTGGATAGTGCCTAGCTCTAGTGAGACAACAGAGGCCCAGATAAGCTGCGTATCCGGGTAAAATACGCATAGAAAATTTCCAATTACGCATTGAAAAAGAATTGTTGCGTACCAACTACGCATATAAAATGTTAGATATGCAAATGCGTATGGAATATATTTATAAAAATCGCTGGCGAAATGAAAAAGACATCGATTGCCATCAAGTTGTACTGTTGGTATAGGATTAGTGATTATTTTATGATATCATTTCCCATATATTTACGTTGGTTTTTATTAGGTATGACATAATACTTAGGTGAGTAAAATGACTGAAATACACACATATTTGAAAGCAGTGGGTAACGGAAAATGAAGTACCCACTCAATATTCATAATACCTACTTCAAAAAAATACAGTGGGTACAGTACCCACATGAGCTAAATCTTATCTGGAGCTCTGAGACAAGATACATTAACAGTTTTAGAGAACTCAAGGTTAATGTGTTTCAAATGCATTTTTATTGATATTGGTACAAAACGTTTGATATGAGCATTATGGACTTGGGTGAAACATGGGGAATAGCTGTGGAGTACCCACGAATGGTCAAGGCCACAAAACCCTCTTCCAAACGGGACTGAAGGACCTCCAGTACTTGGACTAAATCCACAGGATCTGGAATCCAACTATCTGCATGCCAGTGTGCATCCCAGGCTCAGCTATCCTCATGCCTAACATTATCTAATCCTGCCTTGAAGCGAATTTTGTCTGTATCTGCTGCAGTAGGTTAGACCTGACAGATGTCAAGCTGCCCATTGAATCCGATGAGTTAGGTGCTATGCATGTTTTGGAGTGGTAATGTCCAGTTGTCAAGGAAATAGAGCAGGAGGCTGAGCTGGAAACCTGAGAATTGCCTGAAATAGATCTGTAATGGCCAAAGAGGTACCAGATAGGTGCGATAGGAGCTTGGGCATCAGTAGTATAGGTGTGAACATCCACAATAATCTGGCGATCCAATCCAGCATGACTGGCTGACTGACTGAGTTTGGTTTTACATCGCTTTTAGCAATATTCCAGCAACATCACGGCAGGGGACACCAGAAATGGGCTTCACACATTGTACCCGTGTGGGGCAATCCAGCATGAAGGTGTTGGAAGTCAATACCCTTGGGTCCAGTATTTGAGAGTACAACTTGCATATATGTAGCCCAAGGAAGACTGTCTTCAAAGATTTGAAAACCCCTATGGGTTTGGATAAATTCTTCTATTACTTTCAGATTATTTTTCATAATTGTGATTGTATGATTATGTGATGGAAGTGCAGTGCCTCTTTAATACAGAATTTCAGCCTAGATTCAGCATGCTCTGTATGTGTTTCAGGGAAGAGAAATGTTCGTGGTGATGATCGCTTAATGTTTGTGTAAATAATGAGCTTCAATCATCCATCATACTCCCTGTTTGAGGGGGCTCTATGAGGGCCACAGTAGTAAAAAGCCACTGAGGTGAGTATAAGGCCCTTAATGAGTGGGGTGATTGGATCTGAGTGGTATCGATCAAAACAAAATAAAGTAATGACTGTTCAGTATAAGGCCACAGTAAATAATGAGTAAATAATGAGTGTTCAGTATAAGGCCACAGTAAATAATGAGTGTTCAGTATAAGGCCACAGTAAATAATGAGTGTTCAGTATAAGGCCACAGTAAATAATGAGTGTTCAGTATAAGGCCACAGTAAATAATGAGTGTTCAGTATAAGGCCACAGTAAATAATGAGTGTTCAGTATAAGGCCACAATAGATAATGAGTACATGTATGAATGTTGGAACTAATGATATTTTAATAAGGCCACAGTGATTGTGATGTATAAGGCCACAGTAAATTGAGTGTTCAGAAGTGAGTAAATATGAGTGTTTTTTCCACAGCTTTTAGCAATATTCCAGCAATATCAGTAAATAATGGGACACCAGAAATGGGCTTCACATGTATTGTACCCATGTATGGGAATCGAACCCGGTCTTTGTCCAGCAATATCACGACAAGCAAATGCTTTACATCACTAGACTACCCGGGTCTGCCCAGGCAAATGCTTTAATCACTAGACTACCCCACTGCCCCTGTTTGTGAAGTGAAAGACATGAGATTGTTATGTTGGTTTGTTACAGCCTGTAGATTTGGATGCTGGTCTGTCGGAAGGAGTCTCAGGGAAAATCTGGTGTGATGATTTAGCGGTGCTAACTGGAGGGTGAGACATTACACACATTCTGTTTTTGGAGGTATTTTCTTTGTATTTTGTGCTTTGCAAGTTGTCACTATCCATTGTTTCAATTTATAAAAGATTATACTTTGGGGCCATGTTCTGTAAATTTTGTGTTTCTTCAGTATAAAGAGATGTCTTTTGTTTCAGTGTTGTGCAATCTATTCTGCCTGCACTGAAAGATGTCGAGGATAACAGAGCTATTGGGTAAGTGTATGGTCTGATGTGTTGCCTAATACAGGGAGTAAACAGGGGAGACTACTGGTGATAACAGAGCTATTGGGTAAGTGTAGACTACTGAGGATAACGGTCTGATGTGTTGCCTCATACAGGGACTACTGAGGATAACACAGTGAGTAAGGTGTTGAGTAAACAGGGGAGACTACTGATACAGATAACACAGTGAGTAAGGTGTAAGGTGTTGAGAGTCCAGTGACAAGATGTGCAGTTTGGTGTTAAGCATGATACAGGGATTAAACAGGGGAGACTACTGAGGATAACACAGTGAGTAAGGTGTTGAGTCCAGTGACAAGATGTGCAGTTTGGTGTTAAGCATGATACAGGGATTAAACAGGGGAGACTACTGAGGATAACACAGTGAGATTGTCCAGGGAAGACCACCTGGGAACCAAAGAAATAAGAAGACTAAATCATTTCATGATTACACTTGCATTTGCTTGCTTTTTCAGGATTCATTTGACTAGCATGCATTTTGTCATGCATTATATGTTCATTGTTGCAATCTGATGTTGGCATCTGTGTACAGTGCTCCCTCTGTTTACCAGTGTTCACTTCAAGGATCCAAAGTTCGATGCTGATCATCTCTTTCCTGCCAAGGTCCTGCCTGGTGCCAAGTAAGTCCTTCCCCCTAGTTTGATGATCTGGACAACACATGAGCATTGCTCTGTTTTAATGAGAGATGGTTTCAGCTCGGAAAGATTGTTTATATTGCAATAGAATCGATGTGCTGATAACTTAGTCCTTATTTCCTTTGATGCTGCTACCACTTGTTTCATCAGTGTTTAGGGGTGGTGGGGTAGTCTAGTGGTTAAAGCATTCGCTCGTCATGCCAAAGCCCGGGGTTCAATTCCCAACATGGGTACAATGTGTGAAGCCCATTTCTGGTGTCCCCGCCGTGATATTGCTGGAATATTGCTGAAAGCGGTGTAAAACTAAACACACTCACTCACTCATCAGTGTTTAAACATCAAACAGAGCTGTATCATTGGTTCCTTGTTTCGTAGTGGGGTAGCCTTGTGGTTAAAGTGTTCACTTGTCACACCCAGGTTTGATTCCCCATATGGGTACAATGTGTAAAGCACATTGCTGGTGCTCCATGTTGTGATATTGATTTAACATTACTGAAAACATTGAACCAACCTGATTCTTTCCCTCCTGCTAAGTACTGTGTTGAATAAATGCTCCTACTGTTTCTGATGGCTGTTTCTATAGCATGCCTGCGAAGGTGTTGAAGCCAGAGGACTTCGAGAAGATGTTCCGGAGCCAGCAAGAACGAGGACGTGGTCGGGGACGGGACGGACGTGGCGGGTACGGTGGGCGTGGCGGCATGGGCTGGAGGCCACAGCTTGGCTTCACCCCAGACAGTGGGTACAGACAGGATAAAGACATATCTTCAGCCCTCAGAATGATCAGGTCAGTACACATTCCAGGGCACACCATAATTTCTGTGACAAATAGTTTGTTATTGACTTGCTCAAATTCCCATAACCCAAACCTTTAAGAAAGTAGTACCTTTTAGAGGCTGCTAGTACAGAACTGACTGCATTATAAACTATTGTTGAACATAGTTGTCAGTCTGGTGGCTACAAGCCTTGATGACACAGATTGATGCTCATGATGTCTACCACTGGTTTAACTTGACCAAACTTTTTCAGGTTGCTGTGATGAAGCTAGAATATTGCTGACTGTATAAAATATCTACACCTCAACCAAAACATCTGAAGAGATTCACACGTTCTGTTTCAGACATGGGAGCCAGGGTTATGGAGGGGGTCAGAATTATGTCATGTCATCCCAGAACATGCATCACTCTCAGTATCATGCAGGTCGCAACTACGGAGGTAAGATGTTCAAACTATTTGCTTCATGTTTTTCCTAGTTTTTCTTGCACTCTTACATGATTACATTACATAGGCTTTCAAATTTTGTGGAAAGGGACCCAACACGTTTCCAAGTACAAGCCTTTATGTCGACATTGTGATAACGAGGGTCAGTTGTTGGGTGCAGTCAGATGAGGAATTCATATGAACTGGGTTTCTTGTCAGTTTTGCAGGCATTGATTCCTTACATCCACTACTCTGCTGTTTGTCTATAAAATATAAGAATTAATCATGTAGTTAAATAAACCATCGCCTTGTCATCTTGAGAATCTGATGTTGAATCTGCTCCAAAGTTGTGCTTTTAATGGTGCTTCGTTCGCTTGTATCAGCAAGAGTTACTTCCCTTGCACTACTGAGAAATATAGTGATCAATAGACTCACAAGAAGATTCAGCATGCAGATTGTTGTATTGTATGGCAATTAATAAGGTCAAACATTGAAGGCTCCCTTTAACCATCACAGTGACAACTAATCTGAAAATATAGAACGCTACACACGTTCTCGTTAGATAACAATTATATGAAACATATGAACTCTCTATGGTATCTGATGGAGTGAAACTACATATTGTGATTCAGATTTGTTTCAGCAAGTTGTAAAAAATCAATCTTTATTAGTACTGATATTATCCTGAACACAAACCTCGCAAATCAACAACACTCTCCTCACTGGAAGACTAAAGCTTTTGCTACCGTTAACATGCTGCCCACTGTTGTACTGAATGAGGGATAGTCGCTGGATCCTGTTTTTGCTGTTGATCATGCTTCCAGAATTATTTTCAGACTTGTAATAATCTGCTAATAGTCAACACATTAGGTTTCTGGGTTAAAACTGATCCCAACATTTTATGCTGTGCAGAAGAGGCAACTCATTGGTGTTCAGGTAGCCTGGTTTATATCTTTTGTTATTGTAACCTGCTTGACAAGGATTTAGAGGCCACAGTCATATGACTTTCCGAGTTTAGCACTACATATATCCACAAAGGTGTATTCAACGAAGTGCTACAAGGTAATTCTCAAACTGAAATGCAGTGGTTTGCCCAGAGATTTGTTGGTACAGAATTACATTGTGAAATCAGCAAATGACCACATAAAATGGATGAGTAATTAACAAATGCTAATGGTCAGTAACTCTAAATGCCATTCACTTTCTGCCACCAACAGTCCACCATAATTTTACCTACACTTCCACAATCATGTAGATCCTAAGCTTTATCATTAAGATAAGAGAAGCGTTCATAAACGATTTCCCCTGACCCACTTGCAGTGGACTTAGTGGAACGAAACTTGGCACAGTTATTAGTCCTTCTCTATATAGCAACCACCAAGAGTTACACACTTCTCCCATCATTTTATGCAACTACAAAGACCTTGCTTGAATAGGTCAGTAGGTTGTGTATCAAATCATGACTTGACTCCAGAAATCAGTGTTTCATCATCTGGGAAGTGTGTTCCCTTTAAAAATTACTTCATAGTTGGAAAGATATGGAAGTCAGATGGTGCATGGTGTGTGATAAGCCTGTCGAAAAAGTTTGCCTGGTTTTCTTGGCACATGTCCAAAAGAGCCTTTGAGCAACTGACTCGTTCCTGCTTCTGAAAAGGTGCAAGCAGCCTGGGAATCCATCATGCAGACACCTTATGCAGGTGCAAATTGTCATGAATGATTTTTTCCATACCCTACACAGAACTTGACATTATGTGCTAACTGGCGAACAGTTATACGGCGATCTTCCAAAATGGCAGTCTCCACTTTAAGGACAGTGTCTTCATCAATGGCTGAATGAGGTCGACCAGGAATGGAGCAGTTTCCACAGATTTCCAACCACATTTAAACTGGCGATGCCAGTGTTTAACTACGTCATATGATGGGGCATCCTCCCCATAAGTTGCTTTCATTTTATCAAAGGTCTCTTTTGGCGTGCGACCTTTCAATTACAAAAACTTGATCACTGCTCGGTACTCAACTGGCTCCATTGTCACACCTTCCTTCAATATAACGCTTGTCAAAGAAATAGCTTTAATCGTTCAATGCTGAAAATTACCACATGACCCATAGAAAAATGTGTCATTACTCACATGAAGTTTCAACCACATGTGAAAACCAGAAGTTGGTCAGGGGAAATCTTTAATAAACACCCATTGTAAGAATGAAACAAGACCCAATAAATAACCTGCTACTTTTGCAATTAGAAGCAGAGGTTGCCAAAGACCATTTCTAACTCTGATCATCCTGGATGTTTTGTGATTTGATTCACTGTTATTCAGTGGGACTGAATGGTATTGCCAGTATACCGCAATGCAATTTTCAAATGATGTGTTTTGCAATCTTCTTTCTGAGAACTGTTACATTGGGGAAAAATGTATAGATGTTAAGTTTTGCGATTAAAATCTGCACAGACATTCATTCACAACTGATGTTTCCTGTTGTAAGTAGTTGACGAAATGGCATATTTTACGTGCTATAAACTGTGCAAAAATATAATAAAATCCCAAACTCTCCAACCTAATTTTCAGAACCATAGCATTTAAGTTTAAGGTCTTCCTATGTAGAATATAGGCTCTGCATATACACTCACTCAGAAACATTTTAACTCCCAATATATCACAATATATATCGCAATATGGATACCACTATCACAATATTGTTCAGGACAATGTGTTTGCCAATACACAGCCTTTAGTCTTTAAGATATATATAGAAAGAAGTATTTTATCCTGTGATGTATTCTGCTCTTGTCAGTGATCAAGTGTTTAGTGATGGCTGTAATATAATGTATATATAATGTCATTAATACTTAACTGTAGCAATATGACAAAAATAACTTGTTCTTTAGCTTCTTTTTATGGTATATATGGTTATGAGAAGTGTACATTCGCCTAATCATCAGTGTGTTTGCAAAAACTGAAACATTTGAAAGTCAACATATGATAATCCCATATCAGCAAGTCAGCATAACCTCTTCCCTCCATATGGCATACAGCAGGCCCTGGACTTGTGTTCACCTCTCGTCAGAACATGTCTACAACTTGATGAAGCCAGTGGAGATTGCAGGTCAGAGTGGGCCCCCAGTAAAACCATAAACTATGACTTGTCAGCTGTATTTGTAGTTTATTGTTTTATCTTGCAGTGAGCTGTATTCCAGCTAAATCACACGGCCTGTATATCATTATCTCACAGATGACTAGGGTTGGGTATTGCCAAAATTTTCATATTGCAATATATTGTGATATGTGTTGACGTATTACAATATGTATTGCAATATATTGTGAAAGTGTAACACATGGTTCAGGGTAATGAAATTACTGTTCCTTTCTTTTGAAACAATTCCAATGGCCACTTTCGACCGCCTCCGTGGTGTAGTGGTTAGAAGCGTCGCCGGAGAGCAGAAGGTCGCTGGTTTGATCCCTGACAGCGTCATACCAAAGGACGTTAAAATATGGTACTTGTTGGTCCCTGCCTGGCTCAGCATTAATGGGTACAACAAGGACTGGTCGGCTGGGAGTCAGTATAATGTGTCTGAGTGGGGTATTCATGCTTCACTGCGGCATGGTATCTCAGTGGGCTAGCACTATAAAACCAGCTTCAGTCTGGGCTAGTACAAGCAGCCGCACATACACATACACACACAGCATGCACGTCGTCATATGAGCGAAATATTCTCAAGCACGACGTTAAACCCAATTTCACCTCACCTCAATGGCCACTTTCAGGACTCAGGTGTGATTGTACAAGAGACCAATTGAAAATGTTTCCAAACAGAAGATTTCGCTCTGAAGCTTGGAACTCGAGAAAAAGCAGCTGCCTTCGGTACCAATCTATTTTTTACATGGTTTAAAAGTCAGGCAAATACAGTTATATGACCAATAAACATTCTCAAAACTATTAATGTATAATAATATAAAGAAAATACAAATGTTATTGGTATTTTTTACTACATCACGAAAATTACCGATCATGGTCACGGAAATTGCCAATCGTATCGGGTAAACCGGTTCGCGAAAAGTGTACCGCAATATATCGTATTGTGAAGTTCGAATTGCAATGTACCGGTAAACCGGTATTATCGTCCACCCGTACAGATGACCCATTGTGACCTTGGTTGGAATGAGTTGTCAGTGTTCTGTTGTTGATCTAAATTTCAGTCGTGTGGCCATCCCCTCTGACATGGTGATGGCGATTGTCATCTTGCCCTGAAGATGGGGGATGTTGCTCATGCATTTAGTCTTTTATTGTCTGGATATTTTTGTGTGGCACAAGATACATGTTTCAGACTGGAATAAAACAACATTCACTCCTTGTGTCAGTGTATGAAATAAGGCCCATCAGACCGTCCGAGACGGGCTAGATTTCTGACGGATGGTTTAATTTTACAGCTAGCCAGCCAGATGGTCTGGTAAATTGTTTTTAGATATTCCATACATCCGAGTAATGTCCATACATCTGAGTAAATTCACCATATCTTGGTGTCTGATTTGGTTAAATCCATGTGGGGCTGGTAACATTTTTAAGTTACCAAGCCCTGATGTCTGCCTGGGAGTTTGGCTTATTTCATACACTGATTGTGTAGAGGTGATTTTACAGGCCTCAACATATATCCAGAGTAGCGGAATTGTTACAAACACCATGGTGATAGTGTTGTACTTGTAGTTCGTCATGTAGGTTTCCTTGCATTGTTTCCTTGCAAGTCTAGCAACACCTAGCATTGGTTAAAGGAGAATACAAGTGAATTGCAATAATTTGCTGGGTGAAAGATAAAGTCATCAGAAACATATTCCTAAATTTTCAATTAAAAATTATGTATAATTATGTTTTAATCGCGAAAACAGTTTCTGTAAATCTCAGCTTCGGCCATTATGCATATTTCGCCGGAACCCACATGTCCTTTCCGCTCGTGACGTCAAATGTGCCTGGAGTCCGCCATATTGCCAAAGACCAAACGCTGTTGTTTCTGTCGTTTTTTA